CGAGAGGCGGAAACCAATTGGAAGCGTGGATCACGTGCGCGAGGTCGACGAGGAGTCTCCCTACGATTGACACCTCCCATTCATCACATCTGTATCTTATTCCCTTATCCTTCTTATAGAGATGCCTAATAAATCGTCTACAACCAACTTCCCCTTAAAGTCTGAGAACCAGGGACCAGAGGGTAGACAGGCAGTTACTACAGGCACAATGATAAAAAGGGATATTGTGTTTGTAGTTACTGCCTGTCTACCCTCTGGTCCCTGGTTCCCAGACTTTAAGAGGAAGTTGGTTGTAGAAGATTTATTAGGCATCTCTGCAAGAAGGATGGAGGGAATAAGATGCAGATGCGGTGAGCAGAAGATGTCAATCGCAGGGAGGCTCCTTGTCGACCTCGCGCACGTGATTCACGATTCCAATTGCTTCCCGCCTCTCACCTTTAAAAGTCCACTTAAACAAACTAGAATATATTACAGAGTTAAACACAATTCGGTAAGGTTAGTGTACTGCATTGTTTATGTGGTCACTTGTATGATTTGTAGATAATTTGATATTTATCGTGCTCTTGTACACAGGCACTGGCCTTCTGAATGAGCAGATAATATTGAGAATTGTAATTCTGTAAGGAAATGTGGTCGTAAGGACACAATGGAACCGCCTATAATCCGGGACCAAGCAAACTGTTGCACCAATTATGATAGTGATGAATAAAACGGGTGAAGTACTGAGGGAGCAGTATACAATAGAAGGTAAACATTTATACGCCTTGCAATGCTTCGCTTATGTGACCATCTGGTACTTTATGGTCAGTTTACGATTTGAATGACCCTTGTGGACGTGGGCTGGCATTCGGGCCATGCTCAGGCCCATTTGCTTTGTTCTCTTCGGAATACATGTGTCCAGTCTTACTGCCTTCTTCCACATTACGGGGAGTCTCGGAACGCTACATGCCTATTTAGGCTAGTACACTTTTCAACAATAATAATAGTAAAAAAATAAAATCTTGTTACCGCTGCAAATAATTTAATTTTTAAATCATTATCTCAAAAAAACCACGTCTTCGGCTTTTGCCTCGCAAAAATTGTAACGCTAATCAGCGTATCATTTGCTTTTCGTATTTTAAGTAAGAATAATATTTTGGTCCTATTAAATAATTTTTCTGTAAGGTCGAATTTGTTTAACTTCCTTAATTATTTCTATTGGCGTCTTTGAGGATTTGGATACCCTTTGGAACTGGGCTCATGTTTCCACTCACGTAAAGTAAACAGGTATTTTAGAAAAAAACGAAGTAGAACTCTTTCTTAACTAACTCTTTCTAACTCTTTTTTAATTGACAAAAACTGATGTTGACACCAATTTTCTTGGGTATTTCAAAAATTCTTTAGGAGTATAAATGATCCTGGTTTATTTTAACTTGAATAACGTTCATTCTATTCACTTTTGCTTATACTGCCACTTTGTAGCACTATGATTGATACGTTTTTTAAATGTCTTTTGCCATTCCGGATAAAATTTTCTATGCTTGAGGGATACGTGTAATCTTAATGGTCATCAATTTTCGCTGTAATATTCTATTAAAATCCAGACAACATTTATCCTTTGCGCTTTAAAGGTTGAAATTTAGTCGCTCTCTTTATTTTTACAGGTTTCTCTTACGATGGCTTCCAGGCCCCCTAAAATACAATGCACTCTACAAACCTTGCAGTTTCTGATGGGATTGAGGGGAAAGGAGGCAGCAAAATTCATTGAAAGAGAGTTCAATGGATGCACCAGCTTGGTGAAATCCCTCTCTAGCTCACCGAAAACAGGTAGCCGAACCTTCGATGTGTTATTTTTTTAAGACAATCATTTTCGTTAGAATATCATTAATAAAATAAACTACATGCATGTAAAATAATTCAGTGAGCGACGACGTATATACTTATTATACTTTTGCATAAGCTACGCTCATTTTTATGGGTTACGGAATTACTGCTATTTGTTCCACTAAAGACAGCGATTAGAGCTTTCTTTTAGGACTGAATGAATCCGAGACAGAAAAGCAGCGCCATTTGTACGGAACAAACGTTATCCCTCAGAAACCGCCTAAATCAATATTTCGCCTAGTATGGGAAGCTTTACAGGATATCACACTTTTGGTTCTCATTGGAGCTGCGATTGTCTCATTAGGGCTCTCCCTGTACATGAAGTGTAAGGATTACTTGCATTTTAACAAAGTTGGTCACTTTTTGTTGACATTGTTACAAGTCTCATTATCAAAGATACATGGGACTCTTTATTATTATTATTTTATGAAGGTTTCGCAACTCTTGAATGCTTTACAATGAAACAATATCGTGTATTTTTATAAGAAATTGAAGAAAAAAGGCAATTTTATGCATTTTAGGAAAAAAATACATTTAAAAGCAGGAAAACACCTAATGTCTCAACCAGTACAATATACCATGTTGAATTTTTTTAAGGCGGAAAACATAATTATTTTTCACAATGTATTTTGCAAAAGGCCACTTGATGTGCAACATCAAACAGATGATTTGCAAACGACTTAAGGCGCTCAAACTATGATTCCACGCACATCTCCCTTGAATCCCCTGGTAGTGGAAGTTTGGACTGTATACTTTTTATTCTTCGTAGTTTTGGGACATTTCAGAGCTTTTGTGCACACACACCTATTAAGTGGAAAAATGAGCATCATCCATCGCGGGTGGTATTCAAGTGAAGGAGTGTGGTAACCGCGTATTCAGATCTTTTTTAAGCCGTGGTGAGCTGATGCTTGCCAGAACTCTAATAATTAAAGGCTTAGGAAGTAACGGTTTGTCTCTCTTTAATAGCACTATGCAAGCAGCCAGTTTAGGCTGCAAAATATAACTGATCTAGGTCAAAGGTAATCATGCTGACGGACTTTGGGTGAGTATCAGCAACATTTCCATGAATTGCGTGGTTAAAAGGGTTTCCTTTGTTTGTTCTTCCGTGGTTGGATGCAGGTCGAAATTTCGTACATTCTCCTTTAATGTAATGACTTGCTTGTAACGCTAAGGAGCGCACGTATTCGCAACTTCTACGGAAACTTTAGCACTACAAACATAGTTGTGGTCCCTCAGCACCATTGATGCACTAATTTTTAATTGTATTCTTAAGATTTTTTCATGCTATGAGTGGGATGTGAGTATTATTCCTTTGTAGTTAATCCAAGTCCTCATCAAGATGGAAACTCGGAAAATGAGACAGGCTGGATAGAAGGTGTCGCCATCTTAGTGGCTGTCGTTGTGGTGGTAGTTGTGGTGGCGGTCAATGACTGGCAAAAAGAGAAACAATTCCGCGGACTTCAGAGTCGCATAGAGGCCGAACAGAGATTTACTGTCCTACGTGATGGAATAATTAAAGAGATTTCCATAGCTGACATTGTGGTTGGAGACATCTGTCTTATTAAATACGGTGAGTTATCATAGTCACCAATTACAATGGTTCTAGAATTAACTAGTGACGAATTGTTTTGAAATGGCAGAAAGATCTACCACCTACTGGAAGCATTTTGGATTCTTTAAAACCTCCCTTGAAATCATGAGACAATTAGATATTACAGTTGTATTATTACACAATGTATGTTTGATCAAAGATGATTAAAACGGTTGTAAATATGACTCGCAAAGAAGGAGTTTTGCGAGAGCTCTCAGACTTCGATTTTGTGCAAATGCCACACGGTGAAAAACATCACTAACCGATAGGATTGGATTACCAAAGCTCAGAGCACATTCGACTTTGACCGCTGTTTCACTCAGAAGCTACTACGCCTCTATGGGGTTGATTGGGGATTTGCATTATTTAGCATTTACAACGGCAAACTCAACCACGAAGCGTGCAACCAAACTGCTTGTGGCTAACTTAGGTCATGGCTTGGTAGTACTCAAACATGGAAGTGGCAGTATTTTTAATCAAAGTATTAATAGCACAATCAGTAAGGCGTTGGTTTTAAATTCACTCATCTTCACCTTACAATTTCGAATGATATGAGCAAATGAAGATGGGATGCATTCCAACTCCTCACGTGCCTTCCACCATGGGAAGGGGTTTAATAGGTAGGTTTCAAACCATTTGCGCCACCTCAGCTCTCCATGTGGCGTACAGAACAGTTCCATAATGACGCCTCCAAGCCAGTAAGGTTTCAGGGAGTGTTGGCCCGTCTATGGGAAACTCCTTTCCGATTTTATGCTCACTTCTTTGAATTCCACGAATTTAATCGGAAATAATCTTTGGCTTCTTTAAGGATTTCTTGAGATTTAATGACCAGGCGAGTATACAAATAGCAGGTTAGTGCTTTAGACAGCCATAGAAACTCAATGGTCTATTTGTGACCGTGTTTACGAGTGGGTAATCATGAAGAGTGCCATTATTCCTTACCACATGATTCCAAGAGATCTGTGCGCCGTTCTGAGATAGCTCTCTTTAAACAACGTTTTGCTGCTACTTTTCCCGTTGAAGTCGTGGAAAGCGAACCAAAACGGGTACGAAAACAGTGTAGAACCAAGGCGGGTTACGTGTGACAAAATTTGCTTTTGACGTGGAAAAAACTCTCTGTAAATAATTAAACACTCAGGAATGAGAAATGGCGTTCAAAATTGCTGTAAAGATTGGTTTATAACAGAAAACGCACGGCAAATTGAGATTTTCAAAGTGTCTGTTATTAATTGAATGAGAGCTAAAAAGGACATTTAATTTATTTGCTGCAATCCTGTCCCACTCACGATTGACCATTCAAAATGTGTACTGCGAGCAGTAAATATTCTACTGCCTTTTCAATTTAGATGCATCAATTTGAGTTAAGCAGTTGTCAACAGCATCATTGAGAACGCTGTTGAAGTTAAAGGCAACAATAAAGAATGTCTACAAATTGACCGAATTTCTAAAGAGTTATTAGCATTTTTTCTATCAAATATTCCAAAGATTCCGTTAAACGCGCCTCTAATACTAGAAAAGCGAAGATGACGTGGATTTTGACTTGAAGAAATTGCTATTTTATATTATTATTGCCATTATTATTATTTCTTCAGGCGACCTTCTACCTGCTGATGGCGTGGTGATCCAGTCAACTGACCTAAAAGTTGACGAGAGCTCCCTCACTGGCGAATCAGATCACGTGAAAAAGAGCACCGCATTAGATCCAACACTGCTGTCGGGTGCGTCACCTCCTACAACTTTTAATGGTTATATCGCCTAAACTTGGAGCTATCGTGTCGATGGTGCCTTGGCGCCACCACTGAGACACGTACTTAACGTTTGCTTCGCTGTTAACATGGAAGGCACTGCAAATAACGGTACCAGCTACCATCTCCTTGAATAAACTCGTGTTGTTAGCTCTCGTAAAACCATTTTAACCTTATCCTGAAGAAGTTAAAGTTCAATAAAATTAATTTCATCGGCCGGATGAACCGCAGTTATCAAGTCCTCTAATTAAGGTGCCTGAGTTGATCTGCAAGTCCACAGTGAGAGGCTTCAAATTACTAACCTCTTTCCGTCAGAGCGCCTCTCAAAAACAAAGACATCCGGTTTGGAAATTTTCACTTAACGTTTCTCCTAACTTTCAGTTCAATTATGTGTAGCTTATTGGATTTATTCTGGAAAAGTTGTATAGTTTGTGTTGCGAAATTTGGTTCAGTGTTTTGTGTCTTTAACTGGTAGTTCTACTCGCATGGGTACCATACTGTTGTGCCTCAAATTGAAGTAAATGTTGAATATCAAATCGGTTTCGGTAACCACTCTGTCGTTTGTGGATGACGGTGACTCGAACCGATCAGTTTGGCTGTCCACGAAGGGCCGAAAACCACGAAAGTGTGCGAATGACCGGCACCTGAGTTCATGTAAATGGGGATTGCATTGAAGGAATTCCCTGCCCAGAGGTTTGGATCACATCGGCCATTGGCCGTGAAGGACAGGATCTATTAATAGAAATATCTGAGCAATAAACACGTGCACACACATTGGGCACTTGGTTGACATTTGCTGCCATGCTCTTTTAGTCTCGTGTGAAACCCACATTTTACTGTCCGTCGCGACTTAAAATGACTTCGACTGCTTTCGAGGCAGCCTAAAAGACATACAGGTAATCTGTTTACGCCTTACCGACTTAAGCAATAAGCTGTCCACCGTGGAGAGCTTACAATGGACTTAAAGTGTTGCAGGCTTGTGTAGACGTGTTAACATTATAAATGGTTCATAAAGCAATTGCCTCTTCCTACCAATTAGTAAAAATTGTTTCGGCAATAAGCGCCTTGACTTCGTATAGCAGTGCCATTAGTTAGTCAGGAGGAAAAGTTTCACTTCGTGCTCATGCAAGAGACAAGTTGAATAAATCATCATGAATATTTACTCTTACGCGAAAAAATAACTAGGGTGATAGAACCGTTCGCTTGGTTATGATAAAAAGAGACTATTTTTATCTTTGAAAACGACTTTCCTGATTATCACCTCTCTTTACAGGAAACGATAGGAGTACCTTTCAAAAGCCTTCCCATTAACATAAACAACTTATACTTAATTAAAACCTACGCAACTTCCTCAGACCTCTATTTTGGTTGAAAATGCATGATTGTGGGGTATCGAAATACCTCGTCTGTGCGCTTCAAAAGAAAGTTGCTTTAACAAGTTTAACTGGAGGCTTTGCGCACCACTTCTGACGATGCATATACGTAGAGGTGAGTAATGAGTTTGTTGCTTTAAAGGAACCCATGTAATGGAGGGTTCAGGCCGAATGGTGGTAACTGCTGTGGGGAAAAATTCCCAAGCAGGAATAATCTACTCCCTTCTCAACAACATGCATGGCGATCTTCCAGAAACAACTGTCCAACTGAATTCTCACAACAACACCAAAGGTGAGAGCCGCTTTGTTGTCAAATATGGACTTGGTGTTTCGCCCTCTACCCAAATTCACAATTTCTTTCGAAAGGATACATTAGTGTCTGTCAGCTAATAATGTTGACAAATGAAATCAAAGTAAATGGGCAATAATGGTTCGGCGTAATACATAGTTCCTAAATGTAGATTATTTTGTATTTAAGATCCATCATCTTTGTTTAATGATGCAATACATTCCCTGCCAAACCCATGTTTCCCCACCATTCGGCTAGAGCCCTTCCACTTTGGAAAGTACAGTTTATTTATTTGTTGACTAATGCGAATTCCAAGAGCTTGCACGTCAGTGCGTTTCATTCTTTAACTCCGGAGTGTTCTCCGGTTGCAGACACTACTTAGTTGAATTAAGAAGATTTTAATCACTGCCGCACTGCGCAAATTTTATGGCACACATGTGCAAAATATCTGAACTGCAATTCATTTATACTCTTAAATACTGTGATTGAATTTGCATGGAGTAGAGATCTATCAACTTCGGCCATAATGAATCAATCCAAGAGAACCTACTTAGGCTAAAATCCAACCAGTTCAAACTAATTAAAACATTCGGCGCTTAACCTGCTTGACCCACTTTATCCAGACAGAGCCCCAGACACTCATTTTGTGTCCCTATTGGTCCTTGTAGAAAAGTTGGCTACAATAGTAGAGAAGAGCTCTGACGGCGACTTAAAAGGTAAACCAAATCTTTGTGCTCGCCAACAGAGGTCACTGTTCCATTGCAGAATGCGAAGAAAATTTGCATGCAACAATAGAGATTACTAAGACGAAGGAGAACAAATCCAAGCTGCGAACTCGTGAGATGTCTGTCCTGCAATTGAAGCTGACAAAACTGGCCATTCAAATAGGCTACATTGGTAAAGTAGCAGCATTTCCCAGTAATCCACCTCAATTCTCCCCTAGGAACAGTTTTGGCGGTGGCTACAGTGATGATTTTAATAATCAAATTCTGCATAATTGAGTTTGGCCATAAGAAAGAAGCATGGAATACGGGTAGACACTTAAAGCACTTCATTCACTTCTTCATAATCGGTGTTACGATCCTTGTGGTCGCCGTGCCTGAAGGCCTTCCACTGGCAGTCACTCTCTCCCTCGCCTATTCGGTCAAGAAAATGATGAAAGTAAGTGAGTAATGGGACTATAACTTGCTCTGAGATATTACCGAATTTCAAGTTCTTATTACGAGGCTTAATGCAGTAATCTTCATCATAGCGTCCTTAGACCTTTTAAAAGGTCCACTTCACGTACATTGCACAAATATCCTCTTATGCATAACCTCGTGTATTCCTTCCGTCTACCAGAGAGGGTGCATTAGCGTTACTGCTTTATTCATAGTAAGGTAGTCTTCTGTACAATGATTTTATGTGGGATGGCGAATAAAGGCCTCTTCTGGCATTTGAGGAAACGATGCAACATTTTCACGAGGCTCCCACTTCTCACTGAAATAGGCAAAAAACCGCTTTTGAATTGATTAGGCGCTTCAAACATGTTGCATACAATATTTCAATTCTGTTATACTTCATGAGTTAAGGCTTGCAATTCGTGTTATCAACGCTGCTGGAATTCTATCCAGACTGTTCCGACCAAGTCTTTTGGAAAGCTGATCAACTTTTACTATATTTGTTTGCTTAATCAAAGCATTAAGATTTTTAGAAGCCCAAAATCATACAGGTTGAAAACATCTCCTTGAAGGACTTACATGCTCAAGTAATTTCAATGCGAAACTTGCAGGTGTCAACGTACACTTTAAAACGATAATTTTGATTTTACATCGGTCACTTTTAAAATAACCTTACTTTTTTGAGCTCTGTCTGAATGAATTCGTAAAAGTTCAGATGTTTTAGCAAACAAACTTGGCAAAACTAACCTTTCTATGAGAAAGGTGAAATTAGTCGCAACACTTCGACGTCATGAATCCTTTCTTAATGGACTAACTACCGCCTCATTACTCCTGGAACAAAATACTGGAGACAATAAGACTCATAACAAGCCCCACTCCAAAGTGCCTTCTGTCATGTAATATTGTCTTAATGCTACAGCTTTTTCCAAACATGTGATTGTCGTGGAAATTGAGGCGATCGGTTTAATTATGTCCTGCGGGGACTCCCCATTCCTATGGACCAGGTGAGGTGGTACAACTATCACACGTTAACTGGTACATTTTCCTAATTTTCAACAGCCCCTACATTTTGTTGGTGGCAAGCCGTGTTATTCACTTCAAGCCAATCTTTCAACGTTTATTGCATCATCTGGAACATCTGGCAGATAAGTCCTCATAACTAAGGAAAATGGAGGGCAACATCTGCCTTCTTAATCCAACTGAGGGTGATGCATGATGTATAAAGACTGCACGGACAAATTACTGAAACTGCACATTCAGCGTGTGTGGGACCCAGCAACAGATGCAAGCGTGAAAGCTCATCAGGCTCTAGCCATCCAATTGAATATTGTCAGTGCCACTAGAATATCTTCTTCTTAAACAGAGAGAGAAAGGTGCAAAGGTTTTTGTAACACTGTAGTGCCCGTTTTTCCCATGAAAAAAATGTTGGGCTTGCAATACTATCAAATCAGGTGCATGTAACCTTTTCGTGCTCTTTGTATCCCATGACAAAACATAAAGGTCACGGTTAGGTGATGAGTAAAGTGGAGGAGCATCGAAACCCCTAAGGATTTTTTAAAATGTACGTCTTTGAATCTGATGTTGAATTTATGTAAAATGAGCGAAAAATACTTTGGTTGGCGCTCTTTTTCAGTGCGCTTAGTAATTGTTGCCATTTTACAAAACAAAGTTATGATTTTCTGCATTTAGTCCACCCTCTCACGTTCCAGAGCTGTTTGAGAGCTGTATTTTTAAAAATTAACAGGTACAAATGCCCTCCGAACCAAGTCATAGCACAGGTTATTTTTTAATTCGACTCAGGACAGCAGTAAATGATTTCAGAAAAGTGATAAAGTTGTTACACCATGTCTTATTAGTGAGATGAAGAATTCTGCGACATCATTACGGTTTGGGAAGTAGCAACATACCATCCATATCGCTCACAAAAAGGAGCCTGTTAATTCTCAGTGGGTTCCCATGGGCCCCCTTTTGGTTTCACCCGATATGATTGAGCCCATGACAGTTGGAGGTCTTGTTTAATTAACTACTTAACGAATGTTAATTAGACGCTTCGTCGAGTTTACCTCCATCCGCTCATTTAAACTGTATAAGTGTAAAGAAAATTTATAGCCCGATCCATAAACAAGAAATTCATCTTCGCAGAAAAAAACGACAGTTATGCAAGCAGTAGGTGCTGAAAATTGGGCAACACCTGATCTTCGTCAGGATTTCAGCCCTAGGCCTGAGGAAAATTAAGGAAAGGTTTTCAGATTTTTGATAGAATTAGCGTTTGCTTAAAATTAAGTACGATTCAACAAAACAGAGGGAGGGCTAAGAGCAACGTCCCTTCGATTTATCTACTCTGCACTTTTAGCATTATGGACAAATTCGTTTTCGGAGTGCTTAGTGGGACTACCATTTTTAAGCTCGACAAACCCTGGTTCCTGTCCATTCCCATGTGCTGTCCTTTTGCGTAAAAAGGTTAAAAAACACAGGATTCGGAATTATCACATGTAACGTGTCGTAATTCCATGGAGCCTCCAAAAGAACGAGGACGTAAACAACACTTCTTATTGTTGTCCTCTATTGGAATTGATTAAATCTGGACACGGAACTTCATTCCATCTAGTCTGGCAACAATTAAGGAGTTCAAAACGCATTCATTCAATTTTTCGTGTTTACCTATTTAATGTAGCATCTGAGTCTTCGCTAGGGGTGATGGAAAATGTAACGCTAGGGCAGAATATGCATTGCGGCCCTTTAGAAGAGCCAGAGGAGGGCACAATGAGGAGCTGCCAGCATGGTCTGACGACAATGTGTCCCAAGGAAAAGATAATTTGAGCTTTCTCAGTACCCACGAAATTCAAACATAGAGTTAAATAAATAAATGATGTTTTGTTGATTTAGCCTGTTAGAAATGATAGATTAATGCCTTGTTTAGATACCAAATATCTGATTCAAAATTTTGACAGTTTTAGGCGGAACGGATTTCTAGGGCTGATCTATGATATTTGCTTTGCTCAAGTTGCCTATTCCTATTCGCGTCTGCATTGAAAGTCGTATCCCTCCGAGTAAGGCAGAAGTGCCATAGAAAAAATGCAAAAGTTTGTACAGAATGCCGAAAGCCTCGCACAATCCGTTAGCAAGAAATTTAGGATTGAAGTGAAGGACCTTGAACTTTACCGAAGTCTGCTTAACTTATGGCAAAAGTTAAAATAATTTTAATAAATCGTACTATTTTTGGGGTACTAAAGTGCTAATCGTTAACGTAGCAACCAAGAATTGCCTCATTCCATTACAGAGCCAACTAGTACATAATTGTTTGCCTCCTGTTGTCACTATTATCCACAAATCACTAGCACACGAAAACGACTCGTTTCAGTCAAACCACCTTATTCTCTTTCGCAGGATAATAATCTGGTTCGCCATTTGGACGCTTGTGAAACAATGGGAAATGCGACGGCAATATGTTCTGACAAGACGGGGACCTTAACTACTAATCGCATGACAGTCATTGAAGCTCATTTCGTGGATCAGATCATCTCACTGCATGAACTGGATCATTTCAAGCAGTCAACTGTTGGAGGTCTTGTAAATGAGAGTGTCATGCAAAAACTCGAACTAGCTATCGCCGTCAATTCTTCGTATACATCTCGGTTACTGGTGAGTTGGTTTTCCCCTTCCCTGTTTGGATAAATGTGCAACAATTGAAACACGCGTTGAGAAGCAAGTGGAAAAAAGCTTATTTTCTCCTTCTTCCTAATTTTTGTGCATTTTTTAAGCACCTTTCACGTTACAAATGCAGCCCTTAATTAGCAGACGTAAAAGGACAATAAACTGGAAGGCTTAACCGATTGGGGTACTTCGTATAAGATCGAAACAGATGAGGAAAATTTGAAGGATGTTCCCAACTAAAGCAACTTTGCTATTTATGCACACAAGGTTTTGTGGCACTCACAATGCAGATGATCGTTTGGCAGGAGGCTCGCAAAATAGTCGAAAGGTTACTTGATTCATTTCAGGTAGAATAAAATAGAATCACACAGCGCACATAGACGAAACTACGGTTTCCCCACTGACTTCTGCCATCCCAAATGCGCAGGTCATTGATACAATTTTTCAGCTTTATTTAATGACAAGTTGAGCCATAAAGAAGTTGGCTGTGCTGGAACAACAACGCGCCTGAGATGCACTTGACTCAAGGATGCATTTCAAGGGAGAAGCATCTTTTGTGAGTGTAATGGTTGATTTCTCCCTAAGACCAATTCAGTCAAGGAATGCGCATACGAATGGGTTTTTTTGTCCATAAACAAGCAGTTCTTCAGGCCCCTACTTTTGAATCAACTAAGAAGTTTAATCAGTCGGTTGTAATTTTGATTAAATATCATAATGAGGGTTATTAACCTGCTAATTTTAATTTATGAACACTTAAGAATCCGTTACATTTTTATCCTGCCTTAGTACCACAAAAATTGAGTGCATTAACAAAAGTTCAAATATCTGCTGACATCGCATAAAAGCTTTCCAAATACTGCATTTGGAGGGAAGACGCTTCCGGAAAGAGAAACATTTAAACGGTAATGGAGGCCTGAGGCTATTTTTTTGGAGATGGTAGGGCTTTTTGAGGAAGTCTTTGGAGTCCGTACGACGCTTTGAAAGATATTATGTTGATGAAAAAAGCATTTAGGAGTTTCTTCCGATGCGATCACTACTGTGATTTACTTAGTTTCCTCATTGCGAGGGCGTCTGACTCTAAAATATACCGAATGAAGGCATTTAGAAACGCATTAATCGCAACAAATGTGCAGAGGAATCTGGAGAGACCTTTGGATGAACTGAGTATGCGCCCTTACTTTCTCATAAAATATAAGATGCCAGTACTTGTTTTTGTAATACCTTGGTTATAAATTTGCAGGAGTGCCAGATTTAAGAACTGGTGAGAGGCATCCTTTTGCACATCAACATATTTGACTACATATGAAACAAGACAAATTTTTTGGGCACATTTTAAGGTAATCCAAGAAACGTTAAGCTTATGCATTTATTAAAAATATTTATGGTAAGCTAGCACAGACAAAGCTTCAAGTCTAAGGTGCTAATTTGCCCGCTTGACACTGCGCAATCTTCTATTTCCATCTCCTCGCTCAGGTTCTACCCACCACTGTTAACTTTAGATGAAATCTAAATCAACAAATTGTGTCCATATGCGTGTAGAAGCCTATTTTAACCACTGTTGGGTTTCCCGTTAAAACATTTTAAAAGGCTTTGTGGGAACTGCTTGCCATGTCAGACCGTGGGGTTCACAACATTCCGTGCCTTTTTTATGCCCCGCCTGGAAGAACTTTCATCGTTTTGACCTGTAATACCCAAAGTGCTATCCATAAAATTCGCTAGCCCTGAGCAACTCTTGTTAGGGTCAAAATGCGCATCACAAACCTGAATTTCGACAAAGTCATCCCCCATTTCATTGGCGAGAAACGGTAATTCTGGGCTTTTGAAAAAATGATTAACAGCAGTCTTGAGTGAGGATAGTTAACATTCAGTCCAAACAGAACCGGAATGTTACTACAATGTACTGGCAGTTTACCATTTTTGCAGCCTAACATTAATGTGGTGAATTCTCAATTGACGTAGACTCGCCTATACCCTAACCAAAGTTGACCACAGTCATATCGAGTACTCGGGAGGCGCATGACGGCTTTTACGAAAAATTTGGTGGGTCTGCTGAAAAGGACAGGGGCAATTTAAGGACATCTAAGGAAACGAGATCATATCTGCATGTATTGTGCAAAGATCTGCTCTTCTTTTACCTGACTTTTACCATTCATTACAAAATACGCTTCTTGTCACACTTTTCGGCTTTTTAAGGATGAAGTCAGTTCTGTCTTAGGATCCCTTAACGGAGGTGCATGGATTGCGAGGAAAAATGGTATGCGAGTAAGCAGGTGTCAGATCAAATCATGCAAGACAAAGGGATTTCCACCGATGGGTTGGTGCGTTTGCGAAAAATCGGCTCATTTGCATAATAAATTATGGCCTTACCATGATCTTTACGCATTTCCACGAAGAAGAATGCAAACTTATCACTGGACAGCGTCTAGTTAGCGCATACATGATTTATGCCTGCCTCCTTAAGATGCCATCACAGTCTTACAGTTTCTACAACAACTTACGCCAGGAGGAATCCCTAGGCAACTATCCACTATGCCATAGTTTACAAACAACTTTTTTTAGAAAATGGAAGTTTTCTATCAGGCAAGTCTAACTCACGACAAACAGGAGTTATTATTCACCATTCAGTTCATTGTAGACACACTTTGGACGGCTGATCCAAGAACTCATTGTTTATCATTTTAAGTTTGTGGCCAAAACATTATTTTTATGACCTTTTCCTTATGACTCGGAGCCATGGAACGACATAGGGATCGTAATCAATCATAATTCATATGATTGATTCGGACAGTAAAAGTTTGCTGCCTGTTCCATGATCCAGGCTCATTTAAAATAACCAAATTTCTTTTGAAACGGGAATTAAGCTAGACCGTGAATCTGTTTTATGTCACATTTCTTACTTTCGAGCGTTGTTAACCATCAAGTATCTTTCGTACTTTTTACTAGGAAAAAAGGCCCTTAAAAGCTGCTTTGAAAAATATGCTACTTGGCCTTTAGGACATGAAAGTTGACATCGTCGGCATTGGACACTCGGAATCACTCACTCCTTTGATAATCATTGTTAGACAACAGACACTGGCTATAGATACCATTCGCTTTTAGTAACTCTCCGTTAGATTCGGAATTATACACAACTCGAAACATGTTTGCTGTACGTAAGCTCTGGAGACGCAGTAACCAATGAAAACAGGGAAGAGTGTTTAATGATGGGGCGCGACACTTGACACACAGGGTCCACCATAACACCGCGGTAACTCTTGTTGTGCCGGTCATTGAAACAAAGGCTCTTTAGCATGGTTAGTTGCGTTAGTATATGACCGCTTCCAGGTAGGTTCGAAACAACAATAATTAAAAGGATTTTTGACTCAACAAGTTTATCCTAAAAGCAAGAAAACTGTTGTCACGCAACTGAATCACTGTTTTCCGATGATATAAGCAAAAAAGCACTTCTTGCTAATTGGCTCTGTTTGGCATCAGCACCCATTTAAACAAATAGTTTACCGAGGAGATGTTACTAATGATGCGAAATTTAAACTATTTGTGGCGTTGCAAGACTTTTAGAGGAAGTAGACAGGCAAAAAACTTGCTAATTAGCTTGAGCTGTTTGATTTTTCAGGCATGTTGAGGATTTTTACTATAACAAGCCCAACGTTTTTCCGCTGAATTGAGGAAATAAGTCCCATTTCCCCCCTAAACAACTTTTCCTCTGGTAAGCTTACACGAAATATTGCTTTTGAGCACGGTCATGAGACGTCTAAGAAATTAAAAGCACCGAATTCAACTGTGTTACTTAGACAACCCGGAATAATAAAAGCCATAATGAAAATAGACGAGTGTTTCCAAAACTGGTGTCTGCCAGTGATTCCTCCATCATCCAATCATTATTCTTATGGTCAGAGATGGCACGAAAGTTGTAAAACGTTCAGTGACTTGTTCATTCCTCTTCAAAATTTTGTAGAAAAGCAGGTTCTTGTAGCAAAATACATTCTGAACACGCACATTACCTTTGCGTTTGGTGCATTTCTGTGTCCAATGCTGAAAAATCTTCCAGAGAGCGTTGTCTTTTTCTAGCGTTAAATTTCTCTAAGAGCTAATTACATAAGTGGATTGAACGACTTCGATAGGCTGAGGCCTTGATTTCGTTGCACCTGCAAATATTTCTGTTCCCCCTTTTGCATCGGCAGGTTTCGTTTACATTATCTCCTGTTGATAAAGGCGTATGCTTAAACAGACTCCAAACCTGTGTTTCCCATGTTTAACCTATTGGTTCTCCATTACCGAACTCATAAATAAGCAAAAATTTTAAAAGCGTAAGGACTTATTTGGTAAGTCCAATTTCCTATTAACTGAGTCAAGAAAATGTGAGTGTAAGCAGGAGTAATCCTTTAATGTGGTGTTGTCAAAGTTACTGACAAGAAACTGCTATTGATCGTATCTCAATTGTATCTTAAAGTGCGTGATATAAGCAGTTGAATTGCAGTCAAGCGGTAAGGTAAACGGCAAACAGTTGCACTTATGTTTGTTTACTTTCGAAATGTTGAAAATACGCGATAAATTTGCTACTTGGAACTCTGCAATACTTGTCATTGTGGAGGCGGTAAGACGAACATCTACTTGAGCTTCAGGCGCAGCCGCATTGAATTGATCAGTTGGCTGCAACCTTTACACCAAAAAACACAAATGCCTTGGTCATTACTATTTAACGCAGAATGAAAGATGTTCTTGTTCCATACGTTCTGGAGATGTGCTTCTATATTGTTCGGTAAATGTGATGAAACGAAAAACGGGTTACTTTTAGAAACAAGTATTTGCTTTTAAATGGCATTTCCAAGCAAATGAGGCGGTGCAAAATGGATTATAACGCTGAGATGTCAGCAACATGGAGACGCTTCTGCTTGCGACTGCATGACTGCATAACTAGACATAAAGGCCACGCTGAACTGCAGCACATTTACAGACGTAGCAGTCCTTTACATCCTATGTAGTATTAGCAGGCAATGAATGCTATTTAAAGGGAACAGCTTAAACTAAAAACGACAGATCATAAGTAAGACTTAGTCGATGTGTCACTGAACGGAATTTAGCTCTCCAACCAATTTCAAACTCGTGTCTTTTTCCAGCTCAAACAATAGAGCAAGCAAACATTGTGGTGAGGTGAAGGTGAGGCGAAGTTTTGGTATCAGAACTCTTGGCGAATGAGCTTCTCTAGAATAGCTGGATTGGCTGCTCTCTAAAATGCGATTTAAGATAATTGGATACTTTGAGTTTATTGCTGCAAATGTACGAGATCGTTGGTGATACATAAGCACGAGTTCAATAGAGAATAAAGAGGTATAATTTATGCTCACATTTAGCCGTCAAAAACTCCGAATGATATGCCAACACAAATTGGGAATAAAACGGAGTGCGCACTATTGGGACTGCTTCAGCGGTTGGGTCGTGACTACGAGCTTTTGCGACAGCGCCACCCCGAGTCGGAGTTCGTCAAAGTCTACACTTTCTCCTCAGCACGCCGTTCTATGTCCACCATCATTTATGCACCCGAAGAAGAATCAGCTGCAGAAAAAAGTGCCACCACCAAACTTCTTCTTCTTACCAAGGGTGCTGCTGAGATGATCATTTCAAAGTAGGTCATTCAACGCATGATTTAAGTGCTCATCGATACATTCAGTGTGTGTGCATGCCGCCCAATTCACGGCATCTAATTTTAAATAGAAGTTAGGCAAACACAAAAATGTGTGTATGTGCAATGTTCAGGGTTACTGGAAGTATGTGAGTTGTTGGGCAAATAAAAATGATTTGGATGTTGTTGTGAACCCCATTTGCTGGACTACAAATGCAAACTTACTTCAAACCTAATTTAATTGACCACTTTTTTGCCAACTACTGGGAATTTCAGCAATGTTTCCAGCCAGTTAGATGAAAATAGTAGTAAATATGTCGAAGTAAAACTTCACACCGGACATTTGCAACGGACTGATTATTGGTTTTAACATGAGGCAGTTGTTCGTCATCTTTCCATTTTCAGGCCCGTGAAACCAGCTGATCCATGATAAGTGAGGTAAACATAACTAGCTATGGGAAAGAACACATTAATTTCAAGAGGTGATAGAAGGGATCGAATTTTTTTTACTCTATTCTAATTTCAAGTACGTATAGTCGGCTAAATTGTGATTTCATCAACAATATGAACTTTAGACAGGCTTCAAAGTCCCACTGTAAAGGAGAAGCTCAGTCACTTCAAATACAGGGCAGCGATGCTAATATCCGAATGCAAACAGTTTATGGAAGGTAGGGGGAAGCATAAACGCATACGCTACTGCTGTGACAGTGCTTGTCGTTCACTCAAATTGAAAGGCTAACGAGCAAGTCTTTAGAAGCATCACATACTGAGTGACATGTCGATATAAATCAAGAACGGGTAATAAAAACCTTTGCTGCGGCCTTAGACTGTTTTGATCGCCTTTACTGCCTTTTGTGTCAATGCAAGGATCTACGATAGAATTGTCACAACCTATTTTTTTAATACTTTTGCCAAAAAAGAAAATATATTCAAAGTGACTGTCCGTGATTCGAATGCGTGCAGCCGCACGAACAATTTGCATATCTTAGAAAGAACATTCGCCAGCTTAAATGTGGAATAACAATAATAGGCATCCAGCTCGGAATAGGGTGCCACACATCACAACATTATGATCAAGGGTTGCAGGGCTCAGGAGCACAAATACATCACCACGTCAAATTTGAACCGACTGATTAACAACAAATTTATTTTGATTTCACTTTTCTTTGAGCAAATCCTTCCACAACACCACTTTTGCGTGCAGCACTGCACTTATTAAGGCGATCACGAGCCAATTTTTTTCCAGCCTTTTGTTGGAAGGCGGCTGAGCGGAACTTAAGAACATTTCCTTTAGGTGAATCTTTGTTAAGAGCAAATATAATTTTCGGCCATGAAACGCGTAAACACTGCTTAAGGTAAAAGGATTTTCAAAGGTAAATCAAGAGTCAAAATTCCATCCCACTTTCGTCTGCCCCTTCATTGGAATAAAGAGCATATAAAAACATAAGCATGTAATTATTCTGTGTCTATTGGACGGATGAAATGGTCTTGACAACTGTTAAAAGGGATCTCAAAAAAAATCCATGCGATTCTTCTCCTGACTTTTATAAAATCAAGAATGTAGTTTTTTTATAAAATGCCCTTAACTATTCCTGTGGATTTAGTCACAAGAAATAAGTGTTGACTGATGGCCCGTCTAAAGGGAAAAGATAAAATTATGATCCTGTAGGTAGCTCAAAAACACTCGAACATATATTTTTGCCGTAAAATTCACTATTGTGGAAAAGAAATACAGGCTGGTGCAAACCAGCGGAAGTGCGTGAAGTTGACTCGTGCAAGGTTTACTTGGTAGCTCAATTCCAGATACAGTCGTATGCGCATTTGACCTCGTGTCACCTTCCGACTCGCATGTATTTCCCATTCTTCATTCTCATCCCTTCTCATGAAAAATAGGGCCTCGAAAAAACTCCATGAAAACTGTAAATGAGAAATTAAGGCAAATTAGGGAACTGTCAGTAAAAAAGTGTCATTTGAAAGAAATGTCAAATTAACTGCAGTCGCCACATAAGTTGAGTTAGGAGAACGTCCAATTAATTGTCAAAGGCGACATTTGAAATTTTAACTGCACATGGTAGCTAACAGCTGAAAAGATGTCTAGCTATTGTTTTGGCGTGTAAAAATGTTAGTGGCAGTCAAATAGTTGGTGCGAAATTCCGTTTCACCACCAACTTTCAAAATTATTGCGATTTTTTACGCTCTACAGAAAGCTTTAAAGGCGATAATTCAATGCTTTCCCAGTGGAAAAGGAAGACTCGTTTAACAATAGCTGCAAACAAATTGGCCACATTTGGTTCACCACGAGCGGAATTTAGGAAGATTTGGCTTTTTCTAAAAAAAACAGTGGTAGCAGTAGGTATCAGATGAACCACACTTTCCTCTCAAATTGCATGGCATGATTTGAATGAGCGAAAACTTCTGACTTAATAATGTTAGGCAAGGTTCTTTCCAGCAGCTGCAAGAGGGAATGACATTTAGCTTTAAAGTATTAAGAAATTATCCTCATGACGCGAGCCCTCTTATGGCATTTCTCGAAAAAATTATACTGATAAACTCATTTTTGATATCCACGATCCCTTTAAGCGCAATTTGGTTAAAGTGAATATGAACTGCAAATCCAAGTTCACCAACATCTACTCACTCCTTGTAAGAATTATACATTGCTATTTCAGTCCTTATCCAAGTTCCATAAGAAAATTTGCTGTTACTTCACAGAATTTATGGAACTTAATCAGTGTGTTGGCTAGGAGACAAGGTATAACAACAAATTATACATAACTGCTGATATAAATAAACTTCATTGACTCCCTGGATTCAACTGCTCATAAAGGCTTGCAATTATCTCAACCTTTAGGAAATGTTCAGAGGCTACAGGTTAGGTGACATCCTAGCAAAGTGCCTTTCTGCCAGCATTACTCGTCCTTATTGGTACCCATTTACAATGCCTAATTTCATACTTCTTCACGTTTCTGAGGCAAGGAGTGGACAAGTTAAGTCTGCTAACGCATTTTATGCCTCAAGATACACTCTCCTTTAAAGGAAATCGAAACAATCTCAAGGTTTAATACCGTGTCCTCAATTCACTTTCTTCTGTTCTGCTTCTTGGCATTTATGTAGGCAGGTACTACCAGCGTGGAAAATCTAGATGTACAAGTGGGACTAGTTGCCTTGTGCCAGAATGCACTTAGCACATGTTGTTGAATGGTTAAGAGAGGCGGCTCCCTCTATTGTTGAGTACCCAAAATGAAGTGGAGTGAATTTGTTTAAATACTTGAAACATTCTGAGGGTATTTTTAGATTGAGTTTATTAACATTAGCAGTTCTTTAGTCAAGTGCTTGTCATAGTTGTTAAAAGAGCAGTTCCAACTACGCGAAACATTACTTGTTGTCAATGAAATAAAGTATGCTGATGTTTCAGTGAGTGTTTACAATGAGTGTTTGCTTCTTCTGCAGATTGAATAAGGTCGCAATGCAATAAAGTTAATCATTCGGATGAAAGGAAAACACGAAACTAATCGTAATTTGTGAACCGCAAGTAACAATTTAGAGTCTAAACACTTTCTAACTTCACCCACAATTATTCACTTGAAATAAGCAAATAAGGGAATGGAATATAATTTATTTGGGCCGAAGTATTACCCTTCCAGATACAACTGAGATCGCGAAAGAATTCTGCTTTTGTTGATTGCATTTTCCCATTCAACACTCAATTACAAAGCGAAGAAGTATCCCCTCTAGATAGCTATAGCTTTGGATAAGGAACGCTGAAATTCCTTCTGACATTTTATTGTATTTTAGGTGCATATCAAAAATGTCCAGTGAGGGGAAAGTGGCACCTCTCGATGAGGGAAATCGAGCTGCCGTAATTGCTTCTGCCGTAGAACCGATGGCTCGAAAGGGACTGCGAACAATAGCTCTCGCCTACAGAGAGTTGGTGACAGGTGCGTTGGCTGGAGGCTGGCCTTTCACCTTCACTTGTACATGCTTTATGTTCAAAAGCGTAATTTCTGAGAGAGACGAAGGCAACAGGCAGGAAGAAATAAGTATGAATAAAGACTGGGAAACAATCAACCGGACATGATAAGTTTGCTTCAGTGTGTGAACGCGCTAGCCTCTATAGTTTGCTCTAGCTGTGATTAAGAGCCTCACTTTTGTGCATATGCCACGAAATAACATAATTAATCACATTGAGTTCACTTGCGTGTCCACTCTCGATAGTGCAACATGTCGGCCCTACAGGTACCAATCTATTAAGCGACCTAATTTTCCGCTCCATTTGAATCGACGTTTTCAATAAAAAATGGCACTTTTCGGATACTCAAGACCGCATTTTCAATTCCTGTCCATACATGAGGTGTTCCCTCGGTTTATTTAAATGTTTTACCAATAAGGTCCACAAAAAGTGTTAGTTATAACAAAATATTCCTAACTCTACTTACACCACCATACTTTGCAGTTGATTACAAGTACAAGTATGAATGCCTTATGTCAACTAAGCATTGACAACTAGAACTGTTAAAAGTGCGAATTCGAAGCTTTGTATATATTTGCAATTACCTCCGGAGCGCTGCTGATTGATGGATGAATCTCCAACCCGTGGCACTAACGTCATTTTAGCAACGTTCATCACCAAACTGCAGAACTTCCAAAAATGGTAATGGTAAATTTTTTGTGCATTTTTTCTCGTAACTATTAAACTTTTGCGAAAAGTGCTCAAATTTCGTCTTTTAAAAAGAGATCAGCATGTTCTCGAAAGCCGAAATTCCTCACGTTTTTGGCACAAAACCACATCCAAACATTTAATTTATAGCTTCCTTTTTCCAGGAAGGCCTGCTCAACTTTTTGTCAACGTTTACACAGTCGGTGTGAGTTAGCAGCAGGAAAATCCGTCTCACATATTTCTCACATGACATGTTATTTGTTGACTGAAACTCTGGGACTATGAGCATACAATATGGTAAATGACAGCTGTTTCATGAAAAGCGTATCAATGAGCCCAGAATCACGAGTGGGAAGCGTAGGACCACTGGTAAACCATTTGGGCCGTTTAAATGCCTGATCGTTCTATGCTTGATTGGAGCTCTGAGCGCTCAACACTTAATGAACAGTGTCCGGACTAGAATATGTCATGCAGAAAATGTTTGACAGTTGTTTGTACTTTGACTCGCATGCGCACTACGGATTTGAGTAGCGCCGCCACTGTAGCACCTCCTGTGTTTGTAGAACAGCACGTTTTCGTAAAAATTACATTTGCTCCTAAATGTCTCAATACTAATGTTCCGGATCTGAGAGGTGCAAATAATAAATACTAGAAATAACACCGTACTTCAGGCTTGTCAGTTTCTTAAGTTTATGGTTTCTGGTTGTCCTAACATTTTTCATGTCAAACTTCCCAGTCACCTCATAGTTCTCAACGCTTTGCTTGTGACATTTGCTTCTGCAAACATTTTAGAAAAAAAACAACATTTATTCAATAATCGTAAATCAAACACCAGTATTTTCAAGACTAAACAGATTTGAAGTTGGATTCCGCAGCTCTTTGCTGGACAATACCTGACATCGGGGGCGAACTTTCTTACGGACCAAAGGAAGCCTCAAAGCCACTTTTGTGGAAATTTTATCGCAGCAAATTACCTTCCACCAGAAACATCAATTGGAGAGGTACCTACGGTTTTAAAACAGTAGTAACATGCTCTAAAATCTTTGTTTTTATAATTTTAAAATTAACACGATACTTACAACCAAACATCCATTTGACCTCGACGAGCTGACTTTTGGCAAGATGGAGTCCGCATGAATGAGGTAGTACTCCTTATTGTTAAATTCTATCTTGGAGGATTTAAGAGGGCAAATTTTGCAGAAATAGTTTGTGGCATGGGCATTTTCAAGATTATTTTGGGCACTAATGGGAAGATATACAGAAGTTCCTTAAGGTATGCAAATCTCTGCATAAAATAGTGTTTTTATGCTCTGTAAGTCTGAAAAGTTTTTCATCTGAAAAGGTTTCGGGGAAAGGAATTTGTAATGTATAAAATATGAAAAATTTGTTGTTGGTGCCGAATTCCACGCCTGCTTGGAACGGCGTGGGTGTAGAATGCGGCAATTTCAATGACAAAAGGTGAATTTTCAAGGTTATAAAGGAAAACCAAGAGCACAGACACACATAAGGCCATAAAGCAGTTGAGCGAAATAGCCTGCGGCTCGTTGTTCTGAAAGTGGCAGCAGAATCTTTAACAACGTAATGGCCATTATTTTGTAGGCAACAGAAAAATTGTTCATTCTTAAACGCACCAGGATTATTAATTAACTTTTCAGGCCTTGAAAGTCGTGAAACATATGCGTTATGAATATCACCATCCGTCTGAATGCTATTGAAGCCCTTTAAAGGGTGAAGCCTTTCACGCATCCACGCAAACCACGCCTCTGCAAACCGCTACTGCACTGAAATAAGTTGTTGGAATTGAGTGTGCCCGTGCAATCATAAATTGCCTTAAAGTGACTGGAGTTATAACCAGTGGGTAAACTTCTATCAGGCTAGTTAAAGACTCCAAGCACTTCGATCCAATCCTTTAAGGGAAATTTTTAAGCAAACAAGCGTTGCACCAGGCGTATTTACTCCTCCGATGTTCGGCATCAACGATAAAAAACCTTGCGCTGGGAAGTAACTTTGCTTCAAAGCAAGCAAATTGCGATTCCAAAGGCTCTTCAGCTGAAAACCCACATTAAATCATTAAATCCATATTAAATCACAAAAGTCTCAAAGTTTCCTTAAACTAGTAGAATTTCTCATTCGATTAGCTTAAAGTGATGGTGTATCAGAGCTGAGTCAATCTCTCTTCCACTGTGGTTACTAGAGGAACAGTGAAGCCAAAATTGCCTTTGCAGAAATAAATTATTTCATAATAGAACTGAGAAGGGGCATTTTGACCTAAAATGTTAGCGGTGGCTGTGAACCTGTTGCTGAAACCACAAGCTATTAATATTAACTCACCCTCTCTAGAGAGACATTTAGGGAACTGTGTGTTCACGTTTTCTATTTATACAAGGAAATATTTAGCAAGTAGGGAATACCTACTCAACTGTCTGGAAAGCATCCTCAGAGCTAACGCATTTCACATCGTGTATATTTGAAAGTTATTATCTTTGCTACAGTCCATGCATGGCCGGCGTACCTACTAGAGAGGTTCCAGGAGTCAACTTGTTAATGGGACAAAATGCTCCCTTAAGGATAAATTTTAAGGCGCTTCTCGTTAACTCATAAATTATCTGGTTTTATGTTAAGTTTTATGTCGTTAATTTTTTTTATTATCTCCATTTCACGAAAAAGCAAGCATTATTTCCCTCACTCATACGATGGAAGCATTGTGCCACAACAAAGGCTTCAAACCTGTACTCAAAACCTCGTGTTGGAGCTTTGAAACCAAAATGTTTGACTACTTTACAATATGTTGCTGACTAAAGATTCTTTAATTTATTTCCGTGAGTAGTAAAATTTAAGTCCTAGTGGATTCGGGCATTATTAAATACAAATATACCATTGTATTTAATGGTATTTTAAAAGATTAAATTTCAGTACACTCATAAATAACACCTAGCATTTATCGTTTCCGTATTTTGAAAAATACGGAGATATTTACTTTGGCCTAAGGGGAGTTTTGACCCACTTGATCACTCATATCTTCTAGTTGAAAGTATAAAATCGTTGTTACGATGGTGGAGTAGGTGATCCAACGTTGATAGACCTTGAAAGGTAAATAGACGTAAACAACCAGCAATACGGGTGAACTTGCAATTGTTAGCCTTTTAAGTCCTCAAATACTTAGTAGCATTTTTCCTTTACCGATATTTTCAGTTCAAAGTAGTTAAATTTGAGGGATTCCATTTTAATCGGTCAAAACTAGGCTGTCTTCCATTTAGCTTAGCCCGAAGTTACATTCTAAACCTGAAACGTTTTTACAATCCTGTTAACCTGTTTCTTTTGCCTTGTTCAAGTCAAATTTTCGAAACGACTCCAATAAAGAAATTCAAGCAACTAACAAACTCCTTAAAATGCATTAATTCAGTGCGCTGCTGGAAGAGTTGTACTAAAAATATGCGCATTTTTGGGTGAGGTTTCACCAAAATGATTTGTTCATGCTTAACAAGCATACTGTTATTATCAAGCTTCCTCCACGGTCCTTAAGCAGGTTGCGTTTATTAGCTTCAACCTGGCTCTAAAAGTACTGGCATCTTAAGCTAGATCACTGAAATTTGGTGTCTAAAGAAATTACAAGGTTGCATTAATCACCGTTTTTGTTTAAAAAAAATATGCGGATCTGTAATGACTTGATTTACGGTCTGAAGTTCCTAAAGAAATGACTTAAAATGAGAACTACCAGCAGAACATTAATGCAAAGCCCTTCTAAGAGGCCTGTGGTTTAGACTATTAGGAATGGTATTCAAATCCAGGCTAGAAAATGATTTCATTGAACCTAATTCTCTATGGTTTTAGCTAGGCAAAGAACAAAGTGAATCATTTACCGGTTGGAATTTCGTTGATAATTTTGGTGTGAAGTTTAACAAGTGAAAGTAAAAGGTCATAAACAGCTGCTTAAATGTTACAGGCGGAAACTCGAAACCTCTCAAATAGTTTAGCAAAATGTGTCCAAATGATGAGGTCTCAGGACTTAGGGACACAGAATTCAATTTTTGGAGGCTATGATTTTTGCACCTCCAGCAGCGCCTTCTAGGGGACGTTCTAAGAAGTTAACGTTGTCAGAGCTTCATTGTACTGCAGACGTTATAAATGGAGACAAAAGTGGCATATTTTTCCGCTAAACTTTTTATGATAGTCGGGCAAAGACAGATTTTAAACTGAAAACTTTTACTCAGAAGGCGATTCTGCAATCTCTATCTGGTATCGCCAAAGAAATCTTAAACACCGCTCAAAAGCCGCAGGAAAGTTTCTCTAGCACTACATTTTGGGCGGAAATCAAAATTATTATGCAATCTGAATCTGGTTAGAATGATTCTATTTCGAATGGCTATAAATAGGTTATTTTGAGCTGTTGTGCTTATAAAAGCTGCAGGCGTGAAAAGGACGTATTTCGTTTATGACAAGCTTAAGCAAGATGCGAATTCTCTAGTTGGATTTGAAAAGTAGACAACTCTACTTCTAGATGCATTGCCGAAAATGAGGAAGGAGATCAACAACAACTCTGGTCATTTGTGAAGCAGTTGGTGCTGAGCTGACATGGTTACAAGCCTTTGATGAGTTTAACATCCGTCCATGCAAAGGTCAATTATAAAGTTTCTGGTTTTCGCTTAGTTAAAACTTTATAGAGCTTCTGAACAATCAAGATTAGTCTGTTAAAACCACTTTTTAAAAGGAGCTCAGGTGTTTTTATAAACTAGCTGCTGATTGCGGGGAGTTTACAGCGCTGATCAAAATCTCAAATCTTCACTTTGATGTTTTGAGTTGACTTAGCATTTATGAGGACCGCGGAAGTGGTCTGGACTTTAAAAACGAACACTTTCTGATCAACCATCCTAGTGATGCTTTGAAAAAGTAGAGTCTGTGAGAAGCATGGCTTTCACAAATTTGTTGAATTTCAGAGCTGCTTGATTCCTCCAAAAGTTGATTCATAACACCGCATTAATAGACCATCTAGCAAATAAACTTTAATGACCGGCTTATAAGCTCGCTGCAAGAAAGTCTAATGAGCGTCTACTTTTCGAGCCAAATTCCACTATTCACCGATGTAGTGAAGATGATTTAGCAATAAACCTCTCGGCTTTGTCTCTGCAGTTGTACGAAAGCGATGCTTTTCAATTTAGGCTACTGTCCAACGTGTCACTTACAAGCACCTTTCAGATGCGTTGGAAACACCACTCGTGATAGTGAGGGTAATCACTGCCTTGCTCTGAGTGTTTTTAGCATTGGACAAATCAAGTATGACAAAATGCCATAAGGTGAAACATAAATGAGGCACAACTTGAAACGTGCCAAAGAAGCTACACTTTGAAACGAGTCTTTTGGTGCTTCAGATTTCAGATACTTCGTTCTGATTTTTAAAGAGTAGCATGCATAACCAAGGCTTTTAACGTAATAACAGTGCAAGCCTCATTCAAAAATTGGGGTCGTCATGGCCAATTTGGAATATATTTAGTCAAGACAGTATTTGTTCGATTGTCCATGAAGCACCTGGACACCATGGCGCACATATCGGTACTATTTTATAATCTTATCCTGGACGTTCCACTGAAGGCTAATAAAATGTGTCAGTTGGGAGTGAAAAAAGAGCATAGTTTAATGGAAGGGGTGTGTTTAGTTGCCTTTAATGCTAATTTTGGTGCCCAAGAAAAATATAAAACACCGCTGATTAATGCTCACCATTAAACAACGAGGTCTGGAGTGCGAAACTGGATTTATTTAAAGGAGGCTTTTGGCTGTCCGATCAGCTAATGACTTTTCGGATTGACTAATGCAACAAATTTTCTCGTTTGAAATTGGCGCTGAAAAGTGTTTGATTCGAGTCCCTTTTTTCAGGTAAGTGAAAACATAAGGAGATTAAAACGGAAGTCGGATAGTTAGGTGAGTAATAAGACAACAAAACGATATAAAAAGTTTCTTTTCCTGTTTTGCATTGTATGATCAGCTCGCGGCCGCAGCTTAAACTTTGATAACGAGGAGCTGTGGTTGAAGGATCTTGTATTGCTCTGCGTGGTGGGCATCGAGGACCCGGTTCGACCTGAGGTGCCACTGGCTATCGCCAAATGCCAACACGCCGGCATCACAGTACGCATGGTGACCGGAGACAACGTAGAGACTGCGCGTTCTATCGCCCTTAAATGCGGTATCCTTACTGAGGCCAGCGGTCATATCGACGGTGTAGTGATGGACGGTCGCGAGTTCAATAGACGCATTCGTCTCCCGATCACTGGCCAAATTTCACAAGAGTGTTTCGACAAGGTGTGTGGGTGTGTGTGCTTCACTTAACATAAAAGCCTCCTCCTTATCATTAATCAAACTGTATGCAAATTTCATCAAAAGATGATAAGTAAACCCTCTCATATTTATGTTAGTGACTGTGATAACTGATTTCGCTAAGTTTTGAAGTAATCTTGTAATCTTGTTACTAATACCTTCTTGATTATGAACCGGCGAAAGGTTTTGCATTTAGCTATTTTCCATAAACGATTCGATTCTACACCTACACATGCATAAATTTTCGAAACGTATCTATTATTATTTCCCAAGTAAGTGGTGTTTTATCACTTATAAAACCCAGTCTCTTCTCATCTGCATGTCACATTAGCCTCTTATCAACAAACCCCATTGCTCTGCATCCCCTGTCCACTGTCCCCTTTCTGTTTATCACACGTCTGTTCCGCGGATTGAAGCAGTCGCTTTTTCTTAATCAGAAGTTTCCATGATTAATGAGGACTAGAGTACTGTTTGCAGCAACGTGTGCCTTCACTCATCTTTGGATGTTTTCTAGAACGAGTTAAATCGTACCCTGAAGAATCTTTACAATGCTGGCTTTCGTGTTTATAGGTAAAGTCTGGACGACGTTATTAGGACATAGAAATAGGCAATATTATCGCTTATATTCCTCAAAAAAAGGGTTCCTAGATTTAATTTTTAGGTGCGTCAGCATAGGCATAAATACCAATTTTTAAGCACAGGCGACACTAAAATTGCTTCAGACCTGTACCAGGATGGAAAGAGGAGAAGGGCACGGGTTGCACGTTGCATTTCCAAATAAATTTGCCAAGGAGTTTCAAAGCATTTCCTCTCAACATCGTAACGTAATTTTTTCATCTCTTTTCCCAAGAGCGACAAAACGGTTGCGAAAGACTGCACTTGAATTATACATGTATGTCTCTCCACATCCAGAGGATGGGCCGAAAGTTGTTCGCCAAACCAAGTATAAGATGTAGATCCTCAAGGAAGACATGTATCAGATTAATATTTGGCATTTGGTAGCAAAAAGATATGAGCTACTCGTAGAACACACCACATGAAAGTGCGTTGCTCCTCTCCCTCCTCTTCTAAATGCTACCATTTGTGTATTTTTTGACCGTGAAAAACAATGATTTTAGAAAGCCCTCACCCCTTAAGTCAGCGCTGACACATGACCCATAAACTGGTAAGAGATTTGAGGTTATTAAAATATATAAATACGCTTGAAATAAAGCCAATCCTATTGACTACTACTTTTACCAACAAAGGGTCATTTAAAGTGCCAAAGCAGCAGTCTTGAACAAAAGCATGCTTTCAGCAGGGGAGTTTGAGTCCTCAAATCTAGGAAGCCGTCGTATTTTGGACTACCCCTCTATCGTATACTCAATTTCCATTTGCTGGTTCACCGAGCCTCGCCAAGAGCAGAGGATTTAAAGCCTCACCCGTTTCTAGACAAAATAACGATTAATCTGCATGGAATGTATTCTGGTATCAATTTTTCTGTGACAAATATTGTAAACACGGAAGCATAGTTCAGCCAAGTAGAGCATAGAAAATGGCATTTCTAAATTTATTTGAATTGTTTTCCTTATCCCTTTATCCCGAATTTCTGCACCACACAACAATCGACTTGCACATATCCATTTATTTCTTCTCGCTGTGTGTTCCCATAAATCCCATTTCAGCTTGTCCTATATGCCCTTTACTGCCCTGGGAGTGATCACGTTGGTGTGCAAGAAACCTCGTTGTTTCGTGGTTCTTCTGTGATTTTCAAAGAGTTCAGACTAGGTCGTTGACATCTGGTGTCTCCTTTGCTGTAACTCACTATGGTACTTCTGTTGCTTATTTGAAGAGGTGAGGAGGTGGAATGGGTAACACATCGTTTTTTTCTTAAAAAAAGGCACTTTAGCTGTTTACCGTGGCTTATTTCGGTGTTATTCAAGCAATAAAGGTTTTGTAATATTCGTAATTGACTAAAATACCCTTTTTCTACTGGACCTCCCCATGGCTAATGGCGATTATGCACTGAAGTCACTTCTGTAGAGTTTCGTGTGATGCACGTGATCGTGTCAAGGACAATTAATGTTCTATTTCTTGGCGCAGTTAAATTTTCTCTGAGCCTTTAACAGTTCCTTTAATACTGCTTTCAGATGAAACAAAATATCGTTATCAACAAAGCCTTTTTATTCTCTAAATTTCCCAATCAAGTTTCTGAGCCAAACAACGTGATTTCCAGCTGTAATGCGATTTTTCGAAACACTAATTTACGATATTAATCCTCCTTGCAAGTTCCAAAATTGAAGTAAGTGCTCAGTAGAGTGTGACTTCACCTGTTCACACTTACGTGCACCGTGAATTTAGAGTATCCGTGATTCGTTGAACTTTTAACTACAAGAAAGCTAAAAAAATTTTCCTACGGTCCAAATTGCAGTGTCGAATTTGGCATTTTAATACAAGGAGACATCGCAGATTTCACAGGTTTGACGGATTACTTTTAATGTTTCGACTGTTTTCATACTTGTTTTCATTATCATTGACATATAAATCAAAGCTAATTGTTTACTAAGTATCCATGAAATTGTGCACATTTGGTTCGTCCAAGTCAAATGAGGACAAATTAAGGAATATGTGCGATTACTTCCGTCACACAATGGCAGTCACCACGTCCTCACCCCGCTGTAACACCAGGCCGGACTGGGAAGCGAGGACGAGGGCAGTCGACAACTGCAGCGTATTGCGAGTGGAAACACTTCCATGAATACCCAAAGTGCAGTACATGCTCCACTAAAATTAGTCCCCAAGTTAGGCAGCAATCTTTCACTTCTAGCGCTTGGTAAGATTATTAAAAATGAGCTTGCTGGCTTTGAAGATCCAGTAAGCTACGGAAATCAAACCCGTTCTTAAACTGATTTTTATTGCACCTTATTAGTGATGAGTAAATTCCAAATTCCTTTTTTGTTTAAACCTGATTGTGTTGTACTTATGTATTCAGTAGGTGCATAAATCAAGTCGCATGTTTTTCCACCAAGAGGCGTCGAGTGGTTTTTGGCGAGCCTATTTTCGGCAAGACCATAGTTTATTGTTGTATGAACACAGGAACAGATTGGCAGCTTAACGCCCACCAACTTTACCCACTTGAACAGTTTTACATTGGCATGTAGTCACCACAAATCTTCACTGAGACTTCTGCTTCTGCCGAGTGGAAGTCGCTAACAGGACTACCAAGAACGGGCTATCATTTTTAAACCGTATTGCTAGGACCATTCTCAACTCTCGCTCTTTAATTTGGTCCGCACTTATTCAAGTTCACCAAAATTGTGTAATTTGTGCATAATCCCGAGGAGGAGCGACATTTTTGATTTCGGTTGACATTTACCGGTCCCATCATCAACTCCTCGGCATAACTTTGCAGTGTGCTACAATACAACATCATTTAAGGGTTGAATCCATCAAGCTAGTTGTAACGCCTTCATTGGTTGAAGCATAAAACAGACTTTTATGCTGAAAAACAAAAAAAGTGGTTTGTCTTGTATCGAATGGTTTCGGTTAATTTTTTCTGCAAAAGATTGTTTGTAAAGCTTGGGTAAAAGTAAATCAAACCATAATTTTAGAATTGTGAAAAGTGATGGGGTAACAAAGTTAATCTCTTAATGACACTTGCGTTGGTCTAGTCTCAAAGCAATGACAATTATGGCTGCCTTTAAGTAATCCCTTCCTCATTACGCAGTTAGAAGACGGATACGTTTGGGCAGCTATTTCCAAATAGCTAGCAAAGTGAACTATAGCCACCATAATTATGACATTTATTTTGCTTTTTAAGGGACCACAACGATAGATCATGTCAGCTGCGACAACTTTCTTTTCGAATTTTTCCTTAAAGCAGCATGGCTCCATGCTCTACTTATCAAGCTGGCAATTAAAAGTCATGGTTCTGACTGAGAAGTAGCATTTTTAACTACTCAGTTGTGCTCATGGGGTCCGCAGACCTCTTGATTCCCAAATATTGGTTCATTATCAGCACTAACATTCATAACACCAAAAAAATTGTTGCTAGCCTCCCTGCTTCTTGTTCGTAGAATCAAGTTTAAACTATGAAAGCCCATAAGGGGGATTGCTGCATGCGATTTCCTTGAGTATTTTTAGATTCTTTTTTGTTATCAGCATCATTAAAAGTGTGTGAAATTTTGTTGATTGCTGGAGAGTTTTATGAAATCCAGATTTTTGTCCTTTCTTTAACAGTGAATGTATTGTGTGCAATCCTATCAAATGTTATACCCCAAGGCTGAGAGTGATCCTCAGGACCCTTAAAAACCTTTTTAGTGTTGCTTATTTTCGTAGCTTATAAGCAGCAGACCACATCTTCTTCATCGGTGTCCAATGATTACTCAACGACGGTCAATGCTTGTACTTGCTATCGGAGGCCTTTATGAATTTATTGAAACTTTCCGATTCCCTAATAAGCGACTAATGAAGTGTAGATTACGAATTTGCAAAAGTAAATGCAATAATAAGTTTGTAATAAGGGGTCTTTCCCTAAATACTGGCTAGCTGTGTATGTTGACGCATTGTTTGTTATGTTATTGTCCCAGGTTTGGCCGCGTCTGAGAGTTCTGGCCAGATCAACACCACAGGACAAGTACATCCTCGTGAATGGTATCATTGGCAGCCACCTTCGACCCAATCGGGAAGTCGTGGCTGTCACTGGTGATGGTACCAATGATGGTCCAGCATTGAAGCGAGCCGACGTCGGCTTCGCCATGGGACTGGCGGGCACTGACGTTGCCAAGGAGGCCTCGGATATCATCCTTACCGACGATAACTTCAGCAGCATTGTAAAGGCTGTAATGTGGGGTCGCAATGTCTACGATTCCATTGCAAAGTTCTTGCAGTTCCAACTCACGGTCAATGTGGTTGCTGTGGTCGTTGCCTTCGCAGGCGCTTGCATCATCACTGTAAGTGCAGATCACACATCAAACGCATGCTGGAGAATTCCACTTTATTGTTTGACGAAGTAGCTAAGAAGCAGTGCATGACACTAGTTTTCCTAAACTCCAACAACTCCACAATCCTATTTAGACAGGATCTTTGTGGCATTTAGTAAAAACATTATATTTGGGAAACTTGCCATTTATTAGAACTCTGATGTTTGAACTGGAAGTTCCACTCAGGTGTGAAAAATTCTGAAATTTCGTTGGAAAGGAAAATGAAAGGGAGATTACCATCGATAATGCCAAATAAAAACGGGAGCACTGTAAGGCTTGGATGAAAACCTAACAGAGTTCCATACGGTTGCTGTTTTGATGTCAGTACACCATGTACAATTAATCCTTATTGATGGATGGACTTCGCCACATGCTTCAAAGAGACGGTAGTAGGAAGTGATACCATCTCTGTTTTTTCACTTTTATTTTTTTTATTACTCGTGCCAACATGCACCTGAATGTTACAAAGTTGCGTAGAGTCTACTTTCGAGAAATGCCTTGGAACATGGGCACACGAATTGATCTGCTTTCGACATTGATGCAACTTTCTAAAAAAGGTTTTCGGAAAACTTTTCCTCCAGTGTTGACGGGTCATAATTCCCCCAAGGATTTATTTTGTTATTCAATCGTTTGGCTGTGTTCTTCTGTTGACTAATCGGAAAGTGAACTCAATAGGGTCATAAAGTAGTGCTAGAATTGAACATTTTTATCTTAAGTAAACTGGGATAACAATTTTCTGCAATCCTGTGTCTTTTGAGGAAATTTAAGTCCTGAAGATAGAAGGGGATGTTAACAATTTCTAGGATACGCAAAGTCGCATCGCTGTAACTTTTAAATATCTGGCCACTTCTGGACAGTACAGCGTTTTTTTAAAATACTTTTAATGCAAAATAGGAATAGGAAATGTGAGTGGTGTGCTAATTTTATGTTTCTGCTGTTAGCGCCTCTAAGTAGCACCTTTAGAAAATCTAAGAGTTAAACCAGCAGTTAACAAATTCTGCAGCTTCCCCTCGTTAGAAATTCCGTTCTCACCTTTACTCTGGCCAAACTTCAGTCATCGCGGCATAACCGTTACCATAGATGCTTGAGCGTTGGGTGAAAGTGGAGGGCTGTGCTGACCATTGTGCAGTTTAATAGGAAATGACAAGCCTTAGGGCAGCTTAGTAGGAACTAGAATTTACAGCTATTCTACCTTGCCAAAGATTTGTTATCGTGGTGCTGTCCAGCCATATCTATTTGAACTCTATCCAAAGGTACTGCCAACTCACAGATTTGACATCCTTATACAAATATCACAGGCAGTCACGCAGCAAACTGCTCCATGACTAGTGGCACTTCATTTGTTAGTAGCCTTGCTACAAGTCACGGGACCGGACTAGTTGTCGTCACTTACAGACCGCCTATTGTGAGGCGTCACCAACTTCCCAACTCTCTGTAATGTTAACTTCTTCCACCTCTCTGAGGTCTAAGATCCAGCAGTAAAAACCATATTTGTGTTACAATCGGCTTGACTTTCCACTGCTACCAACGCACCACCTCAAAAGTTTTCCAAAGGCAAAAATGCCAATACTAGGGCAGAAAATACACATTATACCTACGGTACACCTTGAGGACAACATGTACACCCAAGAGCCAGATACTCAATGAAGGTACAACCTCAAAGCACCTAAATGACCTAAATGTTGTAAAACAAACCATCCTATTCTTGAGTGTTGTCGTACAAAAGACAAGGAGAGGTTATGGAGCTTTTACACTAAAGCGTTACAGTATTTAGATTTAAGGTACGGAAAGTGTAATCATTTGTGCGAATTGACAAACCAGAATTTCTCCACATATCAGTGGCTTATGGCATCCGTTAACGCTCACCTTGTAGGATAGCCCCCTCAAAGCAGTACAAATGTTATGGGTGAACCTGATCATGGACACGCTTGCATCCTTGGCATTGGCGACGGAATTGCCGACAGAAGATCTGCTAGAACGAGCTCCTTATGGTCGAACGAAGCCGCTAATTAGTCGTTCTATGATGAAATTCATCATTGGACACGCATTATATCAAATTGTGGTTATCTTTGCTCTTCTTTGGGCAGGTGAGTCTTCATTACTGTAAACTAATTGAACTTACAAAATAATAATCTAAAGTGCCTACTTCTGCAGCAATTTATATCTTGCATAAGATGGATTTGTTTAACGGCTGGAGAATCAAACACAAAACTCATAAAAGGGCCTTGAAGATAGACACTTTTTGAAGCATTGAGCCACTGCGGAACTTATGGGATTGACGTAAGCCGTTTTACATTCACAGGAGGTGAAGCCGACGAACCGCCCAGGCAAATGCCTTAATACAAGGAACGTAGTTGTTAATTGTGCTTTTTTTGCGATAAAATTTATCCCAGACTGTAGGAAAATGTGTTAGCATGCAATGGTATTTGTTGTGGTTCCAATTTTAACCTTTAAAATTGAACTATTTATTCCTAAATGTGTACAAATAATCCTGCTTGATAATTAGCAACATGTGGAAGAGTTTTACTTTAAGCGGTGAGTTAATTTGATTGGTAACACAGAAATATCTTTCCATAAAATCGGAATGTCAGGAAGCCATTTTGCGGGTGCATACCTTCGACTTGAGGGAATCAAAGTCGCTCCTAAAAATAGCCAAATGAAAAAGCATGGCACCGCGTCTAGCTGAAGGTCCTAGTTAAACGCAAGTTGTGCTCTTAAAACAAAAACGGTTATGCATTTTAGATGATTACAGCGAACTTATTGCAAGTAAATGTAGGGCAAGTTCACCCATAGGAACACAATTTGAAACCGACATTGGTTATGTATGGGAGGATAGAAGGAATGCAGTTTATTTCACTTTTGAGTCAAATGTTGGAAAGCTTTTGATTGCATCGGCACTCTAGGCGAAACAAACTTTAAATCGCCCTGAAAAGGGGATCTTCAACAATAACATTTGTCACTGGTCATCTTCAAAAGGTGCCTGTATATTAAGCTATGCATTGTTGGGTGCAGGTTGTCGAGATCCCTTATTGGAGCCATAACCTATCAAAGAGCTTACAGAGGCATGTTTTAATATGCAGCCTTTGTAAAACAATGGTAAGACGGGCTCAATCTCATCATCCGCTAAAAATTGTACAACCAGATAAAAGCTGTTGGAAAATTAATTATTATTATTCCATTGCACTTAGGAGAGATTTGCAGTGCCTGCCTAAATTAGCACTTTATTTTAGGTACCTCTTGAAATCTTCGATATCTCACAACGCTTATTCTTGCTTCTCCACTTTTTTTATACGTCTGTCCCTTTATCTTAAAAGGCTTCTGTGATTAGCGTTTTTGATTAATCACAAAAAGCCACAAAAGCACCTGAGTTGTTCCAATGAAGACCCATAAAAACAAACTAGCATAGCAAATTCAACTCAAGCAATGTAAATGCTAGAGCATGACAAAAGGTAAAGGGTTATTTTGGCAACATGCAGAAGATCACTTAAAAGGGGATGATATCTGACTTTTTCGCAAATCTGTAGCCTCCACTTTAGGGCTGTTACAGGCACCTCATACCTCTAAGATGCTGTCAGCTATGTGGGAGTGGAAATGACCTTCACCATAATTTTAGGTCCAACATTATACGATTCCTCCAACTCGCATGACTTCAAATGCATCAACTACGCTTCTGTTGTTTATGTCCAAGGCTTTTTAAGAGTGCGCCGGCTAGGCCAACTTGACCCCTCTGCCTCGGACATTCTTGTTCTCGTCCAAGGGATTACTGGTTGTAAAACTTTTCTGTACATTTGATCTACCATCAAATCATGACAAAGGTGTAACGATCACTTAATGTCCTAGTAGGTGGCTATTATTTCAAGCCCTTTACATTCTCACACGCAGCAGTTATCAATTGCTTTCAAGGTCGTTTCGGTTCGAGACACGGACACATCCACCGTAGACCTAAGGGACCTCGAGAGCACCACACCTAAGTGAATGCAATAATAGCACATAGGTGACCAAGCACCTACACAATTAAATAAGCATTCTCGTCAATGGTTCCCTTGAAGTGGAGTGATGAAAATGCCTATCAACAGGAGGGGATGGGGACTGCCTTTGTGAACAAACAGTTCGAATTCCAACACTGGATTGTTTTTTTCTTTCTGCTACTCTTACTGCATTTGTACTAATTGATATTATTAGTTGAGATTCATATAGCAAACATATCATAATTCTCGAACTTGTGCTGCCAAAACTGTTGTTCATTTATTTCGCACTTTATTGTTTTTTCGTGATGAAGCGAACTCCAAGCCAAATTAAGCCATTTTGTAATTTGTTTGGCAGCGCTTTAGTTCTAAAAATCCTATTTTCTCCCAAGGTGAGTACATATTGAACGTGGATAACGCTCAGGTGCTATCAGAAAATGGTGTGAAGGGACCGACTCGACATTTCACAGTGATATTCAACACCTTTGTAATGATGACTCTTTTTAACGAGATCAATGCCCGCAAAGTTCACGGTCAGCGAAACGCATTTTCAGGAGTTGGAAAAAACCTTCTCTTCTCAGGCATCTGGTTGGCCACTTTCGTTGGACAGGTAAGTTTCTCAGAGTCTGTTGGTAATCCTGTTATATTCGAATTGAATCAGTATTTGGATTTCATGACTCTCGCCACCACATTGGGCTTCCAGAACATTGGTAGTAAAAAGAATGGTTTGAATAGTAAAGTGTTACTTTCGACACTTCTTCATTGGCTTTAGGCGACATAACCCAATCGTGTGAGCAAATTACATCAGGTTAAATGTGCATTTAAAATGGAGCCGACATCCCTAATGCTGCATGTAGAATTGATAAAACGCCTATTGGGATGTTCTTTTCATCCAGCAATATCTAAAAGCAGGCACTTCAAACTCCACCGCCACTCAGGATATGCGCATGAACCTGTTTGTTCCCTTTACTATGTTTATTTGCTATCCATTTCCATTTCAACGTAAGTATATGTTAGTGAAACAATCTGCTGGTGTTTAGATGCTATGCATCAGGTTTTAACGATGCTGTGCTATTCTGCGGAAGACGAGAACTCGAAATCGTGGTATGGACAAGATGGTTGTCGCGAATCATTGAATGCTGGAGTTTTGGCTTTTGCCTACTAGAGCTAAGAATTTAGGTAGACCGGGAGTTTTACTTGATCCTCTCATTGACCTCAACTAGAACTGGCGTTAACTTCAACTTGACCATTACGTGTGTCCCGGGTTAGACCTTAGAACATTATTCCAAGACATAATATTAATAGAGAACATAAGATCTAGTACGGAATTGTGTGGAATGAATGCATGTAATTTTGTACTGCCGCCATCAATACGCGGGGCGGTAAAATGAACCCAAAAATGGAACTTTCTTAAATGATTCCCACCATTTGTCGCTTCTGACGTTAGTAGCTTGCCAATGGAACGCGGGAATGAGTTAGATGCCAGTCTTTCTCCATCCTTCTCCTGTGGCACAAGTAGAAACCCACCTGCTTGCAGTTCATGGACTTCATTCGTGCCTCGAAATTTGTTGCTAATGCGTGGAAATCAGGCTATTATTTGCTCCGCAATTGGGTTCACTATCTGCCGCCACCAGCGTAGCTCCCCGAAACATCCCCATTAGGTGATAGAAGGCACAAGGTTCGACCGAATCCTTACATTCAGACAGAAAGGATAAAAGTAGGGCTTTGACATGACTCAAAGTCCAGCTCGCATGGCAGAAAATAAATAGCCATCGAAACGTCACATGCTTCATGGCGCAATTTGCTGTGTAATAAAGTTTATATTCTTAAAGACAGACTGAGTGATTCAGCGTAAATGATTACACTTTAAGCTTGCTCATGCCGCCCTTAAAATCTACAATTGAATATGAAAGGTGCTGCTTTATTTTAAATGCTAGAGGTGAGGTCGTTTGGCGCAAATTGCATCTCTTTAACAAATATAATTGGCCTTTCTCAACTATTTATGTACTCAATTCCTGCAGGTCACACATTAGGTGCGAATTTTGTTGGAAGCAAATGACTTCGAAATAGCCCCATTTCGGGTTTACAGCAAACCTTAAAATGATTTTAAAGTAAAAATAACCAATTATTTATTCTTTTCCCAATTTAGATAATAATTGTGCAATTTGGTGGGGTGGCATTGAGCACCATGCCTCTGGACGTTGAGCAATGGATGTGGTGCATATTTTTCGGACTAGGAACTCTTCTTTGGGGACAGGTAGGCATTAAACTTCCTCCCTTTACTTATGCCTTGCGCTTAATTCTACGTCTGGGATTTCAGCTTTAAGTTTTTGAGGAAATATTAAATCATCTTGGCTCAAGAAGAGGAGGCTTGGAGAATCAAGATCAAAATATATTATTCTGGCAAACAGAGGAGGACTTGCCGTTTGAGGACAACCAGGCAGTATCATAGTTTTTTATCACCCATTTTGTGTCAAAATGGTCTTTAATATATCTCAACATCATCATAGCTTACATTTCGATAGCATTTTCCAAATATACGCTTCTTTCCAATGCCGCTTTTACCAGAACTTTCAGCCATTCATCTCCGGAGAAGGCAAAGATCTGGTTTGTTCTCCTCCTAGAGGTTCTTAGCTCTACGTTTCAATATTGTATTCTATTTGCAAGTTGATGCCAAACTAATGCTACCAGGCGCTAATGAGCATCATTGGTGAAAGCATTATCGTTCTAAGACACAGAGGATGAGACTATGGATAAGATGTCAGTCCTCACTCCTCCTTCAGCCTACCCTCTTGACTTCCTTCCTTCTCTCTCGAACAACATTAACAGTGTCTCACTGGTACTTTCACCTACCTACCATATGAAGTGTAAGGTTTCCTTTTAGAGCCACAAATATCTCCAAATGGCAGACTGATCCTAGCTGCTTCTTCTTAATCAGCATAGTCTCGAACAAATACACGTATCACTCCCCATCTTTTTACGACCACGCTTTGATAGTTCTTATGCGAAGGTTGGGATGAAGCGACAGTTTGTGAAGGTTTTTCACATCTCGGCGAAGTGTGTGGATGGAACCCAATTGCTTCGTCACTCTTTTCGATGGCATTGACAAGGACAAACTGTTTTGCCACTCACATTTAGCACTGCTGAAAGCTGCTTTTTGCACGTAGATCTTGAAACAACATAAGATTTGAGACGAGTGATTATGTTTAAGTGTAAATGAAAGAGAAGCACTTCTTGCTGCGCAACACTTGAAATTCCACGACTCAAGGCGACGTTTAACCGGTTAGAGAAGACGGGCAATAATTTTATTCACCTGGTTGTGCAAACGCATTTCAAGAGCTCAAAATAGGGAGAAAGTCTCTTGAACTATTCAACTCCAAAATCATTCCATTCCATTCATAAATGTGAATGAAGTACATGCACTTTACCGTTACCGTGCCCGAAAATGCTACATCAAAAAGCATGTGGGGTTTTCGGTTAGCTACTAATTAACTATTCGTTAGTGCTTTGAAGTCAAAAACAAATATCATTTATTTGCATTAACCCGGTGATATATTTACAGTGCAACATGCTTTAAAGTAGTTTGTGACCCAAAATAGTGTAATCTTCGGGTTTCCCTTGAATAGCGCCTAGTAACGGTTATACAGAATTAAAACTGGTAAAATACATGGCACCGACATGGAGGCTGGAATCCTAAAGCCTGAGGAACCTTACAGGCGATCGTGTTAAGCAGTCAAACTTATGGCGCACTTTCTTGAGTCTTCATCGAAAAGTATATGACATTCATTGCGAAAAAAAATTATAGGTGCTGATTTCCGTTCCATCCTGGGTGGTTCCACGACTTTCGACGATCTGCTTCTGGACCAAAAGAAGTCGCCAACGGCGTACAAAAAAGCGTCGCAACACTACAGCCTCCACTGACGAGCCACCTACAGCCCCATCAATGACCCCTATCGACCTAGAAGACGCCGTTCTAACTACAGACTCCACACATGGAAAAGTTTCTAGCCTCGAAATAAACTCGTTGGAATGCGTAAAACAAACTGGTGAGATTGGAACTGATGGCACGATTCCATCAGAGTCTATTGAGTTGGAGGAGGCAGATGATGAGGAGGATGAGGATGAGGAAGACGAGGAGGAACCTGAGGAACTTCGTCAGGGACAGATGCTTTGGATTCGTGGACTTTCTCGTCTTCAAACTCAGGTGAGCATGTTAGAAACAGACTTTTGAAAGGTACATAGGTTGTCTCCATATCATCGTAATGTTTTGTTGAATCGAGACCAGCATCATCAGTCCATGGATGATGGTTATTTCTCATGGCGAATTTTGACAGCCACTACTTTCTAATCCCCCAACTCAATGTTGAAAAAAAAAACAGTTTTTTTTTTTAATCTGAAGTGGAAGTGATGAAAATGTTGCATTTTACAAATTTTGTTCGCAATTTTCGATTATTTGTGTGAAGAATTTCAGCACTCTCCAGTTGGACAGACACAGTGAGGTTCGAGAATCGGTACGCGACTTCACTCGTAGACGTATCTATAGCCTCGGATGCAACAATTCCAGTCTCACTTTGGCTCGCAGCTCACTACAGCTTCGACGACCTATTAGCCAACCAGAGGAGTTGAATGATGCCACTTTTCATCATCGACAAAGTAACGGTAGAAATAACAATGGATGTAATCAAAAGTGTCAGCCGTCCGATAAATTTGGTTAAGACTGTCCCAAGGATGTATAACACACCCACAAACATGAAAAGTGATTGACAGTCATAGTAAAAGAAACTTTTGCTAACCCACTCAATCCACTCTACCATGTATGTACTTAAGTATGCACTGTATACATATGCTATTTAACTAATGCGCCTCCTTATTTTCCTTCCCTCCTCCCTCCCTCCCTCCCTCCCTCCCTTCCTCCCTTCCTCCTACTCACGTCTGCAGTTGCTTCTCGTGAGTTTATTCATTACTGTCGTCAGGTCCCGTGCGTATGTGTGCATTTTTTGTATCATCCTATGTGTGCATGTGCAGGAGGAATAAAGGGTGTGCCGAAATTGTCTATCTCCTTACACCTCGTATAACTCTGTCCCTGCCTGTTGTGCGTGTTACTGGGTAAGTTTGTACCGAGTAATCAAATAGGTGGATTGCTGTGAATGCAGCTATGCAAGATTTTTATGTGCCCAAAATTTAGTGCTAAAATAAAGCTGCGTCTTTTCGAAACCTACGCGAATGAATGTTTACAAAGTATTTTTAGACTAGAGTAACTTTTTCAGACACAAAGTGAACAAGCGGTTGGTTACTGATGTGTTAGAAATTTACGTGATAAAATAAAACTTCTTGATTTTATTTCATGTTAACTTTTGTGTCGCGAAGAACCGTGTTTTGAAAATAGAGAAATATAAGCACCAAAAAATTATTCCTAATGCGCTGGTACGCATTCCTTTCCTTTTAACTTTTAAGTCTCAGTGTTGTTATTAGAGCGCATTAGTCCCGGTTGAACCTCATCGTTAATTGTATCGAAGGCTCACCAAATTTTAAGATTTCTGATGTCTGAAGGTTAATTAAGGAAATGTCACAATTGTTTCCCCATTCTCAAAGTCCCTCGGTGTAGGTGGTAGTATTTTAAAAGATTTAGGTTGCAATTTAAAGTGTTCTACACACTTCTCTGCCCTTACATCTCCCGTTTTGGTGGCACGTTGAGTCGGGGTTTACGATTGCTGTCATTCCATAAGTTGTGCTAGGATTAACCGTTTCCAGTGCAATTGTAGCTGAGAATTCAGTGTGCAGAGCCAAGGAGGTAAGGCGTAAATTTTTGATGAGCTGCATCTGCTTTTAAAGCTGTTTACATAAGTATGGGAAAATGGTCATTTCCCCATGGCGCTACCGTAGTGGTGGAGTGCAGAGGAAGTCAACAGATCCACTTACAGAACATAAATGAAGCAAAAGTGTCATTCATTTGCTCTTTACATTTGCGGGCTGTCCACGACATCCTTTACGGTCACCTCTTCAAATCAGCAGTGGAATAATAATAGAATGCTTCCAATTTGGCTAGGGCATAAACAAAGTGTTGTAAAGAGTAGACTTTGAATTTAATGAAAGGTAATGGAATCTTAATGTCAGTTCTAAATTGAAACACTGATCTAAGAAGAAGAAGAAGAAGAAGCAAAACTGTTTATTAAATTGCGTGCGCTCTGGAACTCCTTAAATGATTTTCACTTTAAGGCTTCCTGATAACTCGAACACTTAGTCAACGCCTTAAACAATGATTGGACTTTGAGGTCTATTTGAATTAGGTCTTGATCTGTTGGTACCGAGTGGGAGAAAACCGAGGCTGATGCAGGCATTAAAAGTCTATACAGTTTCAAGCACGTTTTTTGCCTGACAATATCGCATTGATTTATCAAGTCGTAAATGCCAATTCTTCTCTTTTGGTGCACACTAACAATAGCCTTTTCCAGTGCTGTAACTGAATCATCCCTGTGGCGGCGCAGTATAAAGGGCTGGCTTCGCTACTGGCGCACGATAAGGCTAGACCAGGGTCATCTTAGGTGATCCAGTTCTGCTGATAGATCCTTCAAAATGGAATGTCAGTGAAATAAATTAAGGTTTATTTGCTGATAATAATTACCATTAATGCTATATTTGAATGGTAGAGCAGAGTTGTGGTAAAATTGGATCCTTAGCAAGTTTTTAAAATTAAAAGCTTTATCTAAAGGTGTCAACAGACTATGGAATTTTGTTATTCTTTTCTCTCTTCCTTTACGTGTTAAGTAAAATGTGTATGGAGAAACAAGTAAGACAAGTAAGTTCTTCAATAGGATGCAACCCTTATCCTTTTGAGGCAAGAGGAAGTCTTAACCTACAAATTGAACAATAATTATGCTCACTCTCCTCATTCTCGATGGCAAGGATCATCCCATTGGTACTTACTAATTTCCCGACCTTAGATAAGCGCCCAATTCTGCACAAATATGGGCAAAGTTTCAGATTTGAGCCTAGATATATGAGTAGATAGGCATAAAGACGGATAGAAAAAGGATAGGTAGGCAAACCGGTTGGCCGATAGATTTATACGTAAGGCAGAAAGATAGACAGAAAGATGGATAAGGAGATGGAGGGCTTTAGTTTGTCGAAGTTAGAAAAAAGGTGGTTGTTATTATGCGGAATTAATTAGTGGTTCTTTAAAAACATGATAGATTAGGGCGATTCTTACAGATAGTTTGCATTCGCTGTATAATCCCAACATCATTTTGTCATTTTCTGCTCACTTAAATGGCATACACTAACATAGAGTGAGGTAAATTGACTAAAACCCTTCACGACACCACTTACCATCAAACGGGTCATCACAGACTGCACTGCAAGTGTGCTCCCGAGAGATTCCTGTTAAACTTATGTCTCAAAGACGTTTTAAAGAGTTTATATACATTGATAGCATGGTTTTACGATTTAGCCGCCGAACGAATTGGAGAAATGCAATTTTCCAGGAAAGCGAGCTAGAATGGTGCAAGAAATTGAAAGCAGAATGTATAAAAACTATTTTTAAACCGTTTCACCGTTTTTTCCTTGTTTTCTGTTATTATTTATCCTTTATCACTCCACGCACGCAAACACCACCTATGCCCGCGCAATTTGCTTCCATTTAAGGAATAAACTCGAATAGAACTTTTCATCATTTAACACTTGACTAATGCTGTTATTTTTGGCCAAGTAACTGGAAAAGTGGAAACTAAGATCGACCTGAGTGTGGCGCTGAAACTATACAATTTACAGTGGGCTGAGATACAAATGCCTTTAATATAACACACGTTTATTGCCTTGCTACTACTTTTTACTAAGTAGAAAAATATGATGGGAAAACTTAGAACCTAGTCAATTTTTTGACTAGAGACGTATTTGGTAAAAGTGGCTGCCGTATTCAAAATGTTTTACAGTTGTAATTGCATGTACCAATAACTTTTGCGAACGGTACACCGATGTTTTGGTTTTTTGGAAGGTTTTCTTGGTCACCAGCTCCTTACGCCGGTCAGGTTGAGTTGCATGCAATTATTTTTTGCAACATGTCGAGGTCGCACAAAAAGTGAATAGGCCTAAGTGCGAAAAAAAAGCATCTGGCAGGACATATGAAGAGCTACTGGTAGGATTTGGAAACTGAACTGTCCAACAGGACTGAAAAAGGGAGCCTCCAAGAGTTGTTCGTTTGTTTAACGTAGACCAGGTTCATGACTCCGCGTGCATCACACGAGATACAATATTACAGCAACATAAATTTGTGAAATTACGCATGATACTGCATTTTTACTTCACTGTAACATCCTAGCCAACTATCCAAGGCGCTTCATTTATTGGCGCAATACAAATCACGGAATGCAATCGGAAAGGTCTTCACGGCTAGACATGACCATGCAACGAAGCGTTTTCTGTATTATAATGCAGCTGTGGTGCTAAAATTGAATGAATTTTAATCTGCATCGCTAGGAAGAATGTTGTTTTTGAAGAAACAAGTGGTATGAGGTTTGAATGATTTTATCCATGATTTTCCATCAGAAGAGGAATACAAAAAGGTGAAGGTTGTCGTAATAATTTGGCTAGATTTTATTGAGCAAGACATCATAAGAGGTAATTTCATGAATTCGAAAAGGAACACATTGCCTCTTAATACATCCCTGCACCTCATCCCATGCATAAAAAGGACGATTTTAAGGAGAAACGGCTGATTCTATTGATTGTATTGGAATCTTGGGATGCAGCGCTATATGTCATGCGATCTGACAACAAAGAAGCATGTGACCGCACATTTTGACAGCGAACATAGAAGCAGAGAGAAACATGACTGCTTGTAAAGTTCTCTTTCTTTCTCCACTCCTGTTGATGAAATGCCCTCCAATGTTGGCCCTGTTTTCATCAAGACTTCCCCTGCTTTCTTGTTACCACCAACAGCCAATTCTAATTACATTAATCCCGCCTTAACCTGCTGCTGCATCTTGCTTTGGATAGTTTATAAGCAGAACCAATCCATCACCAATCGAATGTACTTGTGGTTGTGAATCTTTTTCAGTTATATCCACCTCCATTCATAAGTAAAGCGACTTGAATTGGCATTCAGTATGGTTACATGATTCTAAAATGTCAGTACCAGGAAATACAAATAAGTAAACCTCGTAATAGACTTTCGCACATCCATGCTTCATGGCATTGACAGTTGCACGAACTGTTCTAATCATTCAATTTAATGCTGCCATGGGGCATCACAGGATCCAGCCAAGTAATTCTAGCGCTAATTTTTAATTCAAGAGTCTGCATTTCGCTACCCTATCTTAGGAGTTTGGAGAAAAGCACAAATATTTTCAATTCCTGTTATTTGATTTTGGGATAATACACTAAAAATGCAGCAGAACAATCCATACAGGGGATATCAAGGCAAGACGCAAAGCAAAGGAAAGCATTTTAATGAATTTTTTCCTGGCAAAACTTGGTATTAATTACTGACAAATCGTGGATGACTTAGGTAGCATGAGACTCCCAATTTCTATTTGTAAAGCACAAAACACTTCTTTAGCTTACTTCTTTACAGTCTAGTGCCACTTCTGTAGGTCTAAAGGCGGCCACTACTCGGAGCAAAAATGCTGCCAGTAACCGAATACGAACTTAAACTAGTGAATTTAGTGATTTAGTGAGAATCCATTTACTCTACTATGTAGCCTGAAAGCGTCAAGGTAGGAAATCCTCATTGTGTTTGGATGCATTTGGGGCATTGTCATTTCTCAAGGGTTTCTGCTTCGGTAACTGACTAAGCTCAAGCTTCCCACTGATGAGTGAAGGATCAACACCTACGCAAGGTGACGCAAACGACTACAAGTCCACCAAACGTCTTCTACGAGAGGCAACGTTCTCATAGAGCTCGTTAAGCGGTTTCACCGGGTGTTCACAAGGTTTATCTTCCGTACCGTATGATGGAGGTAGAGTAGATGCAGAGTCTATTTTACGCATTCGAAAACTGATCCTCTAAATTGTGCACTGACATCCTCACACTACTCTTTTCTGCTCTATGTTTTCCAAAAGGACTCTAGAACATAAAAGTACTTTGCAGAATTCAGGACAACCACGTAACCAAATGATAAGTATATTTCAATTATGCAAATTTCTCAGCACCTACTGAATTGTGCAGTTGTGCCCCATTGTTCTGGATTCTCATAGACGTTCCCTATGTTTGAAATTTTACGCACTAATCATCGCTAGTACGTTGCTAAAGGGAAAATTCGGGGGGAAAATACATTATTTTTCAGCTCTCAGTTGCCATGTATATTATTTTCTTGGCAGCGGGAAAATATTTTTTCATTGGTAAAGGACTGCTAACATTCTTCTACCCTTTAAGGCAAAAGAAATGGCGCTCAAAAAGGGGCAGTTTACCATATGTGCTCTCAGAAATCACGCAAACGACAAGACGCCATTAAGCCTAGAAAAGTTGATAACTTGACTTTAGACAGAACATTTCGTCTTCATCTCTCCACCTCTCCTTCTCAGACGCAATCAGTGGATGGTTCAAGGAGCGAACTTTTGACGGCAATTAGAAGGTCAAACTTTCGATTAGCTGCATCTTCTGGAAGTCATATCTTCTACCAAAGCATCAGCATCCCAGTGAGGAGTGCGGCCAGTACCGCAGCAGAGCTAAGGAGGATCCAACGAGGAGAATTTCGAAGTCTGTTTCGCAGTTTCACTGTAGACCCCTCCGCCATATCTGGAGGCTTTCACCAGACTTCGACACAGTGCTCTCCCTACAATGGACAGGTTGACAGCATCCATGCCAAAAGTGAAGCAGAGTCAGGACTAGAGATGTGATTGCTATAGTGACTGATAGCACGCATTGCGCGCCTATGTGTTGTTTCTTGTGTTTTCCTGTGTGTACGTGAGATAATAAGCAGATTAAATGTACTGTACACATCAATACATACACCTTTGCATAGTTTGTATTCTCTACTGTAATTTGTAAGCAAATGCTCAAATCCAGAGCCTTGCTTTGTATCAAACGCAGAGACAAAAAATTCAAGCAATGGTTTGAATGTTTCAAGATTAGCAGTGCTATCATCAACTCCACCACATGTTAAACACACGTAGGGAAGAGGTTATTCAATTAAAATAAATATAGTCTTGGGCCTTGAAACCAAGACCAACAAAGCTGCCTTTTGAAGATGCAACTACCTAGAATCCACTATTAAGCCGACCGAGAATTCAGAGACAGCTAACGTAACAAGAGAAGCAAAATAAAGCACAAAATCACCAACCGTCCTTCCACAAAACATCAGTTCATCAAAGGCAATAGAGAAAGATGCAAGTAGCATTTATAAAGCGAATTTCAACTGCTTTTAAAGCGTTTATCAAGCCTAAAATATGTACACACATCAAGGCAAAAGGAGCTGTCATACACCTCATCGTACATTGGTTCGGTAGATATACAAAGGGAAGGATCAGCAATGGTAATAACGACGACTGTCCATTTAAATGCCAGCCGGCTTGGTCTCTGTCGAATGACATGCCCGGAGAATGTCTGTTTGGGTCAGTTGGCCACGCTCTATCTGACTGAATGCATAGCCGTCTAAAATCACCATAAAATTCACTTATCCACCGTTCGCAAGAGTTCGAAATCGTAAAGGCAAAAACATCTACAAGACGGAAACGTAGATGTTATAAGCGAAAAAAGTTACCCGATTTCTATTGCTACATGCGCTTTAAAGCATGTAGCAATAATAACACATCTCTGAGATGGTAGAACCAAGTCAAATAGGGGCTCGAGAAGAGCCAGTAATTAGCATTAGCCTAAGAAACTAATTGTTGTTGTCAAAGGATTAGCAAAAGCACTGGCTTAATAATCCTATCAGTTGCGGTGCCCAATGGTCAAACCACTAATGCAAGGGGTGAAATAGGAATACCTCGGAAGTATAACTTTCTTTGGCTAATATCTTAAAAAATAGTGTTAAACAAAGCTTGTCATCTAATATTTAGGCTACTACATGTGAAGAATGCTATTTGCTAAGAGATGAAACAAGACCACCACATATTTTGAATATCGAATGTGAACGAATCGAGAATAAATGTAGCAGAAAAAGAGAGCGAAAAAAACCAAGTATGAGTAAAAAACTTAGTGCATCACCACAATTATAAATGGATGCCTACGGGAAAAGTTCTGAAGTGTTTTGTTATGTGAGGCAACTGCCCACATACTCTTCTCAACGAGAAAAAAAGTGCGAAGAATTCTATTCGACCGAAATGTTTTACTTCCAGCAGAAAGAGTTAGTACTAGACTCCCGTCTTTATTCATTTTACTTTTAATCGCTGATTGTACATCCCCTTTGCCCATGTTATTAGTTAGTGCTAATTATGCTGAAATTGCACCAAATGGCAAATTTCGCGACCAGGAAAATACGAAGAGTAAGGACAAGGAACTTCCGCCTTAGCTAAAGTGCATACCTTTTCGCCTTTTGCCCTGTATGGATAGAGGTTAATCCTGACTGCTTCTCAGGTGTTTCCTACACACTGATCTGTATGGGCTCAAGTAGATTCAAGAAGTAAATTGTTCATTCTCCCAGTAAACCATCATGCCAAGGCACACTTTGGCGGCGAACATGAAATAAATGGGGAAAAAATGGATAATCTGTGAAGTCCATTGTTATCTTCTGCTAAAGTGTGAGGTGACATTTTCTCCAGCTCCGGCTCCAACCGCAAGCCCTTTTACCAACAAATATTCTTCCAAACTACCGCATCACCCGCGGTCAACACTACTGTGAGTTGTTATTCACAGTTGAACTCTCAGGCATTCTAACTAGTAGAGACGTGACTCTGCCTTAAAATTAGAATGAAGGAGCCTACCAGCCAAAGGCGAAGTACTTCACTTCAAAAGAAATCCACCAGACGATTCAAGTCATTCGTTAAGCAGGGTATTTATTTTGTACAGCTTCGCTACAACGCACTCTTCAAACAATGCACAAAAGTATCTGTGAATTCGCTTGAATCCTTCAAACAAACAAACAAACTCATAACACCTTCATCGGTTAGAATTAAATAACGCTTTCATGATATGGGGTTTAAGAAAGGAATAGAGTGATAGAAAGCATGACGGAAACTAGAGAACCAATGAAGAAAAATATTTATGCTTAGAAAGCGTTCGCACAACTACTTACATACACTTGAGCAATCGCTTAAAAATTACAATACGCCATTGGAATGCGCCCTGCGAAAAATTACACCACAACCTTACACTGTCGTATTTCAAGAAATGTGGGATTTGTACACGAGAGCGCCAAAATGAATGTCTTCTACTTTGCTTTAAGACTTATGTGATGCGCAAAGCCCAATCTAACTTCATAAGTTCATTTATTTTGCTACTAGAAATAACTCGCAGCTACCAATGCTTACGAGAAAAAAGCCTTTCACAACAGATTTCATCGATAGGTCCCAGTTGATCAAAAGTTCCGTACGTAAGCGAGAAAGCAATTTACTGAACAGGTAACAACGACCTAGGTCTCGCCTTCCATTTCATGAAACAATAAGCAGAAAAATAGTCTTAATGCATAAGCTGGCTAAAAAGGGAAAAGAAACTGATTCAATGCCAAAAGTGAGCACTTAGAAAAACTAAGAACCACTCCAACTACCAAACGTGAGAAACTTCGTCTCAATATGCTAGAGCAAAACTCTAGCGGACGGCATGAGTTAGACGAAAAAAAGGATATGAGATTTTGAGATGGAAAAGTACAAATTGACCTCCAGTTATGAGTCAGGCAAGAAACGAGCAGTAAAAACGCTGTAGCACATGCAAAGCATGCAGAAGCGTTGGACACAAAGTTTAGTCTCAATCGCAGTGATAATTAGTGCTTGGCAAATGATTAATTGCGTCCGCAATGCAACATTCACATGGTCTACAAAGCATAGTCCTATGGGGCTGGACAACGATATCGCTGATCGTTTGAAGAATAACGAAGTTAGATAAAAAATGTTTTCTCAGCGAAATAGTTTCTGACTTAGCCGCTCAGCAAATCAAAATGAACATCGCACAACCTGAGTGAGGTAAACACGAGCCAATTGTTTCAGCTTCATTCGCTAAAAACTATTCTTGATATGCTAATCTTCAACTATGGTAACAAGAGGAACAAGCAGTCCCCCATTGTTGCAAAGAATAGTTTTCGCAACGGAACACGTGACTTGAAGTAGGTGCACTATATTTTCCTCAGGTACTAACAGAAGTTTGATGGGAACGTAGGTACCTCCAGAATTAATCAGGACTCGATTCCCTAAATTTTAATCACATTCGAATGTACAAAAACACCGAACGCCAATCCTTTAAAATGTATACAAATAAAGTCCGCCCTGCAAGTGCCAGAGTGTGAAAAAAGCCAAATCCAGTTACTTCAGAGATACGCTAAATTGTATGGCCGCTTAATGTTATAATCCGAACAGGAAATAAATGGATTGAATTTCACAATCATGAGTGCTTATTTAAGGACAGTTAAAATTGTGAATAACTATTAGATTCCAATGAAAAAAGCGAAACTGTAAAATTATTATTGAGACAACTTACGATCTCCGGGTTGGCTAAGAAGACTTGGTCTATCTGTGGTGACGGGAAAGAAGGGCTGGTGCCGGAATAGCCGCAGACCTCGGGCCCTGGTAACAGAAGGATGATGGACATAATAAGGACAGTGTGGTGAATTATATAGTAGGGAACAAGGCAGTACGACTTGGGTGGAGGAGGCGGATGTAACACGATAATGAAAGATGGAGCGAGGACAATATACACAGAAATTACAACGAAATACCCACTAAGCTGCAAAAATTTGTTAGGTTGAGAGCAATGATAACGAAAAGCCCCTGTGTTGTTTCGAAGCTGGCACATTTTTCGTGTTAGAAAAATAAGATCGCAATATTGATATTATCTTCATCAATACCTATAATGAAAAGCGAATGTCTACTGTAACGCGAGTGAACAGATGAGAGACCATAGACGAGTGCCCAAAAATGTGCTCGATTACTAGATAGAGGATTGGATTGAAATCAGCAGCTAAGACTCCATGTGTTTCGACCTTCCATCCACAAATCTATGCAACAAAGATCCTACGAAAGGCTTTGAGCAATTTATCGACTTTCAACACTATATCCACTGTTCTGCTAAAATGAAAAGGTGTGGGGAGAAAATATGCCGCTCCATTGAGCAGTATGAACAAGAAGAAAACAGAAGATCGTGTTAAATCTCAGATTAATCCTAAAATCGTTTTCATTAATCTCGGAAATGGCCTGAGGAAACTCAAAAATAGCCCCAGATTGAGCCAATTAAAAATGCATTCGCGTCCGAAATGTGAAAACAAAAGCAAAGGAAAGACCTAGTAGAACGACGAAAGTACCTAAATTGATACTCATCAAAACGAAGAATTGCCGAAAGCTGTAGCTAGGATCAGCCTCTTATAACTTCACAGGAGAACGGCTACTAGGCGCTTGAACACAACTAAGGTTAGCAATAACAATGGTAAAGTCGTTATGAATGTCAGATCATCGTTTATGATAAAGGAATTTAAATGGTTCCCAACCCGCGCTTAATATCTTTAACACAGAGGCCAAAAAGAAGTGCTCCAGGGAAATCACTGCATCAACTCTCCAGTTAACCATAGAATAAACGAAAGAGGTGCAAAACGCAGACTTGTATACAACAGTTGCGTGCTATCACAACATTCTTACTCTTCAAACTGTTCGCTGGAAACAAGATGATACATCAATTAAAAAAGACTGTCATCAAAAGATTCCATTTCTGATTGATTTCAAGCGATTCCTCTGAATCAATAAAAATGAGGGGTCTGGAAGGCGATAATCGAAACGACTATGCGTATGTATCCCTTGAAACAATTTTACTGAAGACAGGAAATAATCTTACTAATTTAATGGGGTAGAGACCACCAAGGACGAATGTCATTTTGTAAAGAGGACAAAGCAAAGTTGGCATTTCATAAATTTGCAATCTTGTTTGCAACACTTGGTTTGTGTGACCACCCGATGTTTGGTGGTGCGGTATTTGCCTGACTCTTGTACGCGCAGTCTTGTCTTCGAGCCAAGCCAGGGACCAACCCCTCCTTCTCTGAGAATACATTTACTCCACCCAACGCAATGCCTTCTACAGTGTTGCTTCTCAGAGTTAAGACTCAAATAAGACCCGAGAAATCCATCATCAAAGAAATGAAGCAAGTCGTTCTAAGTTACAGTCCGTTCCATGTGAATGCTTATTCTGAAAAAAAATTGGAAAATTCCAACCGAAAAAATGAACTAATACAACGTACCTATGTGGTTTAAGCATCTGCATAAATGACTCCGGCTCGACACCAACCTGTTCGCAGAGCATGACCTGTTCCCGCATTGTTAGAGAGTAGGTTCTTCGAAGTCTACAAATTGAAATAATTCAGTTATCAGTGGGTTATTGGAAGCAAAATTCCCATAACATCAACCCATCTTGGACTTCATTCCGGGGTGTCGATCCAGTAGCCCTTTTAGCTTTATTTATTCAGCGTCAACTGCTTGACAAGCCATTCCAAAGTCATTAAGTGTTAAAATGCTGAGGAGTTAATGGATAAACGCAAGACTGAAGGATTTGTAGTTTCGCAAGTTATTGTCGCTTCAAACACGGAAAGCGAAGCTGATGTGATTAAAGTGAAAAAGAAGCAAAAGCTATCGAAAATAACAGGAATTAATTTGTGATAATGGAAGAAAATTAACAAAATCTCTTGAGACTGTTATAACTTTTCTACAGTAGTCCATCCTGAACAAAAGAAATAAAGTTAATACGACGCGGATGTGATCCTTACGCATAGTGAAATTTAGATTTGTTGTTCAAAGGAATTCGGAAGAATTATCAGATATTTTGAAAAGTAACTTTAATATCTAAAGAATTAGATCTAGGCTACTTAATTAACAAACACAAATCCGAAATGACAGCTAGACTGCTGATGCTGTGGAAAGCAAATATACTTTAGCTCTGCATCGTTCAAATCAATTCCAAAGTGCCTTTACATTCACTTGTTTAAGCGTTTTGATCGAAATCCCACAGGTTTCTTAAAAGATGACTGTGAAACTAGGTCGGAAAGATATTAAAAACTAATAAACAACCAGCTATTTCTGAGTGATTGCATAATTACGATACTAAACGTCGAGGGAAGCTGCAAAACAAGAAATGAAAAACTGAAGAAGTAGGCTGTTTTGTGTCAATCTTGCTAGTAATTAGGGGAAGGACAGAAGTAAAAACCCAGAACCGTATTCCCAAAAAAATAGACGGTGTGCCATGAAAACTCACACTTTCCAAACGAAATCCCGGGTCAGTGCGATTACGGGAACGACAATAAGAAGCAACCAAAATATTGGGCTGCTGAAACACATCACATCCTAAAAGAGAGCGATAGGAGTGTGTTAATTTGCTAGGCACCAACTACAAGAGAGAACCGGATGGTTAAATCGATAAATAACGGAGTGAGCGGTTAAATAAGGAGGCCCTTGGCACTCACCATTCCAACCATCTCAGGGCCAATCGGGAAAGTAGGGTAGAGATGGGAATAGACGATGAGGAATAGGAACCACAACGCAATGGTGCCCCAAATGGCAAGGTGAGAGAAGACTGTCCATGCTGTATGCTCGAGGCCTGCTTTCAGACAAACTGTCACCACCACGCACTACAAAAGTCGCAGGCAGGTCAAGAGAAAGTTATGTCCATAAGAGAAAAGGCGTTGAGCTTTTGATAATGAGTTGTTAGTATATAACTAAGAGATCTCGCTGGTGCCTTGACTGTGATTTTGATACATACACACGATCAAAGCATTCAAGTACACCAAAGGACAAAGAACAGCGAACTTATTGATGTTGAGAAACTTGTGCATAAACTAATGATAAATACATACAGAATGATTGAAAACGTGAAACTTGAACAAAAGGTTCAACGATAGTTTAGTTACTCAAATGCTGGTGAAAGGCAACTAGCACAAGTTATGGAACGTTCAAAAACGCGGCTTGAATCCTATTTATCGACAAACAAATCGCAAAGTAGTAATCACAAATCAAATATTCTGCCGCAAATATTCGCAAAATTTTACATTTGCTCGAAAGGAAATAAAAAAAACGAAAATGAGGACAGAACTCACCGTATACACAGTGTTACCTACGACAAGACGACTCCCTATGTGCCCATTTGGATCGGCGACATCTAAAGGGAGCAAGTTTTAAAGATGTCTTACGTAAAAGAGAAAGTGAATGGAAGATCACAATATTCTCAGAAATAACAGTGAAAGTAATATGACTAAATTTAAATGAATGCATATGAGGAACACGCTTGGAGAACGGACGAGTAGAGAATTAATGGATAAATACTTCGTGTAAGGAAGATTCATAAGAAAGTGCTTACCAGAATGGAAAGCAAAAAGGGGAATCCAAAAGAGGATGGCTGAATGGAAGACCCCGTTCACAAGCCACGTAAGGAAGGTCTGTTAGAAAAGCAAATGTAAGGGACCAAGTACTTTTACATCAGCTGTCTAGCAACGTGGACTGAATCTGCACATTAAAAGCAATGTAGGATCAACACAACAAAGTAACCCAGATAATGCGCACAAGGATCCTCATTAAATGTTGCCAAAAATCTCGACTACCTTGAAAGTGTCGTCATTAACGCAAAGTATGGTCGAGAAGACTTAATAATGAAGGAATGCATGAAAGAGTATCGTTTCCAGGATCAATTCCTGTCACTGAAATGAGATGCTGGGTTGGAAACAACAAAAACCTGAACCTATGAAACAATTAGCCAATGTAATAACAGGTCATTTCAAGCCAACACCTTGGACTATAAGTTGGATCTGGGTAAATACACCTCAATGATGGTAGATATATTCAAATGAACGTCAGAGGCGTAATCGACAATTCATCAGGACGGAAGTGCCAAAACAATTCAAAACAGTATTCCCGTTTTGGCGTCGAGCTTTTACGAATGGTAACGTCAGGTTGCAAATGAAGAAAAATCGCTACAAAGATCAAAACTTCAGGTAAAGGCCGCGTATGGTGGAAGGACACAGAGACTCCACTCTAAAACCTTCCAAAATAACACAACTGCCATTTATAATTTTCCTACCAACTGTATCTTACTTGCACCAAATGTCGTCGCTACCGTTTCTCCGTTTGTATCAAACGCTCAATATGTAAGATTACCACATTGCAATTGCATTACTGACAATGATCAGCACAGAAGAACCCAAGCTGAGATTGAGGTGAATAGTCGAAAACGAACAAATGGTAAAAAGTGAGGATTATGGGCAACAAAAGTAGGTTATTTAAAGAGAATCGGCAAAGATAAAGAAGTTAGATAAGTGGATAGGTCCTACTTCAGCACAATTTAAGCGAGCGAGCGTTAGAAACGAGGTCCCACGTCTAGGAACTTGCCTTTCCGCCGTGCTGTCACGGCAGTTCAACTCAACAAGCCGTGAAAAAAAGGCTTTTGCAATTTCATCGCTCACCATCCAGATTTTCTCACTAACATCTGTCATTTAAAAAGCAAAACTGTCAACATTCCAGGTGTAATCATAGTTAGTTAAGAGGGGTCGCATCCCGTCAAAGACAAAAAATCAAATAACGGCAGCTGATGTGTACCCAGCCCTGCAAAGAATCTGTACATAGCATCAAAGCTTCGATAAATACTATTTATTTAGTGCAAAAGTGTGCTTTAATTTCTAAAAAAAATATGGCAAATAGTTATGAATCGTGCCCTCTTTCAGAGCGCCCGCAGCAGGCAGGCACAAATTACTTTACCAACCTAAATGAAAATCTTAGGTAGAAAAGGGATGCAATCGAATTCAAATTGATAGTTTCGATAACCGCCAGATTTATGCAAGCTTCGCCAAGGATTTCAGCGAAATCGGAGTTGTACTTACCACTTTGTCGAAAGTGGTAGTTCTTTGTGTCTCCTTGTATAAGACGGGGAGCTTTAGACAATTTTTAGCACTCATATTTCGCTCAAACAACCCAAGAGCCAGCGGAGGTGCAGCGCTAAAGGCCTTCAAAAACAATGAAAACAAGGTTAGTAAGAATCCAAATTTATTTACACAAGAAGAGGAGTGAATAGATTGCGCACCACATTGTAGAGGGCCATGCTCCACCTATCGAAGATTATCTGCCCCGAGAAGCCGGACACCATGCCAAACCAGAATTGAATAACGTAAAGGCAGATGTTCTTGTAGAAGGAGTAAAGGATCACTTTGGTGATGCGATTAAAACTCCAAGCCCCATGAACCAGAAGAAGTTTGTTTAGAAAGCGAAATTGCGCAATGGCATAGTCCGATGAGCAAGCTGCTTGGCGACCTTCCACGCCGTAGATACCCACTCCAATGTGCGCGGCCTGAAAACCGAAAATGAGGCTATAGTGGTTTCAATTTTAATGATACCTGAAATCGTGTTCTCGCGATAGCGCCTATTTGAGTTTAACTTTGTTTCATGAGAGTTTCGTCAAACCTTTGCAATTCCAGCGCAGCACTGGTGACAGCGAGCGTTAATTAGGTCATCTTGCCACTAATTCAGCCTAATCCTGCCGATTTAGAGCCTAGGAAGGTAAGTCAAGTAGTACGGTCGCCAAAATTTAGATTGGGGACTGAAGTGAGTCCTAAAGGACCGATTATTCGAAGAGCAATATGTAAATTTCAAATTATTCAGTGATATTTCGCAAAACTTCAGCAATCATTCGAAGACCTCCGCACTACACTGCAGATTGTGAAGTATTACGAATTACCGCAGTGAAAACGAGGAATAAATTAAAAAAAACTGAAATTTCTCCAGTTAAAAAATTGGTGGTCAGGGAGTAGAACAAATTTAATACAACCCAGTTTACGGTTGTAATGTACCTCTGTTTTAGAATCATTTTAAGTTGATCCCGCTAAGGACTTCACTGGATTATTACCATGCCATCAGAACAAAGTCCACCACCCAGAAACTTTTTCAAACATTCCTAACCCACCTAATTTTATTCAACTTACCACGAAGACGGATGAAGGAAGTGTCACATGTCTGAGCTGCTCAGTTTTGATGAGAAAAGTTACGTGTCACAAATGGGCGACACTTTGACAAACACCTTCTTACATAATACAATTATGATTGCCAGTTCTGGCAACCTCTGTTAACTTACTGGTGTTACTGGAGTTGAACAGCAAAAAGAAAAAAAATAAAAGCACTTCACCTACTAAAAGTTTGCGCATTTTTAAGTAATAATCAAATCCGGATAATTGACTTTTCCTTGACATTGAATTTGACCAAAACTCCAGGAAATGACCTGAACTCGGAGTCTAGAAGTCGAGCATGCTGCATCTACCAAAGCTAAGCACAATTAATTTACTCCTGACATTCATTTAGGATACAATAAAATTTGTGAAGTCTTGATTTATCGTAAATGAACAAAGCACCAAAGACGGATTTTCTGACTCAAGACAGCAATAATAATTATGCCAACTTCCGACATTAATTTAAATACCTGAGAACACGAGTAAAAGTTCTACATCAAAATTCGATTAATCAACTTTCCCTACCCTATTGTAGAGCCCTTTCGCATTAGATGTTAGAATAAAAATTAGTAGGTATTGTCAAGTAAAGAACTTGGAATTTGCAGAAATGCAGTTAAATGTTAAAAATTATAATGGAAATGCCACTTAAAATCACCAACTTATTGCACCGTTCATCCCCTGAAGGCTAAGAAGACTTCAAAAAGCCTATATCTTTCCATGATTAATTTCTTCTTTTGACTTTGACAGCGACAGCAACAGTGTCGGCAGCCAAATTTCAGCACAAAATCGACATTTAGCGCAATTACTTTAACCGACAAAGCGACTATCCGAGAGGCCGACCTGCTACTGATATGCGCAAAGAAATCTCCTTCCTTTAATTCCAGAAGTAACCTTAATGAGGCGTAATTTGATGCATAGCATTATTCTATTGCCCAGCTAGTGAATTTACGTCAGTTCATCCCGTTGCGCCCACTGTCTACCTGTGTACCCCTGCCAATTTGAAGATCGTTATCGTGAATCTCACTTGAGGCTTTTAAATAGTCAATTTTGGGCCAAACTAACGGTAAGCTTTAAAAACTCAATAGCAATCCAAGCGCTGTTATCATTTTCATTTAAGATGAACATCCATTCTTAGACTGTCTCATTGTGTACCGCTTATTCATCTGAGCCGAATCGGGCACGTTGGACCAATGGAATAAAATCCTCAATAAGTGCGGTTACCTGACTCAAAATCCCAAAATAATCTAACGTTATGGCGCTTGATTTCACGGTATGCGACAACAGACTGAGAAGAATACGTTTCAGTTATACTGTGATCGAAAAGTAATCGTAGTGAGGTCTTCTAGGCACCAATCAGGAAATTAAATAAAAACCCATGTCACAGAGGATTCGTTAATCCGCATTTATCGCAGATGGCAAAAATAAGCGCACGTCTCTTTCAGTTGTTACGGAAGGCATTCAAAATCTGTAATAGATCCACTTGAACTTAAACAAATACGAGGAATGGAATGGGTATAAGTCCTAAAAAAGTGAATTTCAATTCCATTTTGGCAGTAAGTATAGAAATCGCAAATCGAAAAATCCAACTTTGTTTCACAAAACAGCACGACATGACTTTCAACTAGCCAACACTTGGAAGACACTGAAGCTAATGTAATGCCAATGAAAAGGAATCAGGAGAAATACTAAGCAGAGATACCTATAAATTGGCAAGTGAATATCAAGCACTCTAATGTGAAGGCAAACAATAAATTATGATTGTAAATAAAAAAGGAGCTAACATCCCCAAGCAAGAAGAAGCGCACTCAAATACTAGTATTGGCTGCCTACGCGCAGGCGCCGCAATAAAAGCCCAAAACAGCACCGACAAACGAGTGCGAGCATACCATTGCAGACTACTTGAGATTCAATAAGCAAACACCTTTAAAAACTCAAAATATAACGGTATTTATATTCAATAAAGTCCATTAACAACAGAAAGTAAAAAGTAGCAAGCTATAAATTCCACTTGCCAATGTAGAAATTGAAGCTGAAGTGAATAAAAAGATTCGTTGGCGTCGAAAGCAACTATGAATCACTTGCCACAATTAAGCATTTATGATGAGATCACGCTGTGCTAAGGGCAATTTCTTAACAAAATAATGAAATACCAATTGACACAACACTTAAGCAGAGAGTATGCCAAATATGAAGCCAAGTTAGTCAGAGTCTACCTGAATCATACCCACATCGTTCGCTCCATCGCCAATCGCTAGCGTGATGTCATTTGTGAAGGTGCGGGCCAGTCGAACCACTTCTGCCTTCTGCCACGGACTAACTCTAGACAAAACAAATGGAGAACGGGATTGTGTTAGGTGTGGGTAGACTCCGACCGCCGGAAAAGCTTTAGAGTAAGTTGACCACCACAGCTCGGATTTCTATAGCGTCTTAGTACAACAATGAATGGCAATGGGTCGTATGACAGATTTGATCACTGCTTGAAGGCCAAAAAAGAGGAATACACACTACTGGATCAAGGATGTTCCACGCCCAATACCGTCCTGTAATTAAAATCCCATCAACATCAAATGCATCCGATGAACGTAATTCTGCCATCTCATCATTAAACCAACGCGTTTAAGCATTAACTTTGGTCTGCTATTGTTAACACATGAGAACATATCGGTCTATTGTTTCGCGGTTAGCTATCCTGCACAGCTGCAAGATCTAAACTACAACATCAACCCGGTGCTTAAATTATTGTAAGACAGATTATCCAAGAGTATGTAGTTTTATTAGATGGACAACTAAAATAAATGTCATAATAAATTCCTTAGGAATGGTTACATTCATACAAAACCGAAATTATCAAGCATAGAAAAACTTATGGGAGTCAACAAAGGCCAACTAAGCTCCAAATTAAAACAACTTTTACCAAAAAAGAATTTATGGAGGCTAAGGTGTAAAAACTTGAGTCCCAACCATCCGAGAGGGATTTTAGGAAATCAAATGTTAAAAAGTGATACAATTGGACACTGAAAGCGCCTCTGATGGGTGAACAGAGGAATAAGATTACCTTGTGAGGGCTTAATAGCAATAATGGGTGAATAAGAAAGGCTGCAGTTTCCCATTTCATTTTCCGTAAATTAAGTGTATCATCCTTATTGTATTCAGGCGAAAGAGCAACCAAAACGACGTATTAATGAAAGTGTGTTGCCATCAAACTGATAAAAACACGAATTGTGCCTATTAGCCATCGCATTCGCCGCCAAATTAAAAAAAAGGAAAATGAATGCTACTGAAAGTAGAAAGTGGTTTTGCATTGTTAATTCTAAAGAATAATTCTCTCAGAACATTGATTCGAGTATTAGATCGAACCAGCTTTGCACGTGACGAAAGTCTTACAAACGTACAAGAATGGATAGAACAGTCGGCACACACGAATAAGGTGTTCTTTCTCCAATGAGCCTCGAGCTGTCAAGTCGCACATGAATTAGGTGCAAGCTAAAATTCTAAGATTTATCCCAAAAAAAACTTAAACTCTGAAACTAGCCCTTTTGTTTTTTTCGACTTATCATTGAAGGACCTAGAACCAATATACATTGCCATCAATGCCTGTGTTTAGGGAGTTAAAAAATAAGAATAAACAAGTAACAGTGAAAATAGACCACTGGAAAATGGTGATTCGCAAATTAAAAAACTCTTCAAACGAACATCACAAACCCGATTCAAGTGTCCACCCTGTGCACAACTTTAGGATTTGCTCAACTTACAGAAAGTAAAGATGCCAACATGGACTTCAAATTGACAAACTGAGTGTCTGTGTCACACTGGGACATATGAATATCTAAACCATAATTTTAAAGAAGACAGCGCGAAATTATACTAAACATAGACCTTATTAGGAATAATTAGGTGACAGTTATGCAAAAAAACCACTTTGCTGCTTTGAAACAAAAGTTCTGGAGGACTCACGCTACCTTGACATTGGCGTGAAGGTAGAAAGTTATAAGGCTTTAATCAAGTGGCAGTCTATTACATTTAACAAAAAAGGAAACGTATTGATTACCGACAGCAGATAACTGATGAGCTCTTGTGCGCAATTTCAAAAAACTCCCTTTGGCATTGTGTTGTGAGAAGTAATTCCAGGGCCTAGGAAAGAAATTGCAAACAGAATAGGGATGGAAACATTCCAGTTGCCTGTAACCCCGGAATCATGTTTTTTCCTAAATTTTCTAGTAACAGGAATTGGATTACGTATTTTTCCATGAATAGGAGGGGAAAACTGAACCAAAAAAGAAGGCAGATTGTGCTTATAGAGCCTAAAGAAAGTTATATTTATCTATGGCAAATATTAAGTCTAAAACCCCCAACCTAAACAAGTCGAAATTTGTTTGGAGAAGTAATAAATGAATCACTAAGTTATGGCCATTATTTTACACAAATTCAAGTATGGATCAAGCCGTTGTGTTATTACAGCATATAAAACGGAACAAGTATTTTCTGCAGAGCTTGTGAGTGAAAATTGCAAATAAATAGTAGTTGAAGAACATCCAAACGAGTCCAATACTTAATTACAAAACAGACTAGCAAAACTCCTGCTATCTAAACCTTGGCAGCGATTGTTCAAAAGTAGGCGTGCCAACTTAACCCCGAAGCAGTAAACTCATTTACCGTCAGTGACGACAGTTAATACAGTAGATCGTTACTAAAGAGGCAGCATTTATAATTTTGAGCATTGGACGCTACACTGGAAGCAAAGATTGAGCATTTATCGCTCCGACAGAAGTCGCAAGCAGAAACCTACAGGCGAAACAGATACAAAAGAGAAGGGACAGGACGACAGTCACGTTGATTTACAAAGATTGGTGAGTCGATAATTTTGTAGATGTCTATAAAATCGCGCGAGCAAATTTTGCTTGTCTACAGCCTTCCAATCGCTATTTTTGCTAATAATAAACTCTCGGTAGCGATAGGGACTGTCAGGCCACCTGTGAAGGTTTCGCGGTCCCATTTGTTCATAATTGTCGTTAGGCCACCACCATGGAGTCAAAGGGGAATATTTTGGAATATGAATATGAGTCTTTTGGGGACTGCTGCAACTTCAAATAACAATTCAAAGCCCAAATACTGAAAATTGACACTTACCTTGCCTGTGACAATAAGAGCAACCTCGCGACCCTCGCTGAGCTCCTTTTTCAACTCGTTACTACATTCAAAGAGTTGGTCCCGAACTGTATCCAAATTGTTGCCATCGATGATTAGTTGTACCTGTTCCGGGTTTATGAGACGACAGGAAAGACCTATTAGACAAAGTGACATGGATTACGTGTGTGGTCGTTAGTTGACAAAACCCATCACCAAATACGTTAATTGTTCATCGCTCTAAACTTCAAGCAGACATCTTGCTTTTAAATATTACAACAACCGAAATCTACTTGACAGTTCAAAGATGCATTCGAAATAGGAGAAGGAAAGGTGTATTCCATCGGAATGTCAGAGCAAATGTTTGAAGTAGAGCCCATAAAAAACCCGTTTATAACGACTCCAGACTGTGATGATGATTATTCTGAAGGCAAAAAACGCCTTGCAGAACTTACGATTATTCCACGCTAGAAAAACAGTAGCAACGTGGCGGAATGCATTAAACATTACGGTAATTGCCTACGAAAACAAGAGCCATAGGGAAAGACGTATACGCATATTTTAGTAAAGCAAAATAAGCTCATCATTTGCAACGCTAAAGAAACTAGAAAGCATAAATTGATTCATTTCTATGGGCATAGATACAAGTATTTTCTCACTTGTAAAAATAGAAAACACCAGATATGTCAAGTCAAAAACTATTAAAAAATAGGAACTTAAGGCTTTAGCAAAGGAGGGTAGAGTCCGCTAATAATTCCTCACCCCAAAGTTCTCACTCTTCAAGATGCAAAACAATCTCAACATCCATGGCTGAGAAATGATCACAATCACGATGCTAAAAGTTACACAAGAAGCTTCCCTATCTAGCACATAAAGAGAATAAAAAAATCCTCAACGTTGTAAAAGCGCGAATGATTTCCATGGACTGGCAGGCCATGATCTACAATAATGATCGCTAGGAGAAACGAAACTTCAAGCATAATCTGTCAACGCTTGCTAGTGGGAAACAATAAAATCACTGCGCAAAACTAAAATGAGACCACTAAAACGCGGATTCCTATTTAGGAACTGTGTCTAACAGCTTCTGCTTCTACGAACAGGAACATAAATATGGCTGTGAAAGTATCATGGTATGTCCAGAAAAGCCTAGTATTTCGCGTTTGATGCAAGGACAACACCGATGTAATCCATCTGTCATGAAGACCAAGTAAAAATAAAATTCAAGCTCACTGCTGCGATTATGTCGCCTATGTTTCACGCGTTCCAGTTCTTGCACACATTCCTGATTAAACAATAGCATGAGCAACATCTGGATAAATCTATTAAAACACATGCTGCTTTCATACATAGTGCGAAGATGTCTGTTTTCAGTCACGAAACGAAAAGTGGTTATGTCATTTGGGTAATATATGATGCAATTTTGGGTCATTTCGTGTGCCAAAACATTGAATCAACCTCAGATCAACAACAATACAAACGCGTTGTTGAGAGAATGCGAAGTACGACAATGTAGGAGAATATTTTGTTGAGCTATGTTCGATACATTTTCAAACAATATAAAAGCATTTTCAAATCACCTCCTCAAGTCAACTTACACTGCAAAAGATAAGCTAACGATTCCATCAATGCTGAGGCTACAACTCAATGAATCGGGAAACAAGTTAAAAGAATAAATTGATTTGGTAATGCAAGCATTTGCCAGATTTACATGAACCAGCCTCATTTAGTTTAAAGCTAATTAAATAGTAACGGTTGTAATAAGCATTTCAGCACCACACGTAACCAAATATGTGTTTATTTGCAAAATCGAATGCATGGACTCCGAGAGCTTCTCACAATTCGACCCTCGTTGTGGCAGTATTAACGTGCCACTAGTACTTGTAGGCAACTTGACTCAAATGAAAAAGTTACAACAACAGCAGACGTGCCAATGTTAACAGCCGTCTCCTGCTTGTCACCCGTAAGCACCCAGATAGAAATTCCTGCGGCCAACATGTTGGCAATGGTCTGAGGTACTTCGTCCTGCAACTTATCCTCGATAGCCGTGGCGCCTACTAATTCCAAGTCCTAAAAGAAGACGACGCTCGAGCATTTCCATTCAATTGAGAGAGGCAATGAAAGAAGGGGACTTGACCTGCTCAATCAACTCGCAAACCTCGTCCAACAGTGCATTCCGGTTGGTGACCGCAATACTTGCCTCGTAGTACTTCAGTGCCCACTCCTCGTAAAAGACACGATCAAGTCTACGAAAAGCTATGCACAGAGTTCGCAGGCCTAAAAGATGAACCAGTGCAAAACTAGTGCGTCTGCCTCCCACAAATAAAACATGATTTAGCCTTGTTTGTGGATAAAATGTTAATCAAAGAGGAGGTTCTTTTCCTATGGATTTCAAAACAGTAGATTGTGATTAAAATCCTGATCCCAGACACGTAAAATAAGACATCATCTCGGGAGAGCTAAACACAAGCAAAAAGCGCCTTAGTGCTAGTCATAGGAGTAGCACATTCTATGGAACCCTGTGGACGCCTTAGTCGGGGTGTCAGACAGCAACAGTGGTATCCGTGTGGGAATATTGAAGGCAGAAAACCCGCCAATGACCAAATATTTGAGTGATTTCCAACGGTGATGGGATACTCAATTCTTCAACAGTGTGACGTTCGAACGGTGTCAGCATTCCAAAGGCAGCCGTATGTCTGTCAGTGACGAACCCGGTCGCGATGAATCCGCCCTCAGCCAACACAGTCGTCATTCCTGTGTCAAAATACTTCAACACACGGAACATCTGCCGAAGCCTGAAAGTCTAATTGATAAATAATTTGCCAAAAAATCGCATGGAGTTAGGCTTCCCGTGGAGATAGTGAGAGCAACAATCCACGAACACTTGCAATCGATTACTGTTAGTGCGCTGGAGCATTAAGCAGAAAAAGTGAAGCAATGTATTCTGTCATGGATTACACATACTCAAACCACCTCGTGTCAAACCCTTCCAAGGTTTAGGCAAGTGGTAAAATGTGCATAAATAAAACAATTGAAAACATCTAAGACCAAATTTGGTTGCTTAAAGATTATCTTTCCATTTTGCGAGCCTAAAAGTGCCGAGTAATTTGACAAAGTCCAACAGTTGTTGAGAGCTTCACCAGACAATGACGAAAGAACATTACCAGTGACTTGTTTTACAAAAGAACTAAAGGTAGTTCAATCAGTTTGGTATTTGGAATCAAAGTAAAACGATTGTAGCCTACCGATGCTTGCGAATTCATCCATGTGAGTCAGGGTTTCCTTCCTGAAGAGAGCCTCACTTGCCAAACGTTCATAGATAACAGTGTCCTAAAGCAGGAGGCGAGAGAAGGTTAGATCAGCCTAACAAACGTAATGAGTCCCAATTCAAGCTATATGAGCCCCAGCTTACGGTCCTTCGACGATATCAGCCTTCAAATGGGTTCTTCAGGCTTTGATTTCCGATTATCACTTAAAGTTGCTAAATTCATCCCATTTTTGTGGCAAAATTTATCCTCACTCCTTGTTTGCAAGTGAACCCTGTCCACACCACTTCTTTTTCCCACTTAGACGCAAGGATGTGGAAATAGACAAAGATGCGAAAGAAAAGTATAACGAGATTGTTAGACGCTATTTCATAGGGTGAAGACCGTGCATTTTCCAAACCTAAATTAAGCTCATCACAATTTTGCTTTTCCTTCTACGGCCGGTATCTGACCTACATAGAAGTACAGAAATATGTAAATGCGAGATGAGATACATTGCAAGCGTCAATAAACTAAAAACTGCTTTTGGTTTGACTACAGCGATCTTGTGGAGGAAGACAGGTAAAACTAACGTCGAGCAGTGATAATTAACTGCATCAACTTCACATGATTAGGTAGACTAGTGAGTGATCACTAGTTCTTCATCAATATTACAAAATAACAAAAGCATTTGTAGTTGGAAAACAGTGAAAAGACCCCCAAGTTCTTCAGACCATTTCAAGGACATAAACTAACAGAACCCCAAAAGCTTCATCGTAAAGAACTGCATAATCTCTGACAATATTCAAGGTCAAACATCTATTTAAATATCGTAAACTATTCATATGACAGCAGAGATTGAATGCGAATTGAGCGAAAATAGAACAGGAATCGTGACATTCATATCTCATTTTATTTATTTTAATAAAAGACGGAGGGTAGCATTTCACATTCGACGTTGCGCCCGCTATTCGTCTTGCCGATTTTAACATGGATTAGCGGTTGGCTTTGTCGTAAGGTACAATTTAAAACCGGTTTTGTAAAAAAACACCAGTCTTAAAGTGGACTACGAAATCTTTACCGTGAAACTTTTCAGGTGAATAATGGTCAGTCCATCCCCAAATTAAGAAGGAAAAGTACGAAAAAAGAAGAGGATAATTGCCTTGAAAATCGGAAGCGAAGTAATAAGATGCTGAATTCCATAAATCAGTTGTAAATACACCCTTTCGGAAAGTTCGCCTGACGTATCAGACGCAGCCGAATATTTCCACCCGTAAAAATATAGGAATCTTTCTACGGTTTCTAATTGTCGTCCAATTGTTATATTTGCATCATCCCTACACCAAATTTCAATCTCAGATTAATCACATTCCAAATAAGTCAATAACAAGAAGAGCTTTTAGTTTAGATTTAGCTGCCTTTGAATGAAAACTTAAAACTTGCCGGTGAAACTAAAATGCTCTCACTCGGCAACTTCAAGAGTGTGATGAGCGAAACTGAAAAGAAATCAATCAAATTGAAACAACTAATGCTAGTCCCTGGGAAAAAAGCATAAATGGAAGGAGAAAAGGGAAAATCTGAATCAAAACGTAGTTATTAAGTCCTCAGGAAAGGCAAATCGAGTGTGCCAGATGACTCCTATTTCATTTTTCACAATAACAATAAATTGTTATTTCAGCAAGTGAAAGTGCCTTCCTAGGGGCCAACGGAATTAATGAAGGGAAGTAGGTGAAGCAAAAACGGATAGATCGTGATTTCTCAAAGTAATTAATTCAAATTGTGATTCAAGACAAAGCTATCGAAGAGCTCCGAAGAAACTCAAAGGGTCAACAATCTAGCTCGGGACAATTTGGAAGAAGGACGTTGAGGGAACAGAGCAAATGGAGAAAGCAACGTCCGGCCTTTGAGCCTGTGCGCAGATTTGGTAAACTCAATTCTTCTAACTTTCATGCAAATGCACCTTTGCCGGCAATACACTTGCACAAAATTGAAATTGATAACATCTCGAGTGGACTTGAAAAGGTGTAACAGATTAAAAAGGCATTTCGCGTAAACTATGAGCTGGTCAAAAAACAGCACGCGAATAATGACATTTACTCGGTTGAGGCCAAACTCAAAAAGACAACACAGGCGATGCCGTAAGTTCGTGTAATCGGCTGTAACAAATCGCACCAAAACCAAAATGGAGTAATCCACCTGGGAGTTCAAATGGTGATTTAATTGGCGAACTATGAAATTGTCGATCTATCCATAGACTCCGGTTGAGATTGTATTAAAATAGGATTTAAGTATAGTCAAATACAAAAACGTTACTTAGTATGCATCGCAGAATAGTGAAGGAAGAGTAGACAACTCGTACAAAGTTTCCACAAATGAGCTTTATAGTTCTTTCAGCAAATTTATAATTCGATCTTAAATATGAGAAAGCTGACAGATGGAGAAAGGAGAATATTAGACGCCGTGGTTATCACTTAATGAGCCACGTCTCGAAAACAGAGCTTGGTTATTTGAAGGTAACCAAAAAGGTAAACGGTGACCACTGATGCGAAAAGGAAATTGCCGTAGATACAGACACTCTAGATGATTGGAATAAAATAAGGACGTCTTTTTTAAGCTGAGACACTTTATTCAGCCCAAATAAGCGTAAATCACCTTCTAAAGCAAAATTCAGTGCCCCGGACGGTACGCCAACATCGTGCACGAAGAACACAAAGGATTTCTAAGTAAATATCTCAATACCGGAAATAATCTGTTCGCATGCATCAAAATAAATTGAGCTTCAACCGAAAGAAACTGTTCAACCGCTAGCCAATAAAACGAACAAGCCTTTCGAAATGTGAGTTTATTACTAAAAATAAAATAATTTCAAAAAAGGAATATATACTGATCTCTAGAGTATTTGATACTAACATTGAGAGAAAAACAATGAATACTGGTCCGATGGAAGGCTAAAAACGCAAAATAGACGCAATGTTGTAAATAGTCAATGCTCCTCATAAAAACGGTTGAAAAAGGGTTTCTTAATAAAAAACAAAAAAGGAGATACTTCTCAAATGTTTAGTTTTACAGCGCGAAAAGTTAGTTTCGCGCCCACGTGTAGGTTCACTACTATCAGTCATCGTGGAAACTCCTTCATTTCTGCCGAGCCGTCGTCCTCTCATTCATTTAGAATCTGGGTTCGCAAATCAAATACAAGCATTTATTTTGCCTCAAAATCGACAGCACGAAATAATAAAATTAGAGATAAAATTCGTACTATAGGTCAGTTAATTAAAACCACCACCTAAACCCGATAGGTATTGCTACTTTAAAGAAGTGAATCAAAGTCAAGGCAAAGAAAAAACTGATGAGAGATTTTCGACAAAACACTTACGGCGCCCTTGATCATGAGGAATAGCTTCCCGTCCGTATCCTCAACAACGACGCTCATCCGCTTCCGTTCGCTTGTGAACTCGATAACCTGGAGAAGTTTGAACTGAATGTTTTCGCCTTTCTACAATGTCAAGACGGAGGATGAAACAAGTGAAAAAAAAATATAAGGAGAGGTTGGAGAGTACAACTAAGAATCCACCACGCACTACTCGAATTGTGACAGAATCAGGTTCACGTTCACAGAAAACGTAGCCCACTGTCTTTGCAGCCATCACAAGGGCACGTTCATCTGAAAAGCAAGGAAATTCTGCACTGATCTAGCAAGTCTTAATGTACCAGAAAGTTTTAAGACACTGTTATCCCGACTGATGGAATGTAAAAATACTAATCGGAAATAAATCTCGACACCCCGAAATATGGGTAAATCCACATTAAAATTTTCGATTGTATGCGACTGATGCTAAGAACAGAGTGACCGGTAGTTTTAATAATAATAGGCAGTTGAGAGGGAACAAATATGAGCACAATGTTATAGGCCTGAACAACTAGTTAAATGACACCAACTGTCGCAAGAACGTGATGATCACGCGACCAACCTGGTGACGTCGCTTGATAGCGTATGTCGTCACGATCAATGTCGATGTCAACGTATTCCGGAATGACCGTATGACACACCGCAAGTATGGTAAAGAACCAATCCACATCACGGTCTCCATCTGAGAGTCTCGAAAGAAGTCTCCAATCTTGTAACGCACAGGTTTCCTGATCTTCCAATCTTCAAGAAGGGATTTAATGACGTAGATGTGAATTTAAAAATAATTTACAGTTTTCACTTTCAAAAACGATTCCTTCCTCTTATATCAAAGATGGACATCGCAGAAATTTAGCTCGCACATAACGTAAAACACACTTCAGTGCTACAATTGAAGCTCAGATGATGCCCCAAATCACATAGGTTTCAAGTGAGCTGGGACACAAACCTTAGAAATAGCTGATGTAATGGAAGTTAGATATCTCATTTCAGCTAAAACGCCGAGCAATGCAAGCAATCTTAAGTTTGAAGCACTAGAATGTAACGCTCCTCTAACGCTGATATTTTAGGGTCCATGGCCGTTAAAGAATGGTAAAGTAGAAACTCATCAACATCATCCTGTTAAAGATTGCTCCAAAGAAAACAAAAGTCCAGAAGTTCGAACATGGAATAAGCATCAAAGCACTTTCAAGTTGTAGGGAACGCATGTTTGAAAGAAAAACAAATCTACAAACCTCATTGACCCCATGTCATTACCTAAGCGCTACACAACATTCGGAGTAAAGACAGAAATTAAAAGCAGTGTAATGCGTATTCATGTGGCTAAGTATGCACATTAGTGAGCGTCAATAAAGCTAATTTACACTTGTTAAATCGGGCAATATAGTCTAAAGTGAGTTGTTAAACTGTATTAGCAAAATCATAGCACTAACCTAACTGACTGCCACTACGCGATGAGGAATTTACATTCACTAGGGTCTCAATAGCTTCAGGGAGGAAGGTTCAAGTGAACCTCTAGAATAATTTAGCTTTTTAGATCACACAAGACCAGCGTCTCGAAAAAATGAGGCCCATTCAACTTGCGGTATCAAGGATCATTCCCAACAAGTCAGTAATCCTTCATTAAAAAAACCTTTTAACGGTCTAGCGATCCGATTATTAGTAGGCAAGGCCTTCATCCCATCGAGAACGTTCTCTGATCTGACTTGACCCTTTCAGCTCTAGTGAAAACTGAATTCCCTATCCCATTTTCCTTCACCGAAAAGTTCAGGGACTTTGCGAAGGATGAAACGAGTGACTCCGATTCAAAAAAAATTAGAAATTATAACAATTGCTGTTAGAGTTCACCATGACATCAAAGTAATCAATTTGAGACCCTCGAGTAATTGGGCTACTAGTAAATTTCGGAGATTAAAAATACATTGTGAGGAGCGGCGAACCAATCGTTCCACTTGTAGTCATTGAACGATAGTGCTCACTTACCCATAAGCCTCTCTTCCAATGGAACACATTTTAAATTCCATCACGTTTTTTGTGAGAGTACCCGTTTTGTCGGAGAACATGTACTTAACCTGAAGGCACAACATAAGAAAATTTTAAGATTCCAAAAGGAAGCAAAAGAAGGAAGCCATATGGGAAGATGCCTCACCTGACCTAAGTCCTCATTGAGATTTGACGTTCTGGCCATCGCAGGAGTATCCGTTTTCGCATCGTACATGTCCAAATCCTTGCCAATATGGCGGAAAAAAGAGGTTTAGGCGATTGCGAGTTTGTTTTAAACAGTCGAATTGGTGAGAATCGTAACCACATCATAACATCCCGACAACCTACACCATTTCCATCACATCTTTGGACTAAGCTATCCTATGCGGATCAAAGCAACCGTTAGCCAAACACTGCACCAATGTTGCAACTTAATAATGGCGAATAATTCGACTGTTTTTTTTTTAGAAAATGGCCCTAAAGAAAGTAGATAGGTGTTCATAGAAAGACATATCTTAAATTATCAGAGAAGCCAGATAGAGTCGAAGCAAAACGCTATCATTGTTAACCTTCAAATTCAACACTAAAATGAATTGAAAATTTTGCGCAACTCACCCAATTGATAAAGAGGGCTTGGACAAAGCGCACCACTTCAAGAGTTACTTGGAGACTGATCGGAATGATGGTGTGAAAAATGATGAATGCGGTGATGCACATGAACCCAGCACTTTTAACGGACAGTTCTATAGGGTAAATATGAAATATGCACGCATTCTAATAGTGAGTACACAAGTAGCCATGGTACCGTTGTTAGCAACTGTGAATTTGAATGAATACCTACACTTATGATGCAGAGTTCAGTTTACGTTCTCTTGTCCCTCCTGTCCACCCATATCGAGGCCAAAAACGCCTATGAATTTTAATGCTATCAGCAGAAGCCCAAACTCCAAATTGGTGACAAGGCTGACGGCTCATAGCACAGTGAGGAAAAATTCCACTCTTGATGACTGGATAGGAGGCCAAGGAATCACAGAAGACAAGTGTCCAAGCGACTGGAACAAATATAGGCTTCTAAAAACCATTCCGATTTGATGGAAACGCAAAAAAGTGATGCAGAAACAGTGAACTGTTTGAGCTGAACAAGGTTGCCTCCCAACGTTGCTGCGAAGCGAGTTGATACCAAGTACAGAAATTGGTCAGCGCAGGGCACCATTTGATTCAGACAGCGCTTTGCAAGTGTACCCTCTTGGAACTTGATATGCCTAGGGTCATTACCCAAGATTCCTACTAAAAGCGATAGTACAAAGCAAGAAGTACCTTCAACACTATTTGTACTTTGCATTGCCTTCATCCCTTTTTTGTAGATCACAATTTGCAAAAGGTCCTTACTGACGGAGAAGCGATTACAGGGAGTGCAAACAAGGATGCCCAAATTTTTTTCGAAACAGTTGAGTACGATAATGTGTTTAGCTTAAATGTTGAGTAATTTCCACCTGTGAACGAGATCGTGCTTGGAAAATTTGCGTGCGACAAAACAAGGATTGATCGATTTATCTTGCAAAATGCGTGCACGAGACTGGAGGAAATGCAATGACAATGAAGTTATCCACAAACTATATTGCACCCGATCAGGACTATCAAGCAAATCGACTAGCAAGTGGTGTAATCGGCGGAGTTTGCAACAATTGTCTTCCCTGAAATCAAGCGATTGAACTTAGGTGGGCATTTAAACATAAACATCGTTTCGTAACAGCACTGTTCTTAAGAAACTGAGTCGTTCGAAGAAACCGCTGATCCAAAAGCCTCATTAAAGAATGAATTCAAAATGCCACCTATGAGTAGGGGTAGTGTGCAACATTGCTCAGAGCCACCACACTCGCAGAAAATTCTATTCAAAGTCGGCTCCGTAAAAAATTGGTAAACTTATTCAAGGAATGAACAGATGAATTAAAGGCATCTATTTTTGTGAATTGTGCTGTTAGCGATGCAAAAACGACCAAAGCATTTCTCGCGCATCACTCACCGAATGCCTGGGAGTGGCCTGACTTGTGAATTTAGCAGATTGCACGTTTGATATCATTACGTGAGATAAACGCGGATTTCATGGTTTTACAGGTAACAAGTGTTGACTCAAGAGGCAAGGGAGGATAAGGGCAAACCAACACTTTTGACAGCCGTCTTAATGATCAGGTGGTAAAGGCAAAGCGACCCTAAAACCAGACCATGCTTAACAACAAATATTTTGTGATGTTGTACATTGATAAAAACTGATAACAAGCCTTTATAAAGCTACCAAACTTAATCAGTAGGCATCCAGCATGTAATAACATAGGTTATGAACTCAGCACTAGGATAGTGTGTTTCATCACGACACCGACAAGGATTGAAAATTGGTAAGGTTCACTGACTTGCTTTGTTGCGTGAGACCAGAGTTGGCTAAGTACATTTATTATGGACAACAAATTTTAAGTTTTGATAAACTATTCCAAACCTTGTTGACTAACTCATTGACTAGCATTGTGAGCACAAGTTTCTACCACAAATGTCCCCTTAAGGGGAATAGGTTAAAGTGTGGGAGAACACATTTGCCAAGCAGAGTTTGCAGGAAGGGAAGGGAAGCTAAACAGTTCGAGGGATCAAATGGAGTGAATATCGAACGCTAACAATTTAAAGTCACTTTTCCAAGTGAAATAGCGGTACAATACTCACCGACTCCACTAAGATACCACATGTTTTCACCAACTGTTTTTGTCCATATGACATTAGCGATGACCATGAAAATCGTCAGAAATGTTAGCAATCCGAAGAGCACTAGAATCTGGTAAACAGAGAAAAATTCGCATATTTTCGGCAAAATGGGAATTAAAAATTAGAGAAGCCGTTGTTTCAACTGCAACCCCTCGGATAAACAATAGATAAAATGAAAAATTGATTCACTGAAGTTCTTTGCATGGGAACAGAAATAAAAGAAAAAGCCACTAAGGTGCAATAAAAAAATTGAATGAAAATCATATATGCGCCCATAGGTAGACATGTTACAATGCTACATCACGCCATGTCACGTGGCCAAATACGAGAGCAGAAGGCTCTCCCCTTCCACTATGAGCTACAGTGGCTTCAAGGTGCCTTTAGAGATACCATGTGCCCTCCCATTAAAAGTTTTACTCAGTAATAAAACGGGAAAGTGAAAAAAAAAATGGTGTGCGAAATCTCAAACTAAACCAAAGAATACAAAAGTTTCCCGAACCAAGGATACCGACTAATTTACAAGCTTCATGTCTTCGTGAATGCCTTACAACCGTTGGATATTCACAATACTAGGATTCTTAGATGAGATAGTGATCGGTCATCGAGCAATTTAAACTCCTAGCAATGACAAGTCGAAAGATGAAACACCGACTACATAAATAACGCTTTCCAAAATATTTAGAGAAATTCCACTCAAGGAATTACCCACTATACTTCTCTGACATTGTACTACCTACCACCAGTTTGCGATGACAAAGTGCTTTTTAAACATGAGAAAGACAAGCAGTTATATTGGGTAATCAGCAAGATGCACATTCCGCTCGCCGGCGCCTCAAATTCTCTGCCAAACTTAAACAATTTACCACTAGGACGGCAACAATAGGAACACGACAAGATTGAACACACGAGTTCAGGACTTCAACATAGAAAATGGGCATTTTTTGCCATGGGACTCAAGAAAAAATGTTAGTACAAACAGCCTACATAGTAATTGGTATGTTTGTCGACAGAAGATCGCTTCAATGGGGCAGCTGTTGAATTGAGCATGACCTTGGTCTCTTTTCCTGTGTAAACAACGGCACCTAAAAATAACAACGTTAATAACAGTTCCGAATCGAACTTAAACGAATATCGCTCTCGAAATAAAATAAAGCAGCGAGATCCACAGTTTGAACGTAATACATAGTGTGAAGAAGTTCGATAAAATGCAACATGTCACTATTGCACAAACACAGATAACCACCTTCTTTGATAACCTACCAAAAACCCAATTCGTATTTTTCACCGTGGCACCGCGCAATAACATCTGGTTACCGTCCAATGGATAACCCCTAAGAGAACAAATGAATTGTATCACCGAATGATGACAGCAAAATGCAGTTATAGGTGTCTGATACGATACCAGAGTATTGATACAAACACCGGTCCCCAATGGCAAAAGACGTGACAAATTCTGTTTACACTTCTGCTTAGTCGAGTCGATAAAGACATTATAACTGAATGGAGGTGCGAAACGGACTTACGTATTGTTTCCATCATATAGAGTACCCACGAACTCTTCCAAGCATCTTGTGGGTTGCTCACATTCAATTCGCATTCTCGCTTTCTTTAGAGCCTCGGTAGTTAGTAGGCCAGAAGTGGCTTGTATGCCCTGTAAAAATACGGAATAAATTCATCCAGACTAAAACAAGATATCCTCGAAGCGCCGGCAAAAGGCACTCACCTGACGTAGTTTAAGGGCAGTCTCACCGTCCAGATTTGAGGTTTCAATGTAGCATATGGACATCGGTTCACTTGTGGCGATAATAACGAGATCCGCTGGAATAGGAGAGTTGCTGGTCAATTTAACAAGGTCTCCGACCTGAACATTCTTCCAAAGTGTTCCTTCCCATGTTTCGTTTCGCAGAACTATATGGGTTGAGCAAAGCCTCAATAACATTTTACCACAAGTTTCAGAGTTATTCGTAGCCTTATCGGCCGAATGGCGTGCCTATACTGATGAAATGACCGGTACTTTGACATACATAATCCTCGATAATTTCCTTTACTGCTGAAACGCATAGGATGAAGGTTAACGGGACCACGGTCGTGAATCGACCGGTCGGGGATACACCTGGTATTTGCTACGAATGGAAAAGATGAACAAAAATCAAACAAACCTGAAAGAGAGCAACAAGAAGGAAAAATATGTTGGCATACTTTCTGAACTGCTCAAACAAGAATTTCGGGACAAAAGTCAAAAGAGAGTACTTTCCCGTACTGAAAATACGAATACTTGGTTCAAAAGCTAAACCACCTTATTGAATTGTTGCAAAATTTTGTTTCATTAAGCCCATTCACAAAGATTATGCGCTCCTTTTCAACAGGAGGAGTAGAAGTTGTACTATGTAAAGTCTTGTAATCTGAATTATTTGGTAAATAAAGATAGTAGACCATACTATCCGTTTGATCCTCAGCTCCCGCCATCACCCGAAGTCAAGCCGATGATCTAAAAGAGAAAACATGTAGACCAGAGGTTTCCTCTATAGGACAAGTACATGGGCAGTGGAAACGATAGTTTACGCGCAAAATAACGGAAAACCAATGTAAGATTGCGACAAGTACTCAGTAACAAAACCTCACAAATAAAATAGGAAATAAAAACACAAAACACTGCGCAAGAGCAAACAGGCTTCAGCTTGTGACAAGAGGGCATAAAGAATAAACAAATGAATTGGGCAGATTCCACAGAACTTACATCCCTTAGTGAACAGGTCAGAGAAGTCATGAATGCAAGAAACTAAGTCGTAAAAATGAGCCAAGACGGCCCAGACACCTTGACAACAAAGCCAAGAAAGCTGAGAATCCAAAATGAGACTTCACAAGCAATCGAAACTACCCAAAATGAGCGAGCTTAGATTTGACCAATCGGAGAACGGGCTAATTAGATTAACAAAAAATTTATGGGCTGTTAGTGGAACTTTAACAAGTTATTAGTGCCAATAATGCGTGTTATACTCTTTTTCCGAAGAAATTACCAAACCAAAAGGGGCATGTGTGCAACACGCTACGCGCTATTTATGGACAGTCCGCTGAATTAAATCACAGAGAAGTAATGTATGGGATTAATTTCATCTCTAGTCCAAAATGAATAAATTTAAATTACTTACGGTGCTCTTGTTTAGTTTAATTATCGCATGATCTCAATGTTAATATAAACAGTCTCCGGTGAAATTTATCTTTTGCGCGCACAAGAAACCACAACGTTTGAGTTTAATAGCCTGCTTATTAGGATTAACCATTTTGATGTTAATACGACACATGCGCTAGGCTTCAAGATAGACTACTGCACATTAAAAAATCCATTTAGCTTATAGAACGCTTAGATAGCCTTTAAATAGCTTATAGCTTAACCAAAAAGCAGCCAGAATTTATAAATATTACAAAAAATAATCCACATCTGCCTAGATTGCTATTTCGCTTTCGGAAACTGTCTATACTGTTCCAGATGCTATATAGACGATTAAGTACCAACTATAAAGTGCTATTCCATCCGGCTTTCTTTAAGGCTTTTATGGCGATCAAGAAGTGGATAGCTCGTTATTCCTTGTATCTTGCCCAAACGACTGTCTTACAGTCTACCAATCGTGGTTCTAACTTCTACGTTAATATAGCCGATGCGTATGTGGTGGCGTCACTGATTTGCTCCATTGGAAGGTTCCTGCTTCAGGAGCGAGTTTATAGCAGTAATCCACACATGGCCTCCCAGCAGTATTATTATCCACAGTCGCTGAACTACAATCCTGGCTACTTCGAGCCTAATAACGTGTGAGTGAAATGGGCTTTGTTTTCGTTCCCAGGATTCTCACAATCAAGTGAACATCCTCTTTAACCCTTTGCCATTTTCAGTGGCTGTAACATGAGTGTATGCAACTGCTTAACTACGTGTTGAGGCTTCTGTATCTCCTGGCTCTATTTTCTCACTTTCGTCGTTGTAGGCATTTCTCGCAATTCAATTACAATGATGCATCGCAGGAAAAAGCACAGAACCCTTACTTCACCCCGGCTCCCGTCGATGGCAACATTAGCGGACAATTTGGATTTGAAGATGAACCTCCTCTTCTGGAAGGTACGGTCTTAACGGGTTTTTTGTTGCTTTTACTTCGTAAATGCGGTCCGCGTTGTCACACCCTTGGTTGTTTGCGTTGAACTCATTCAGGAGCAGTTCAGTTGAAGCTATTGTATCTTTTATATGCTTTCATTCTCAAATGTCGACGTTGTTATTGGCGTGAAACGGTAGGTTTATTCATTTGTCTCGTATTTGACGACTAGGTTCTACCCTCCCAATTTTTTTTGCTTTACATAGTGCTCATCGCCACAAACTTCTTTTGATGATAGATTCGTTTGGTAACTTGTTGGTGAGCTTTCGATTGCCAACAAGTGTCTAATGCCCTACATTTTTCAAGCTGCCAAAGCACCAAGAGTTCTACTTGTGTTGGCTTTACGTTGCGTCATCCTTGACCATGTACACAGTCGATTAACTTTTCTCGATCATTCCCCTTTTTAGAACTCGGTGTGAATTTTGGACACATCCTCCAAAAGGTAGTATTTGATTTTTTCAGTCGGGTTTTTAAGTTCTTTTGGCTACCGAAAAATTGTTAGTAACTCTTTGAAACTTACTATTAGTCGGTGGCCTCTTTCCTAAACCATAAAAATGTTAATCACAACCCGCTACCACCGCTCACAGCTCGATTAAAGCCTTACGAGTATTAGTTTTGGTTAATACGGTCATTCGATATTCAAGGGTGTTTTGTATGAGCGCTACCATTTGATTCAAGCATTTGGTACGTTTGAACACTCACTTGCACAGTCCACGTATTTTTACGCCTAAGTTTTTGTTGGCCATTCTTTGCCGCATTTTTTGTTAAGTTTCTAATATGCATGCACTTACGTTGACAGTAGTGGTGCAAACTTTTGTAGCAGTCCAAACGGTTTATCATCATGTAGAATTTGGATCAGAAAAGGAAGTCGGATAACATTGCTGGCCTGAGGCACTAGTGGTCGACTTTGTCCCTTGGGAGGGCTAATTTATTTGCAGCTATTCACTTGCCTAAATCGGAGTATTTCCTCATTTTACCAATATTTTTGACTTGTTCGATGTTTTGTTATTGAGGTCGCGCATTAAAAGTCAGTGTTTCCTTCAATTTCCTTCTATTTTTGCAGTCCTTTGAAATTCTCATGTACCGCAGAATTTTTTCACTTGTTTGTACTGCATTTATAACTGTTGAACTATCATTGAATTTCTCTGGCGTGGAATTATTCGTGTTTAGTCAGCCTTATCCTTCTATCGGTAATAATAACCTTCACGTAGTGACTGATAGCTGCCCTGTCGAGTTCTTAACTGATATGAAAGATTCTGCTTCGATGGGAGCTAATTAGAGCTTATCCATTTCTTGTCTTTGATATGACTATGTGTGGCTGGGGACCATAAACCGGTGTTTGTAATGAATCTATTTGAAGCATCTTCGGGGCATTATTTATCCTCACTTCATTGGATGGTGACCAGTTCATTACTATGGTGGTGGGTGTTTGCCGTTTTCTACTGCCCTTTTCATAATTTCTCTTCGAATTGCCTCATTTCTCGGTCTATCTCACCCAAAGTTAGCACATTGCTAGTAAGGGAAATATTTCAATGCTGCGCACACCATTCAGACTAAATCACTCCTTGATCGTAACTTCTAGCTCAGTCATCCTTGTTGTTTCTTTTAGAAGATCAGGAGTGTTAATAAACTAACGCTTCTTTTTTCTACGCTAGTCAATGTTGCCCTTCTTAACTCAATTCAATTATCTGTCATTATATGGCCCATGAAACACCCAATCACAACCGGCAGATGGGATGGGACGCCAATCTTATTTCACCTCTTCCCCTTTAATTAAGGCAGAAACACGGAGTGCATATTTTCTTTTCTAGTTCTGCTTTATTTTGTTTTGGATTCCGTTTACGGTCTTCAAAGGCACACAGCCTTTAGTAAGACCAAATGGACATTGGGGGACTAATGGATTCGGGTTTCACATGGAAAAGCAAAAGCTATATGGCTTTTTTTCCATGCTTACAAGCGCTCAATTTCATTGCTGGCATCGGTGAACCAGTCGCCTGTCGGTGTAATCTGATAGCGGACCACACCAGTCATTTGGCCCGTTCCTTCACCTCCGGTAGATGTCAGAGTGAAGTCGGGCAGATAGGGGGAACCTTTAAGGTGTAAGAGTGAAAGCTTAACTATATCTCTTCAGATGTGGCCTTTCTGCCAATGCAAAGACGAAAGTTGCCTTTTACTCGATCCGTTAAAAGCGAGCCATTGCTCTATGCGGTTTTCGAAAATCCTTGTAGTTTCATTGAAGGTGTTTTTAAATCTGTCTCTTCTTCATTTGAACTAACCTTCATTGCGGAAAATTTCCACATTCCTGTTTATTGTAAACGCTTGGATTTTAGTGATGAGTTGATTTGCCATGAGGAAATCCTGTAAATTGTGGCATCAGAAGTTGCATTTATTCCCACAATCCCTTTATTGCAATTACCACAACGGATAATTGTTGGGTAAAAATCTAAACTGCTATGTTAAATGTTATTCTTTCTCAATTGCTAGTTGTCAAAATATAATCAATTTCGACTTGAATTGTGATTTCGATAAAGCTTATTGACATTGTTAGCATTATTTACCCCTGAGGAAATTTGTCACCTTATCGGGTTACTTGCTTAATCGGTTTCACTTCCTCAAATTCTCTTGTAGTTAGAGCACACGTAATCTTACGGCTATTACGTTTATTTAAGTTACTTTTTTAACTTAGTTGAAGGCTTGCGGAAGAAACTGTCTTTTCAAAGGTCACTTTTAAAAAAATGCAGTCAATTCGAGTGACTGAAGCTTTGTTGACTTAGCTGGCTTAGAGGAAGAGTGGTTTCATTTCATGATGGTTGCCACCAGTGGGATGAGTTGAAACGCATGTTCAGAATTTTACAAGATAAAGTAAAGTCCTACCTGCATTTTCTCCAATTCGTTGATGCTGTTTTATCACGAGGGAGTGAGGTGGTTCACAATCAGTCCGTTCCTTTTGACAGCAATAGACCAGCACACTGAGGAGTGTCAAACTGACGAGTAACACTCCGCCACCCACCACAACACCCGTCCACGTTGCGCTTTTCAGTGTAATTCCGCCTCTGCCACGATGTCTTTGGTCCCACGGGCGGTGATAGGTCACACGGATACGAAAGACAACAGCATCCTTACCCCGTGCGTTTTCTGCCTCACATCGGTATACCCCGTCGTCCACACCGGCCTGTACTTCATGTAGTGTAAGATTGGTCTTGGTGAGAGAGTTCCCTAAAACTCGCTCCACCACACCCTTCTCCAATCCCGTTATTGCTGTCGATTCTGTCTCTCCTTCCTCACCTTCCACCTGACTGCGGAACCACCGAACTCGACCCCTGGGTTCAGCATAGAAATGGCACACCATTGTCACAGTTGAGCCAACCTCCACCTCAGTAATGCGGTTCTCTGCTCCATTCTTATTCAGGGCTACAGGCGCACACTGGAACTCTGTTAGCGGGAGATCACCTATTTTCTGGGTTTTTAGGGCTTTGGGGGTGTGGCACAATGCAGTGGTGTTAAACCTACGTGCTACACGAGCAAGCCATGTTAAATGGCAATCACAGTTCCAATTGTTACCATCCAAATGCAGACGTTTGAGGTATCTCAGTGACTGCAATTCCCCTCCCAGGTGTGTTGGTAGACCAATAAAGGAGTTGTTGGCCAGACTGAGCTCCTGTAGGTTTTTAAGTTCACTGAGAGCGTTTGGTTGAAACACTAGACCAGGAATAGTATTTTCTATACGTAGTTCTGTTAAGGATGGAGGAAAAAAGTGAGCAGGTACCTGACCGAGGGGGTTTTCAGACAGGTCAAGCTCTTTTAGTTGCTTCAAGTGGAGCAGAGATTTTGGAGAGAAGCTGCCAGCTTGGACGGCTAGGTGGTTGCCTCGGAGTAGAAGGCGCTGTAGTCGCGGTACTGCGTGAAAAGCATGGTCGGTAATCTTCCATAGAAGGTTTCTTTCCATTTGAAGACAAGTTAGCGCAGGGTAGGGTCGTAGTGCGTCCTCATGAAGTAGTTGGATGATGTTGTCCGAGACATCAAGTGTGGTGATGGCGAGGCGATTTTTTATTGGTGCACCAATGGGAAGTGGAACCTCATGGAGACTCTTGTTTCGGCACGCGTACATTCCTGATGTTGGTGGGGGTGGACATTTAAGACTGAGAGCTGTTGGAGTTAGGAGTAACAAGGGGATTGCTAGGCTTTGGATGTAGGACATATTTTATGAAATTGAACTCTGGAAGGTTATCGCAAATCGTGTCTGTTGTTCTGATTGGATGGTCGCCAGCTTGGCTACGAGTGGCTGTGTGGCACTTGATCGTCCAATAGGCATCAGGTGCGTTTTGTGTAAACTCTATCGCAATTTCGTGGACTTTAACGAACAGTGATGGGGTAGAGATAATTTTACTTGGGGGTTCGGTGGGCTCACTTCAATTTGAAGTACTTTAATACTAGGGGAGTTTCTATCGGTGAAGTGTTGTTTTGTTTATTTGTGGGATGTTTGTAATTGATTTATTTCATGATTCGGTTCCAATTTTGAAGGTATTTTTGTAGTCTTATTAATCCTTCAATTGGTCCGTTAATTTGCGTTGCTTGAAGTAGAAAAGTTGGCAGCTCTTATTTAATGCTCTTTGTTTCCTTTCAGACACTAAACGTGCTGAATCCTATGCGCGAAAGTCCCCAGGAGGTACTTGAAGACACTGATCTTGCTGGACCTCTAGTTTTTTGCCTTATCTTTGGCGGGACTTTACTACTGGTAAGCGTAGTGATCTTAGGCTGATCGATAATTTAGTTTGGTAGACATTCTACTCGTGATTTTGTGCATGTTGGAGGCTACACCTTTTCGATCTCTGATCTTAGCATTGGAGTTGCTCTCACTGTGTTGAGGGTAGTTGATAAGCAAAAATACATAGAAGCGATGGGTAGCTTTGTAGCTCCTCAGTGTCGACCATAATATATAGAGGATCCCTTTTAGCTGACTGGCTCGGGCATCCAAATGGATTTTTGAATTGTGATTCGAACTCCATCTTTTTGCAACTTTGAAAGGATGTTTATCTAGTTATGAAGCAACTTCGTGTCATTGATGCGTGATAGTAACACGATAGAGTTGCTTTACGGAGCTTCAGACTTTCACTAAAGGCAATTGGGATGGCTGAATTTTCCCCATTCAGGCGGGCAAGGTGCACTTCAACTATATTTACGGTATCGGACTCTTGGGCTGCCTTGGCATGCATACTCTCCTCTCCCTTATGGCGCCCCATGGTGTAGCGCCTACATGTGTAGTCTCCGTCCTAGGGTACTGTATGCTCCCCATGTGCGTTCTCTCCACCGTGAGCATAGTTTTTTCTCTCAAGTAAGTGTTTATTACCGGTTATCCTTGCTTTGAGTTTATTTTGCTTATTGTCAAAATTGTTTATCTCTTTTCCTCGAAGTTGTTGTTGTGTCTATCTTATTTGCTACGTTCTTATGGGCCTTCATTCATTGCAGGCTTTTGTCTTTTCCTTTTACAAGCACAGTCATTTCTTTGAGGAGTTAAAAGATTTACTTTTGTTTTTATATTGATTTAGCTTGAATTCTTTTTCGCTGCCCTGGTTTTCTGCCTTCTCTTCAGTATCTCTGTTCCAACTCCACCACACCATCAGTTGCTGCTTTCTTCATTCGCGATTTCGCTTTCTTTCGTCCTTTCTTTCTTTACTAATATTTAGTCAAAATGCACTTATGATTGTGAAATTAATGAGTATTTGTCTCATCACCGCACCACTTTGAGAACTTCATACTACTCAGAAAAGAAGTATCGTTTGATCAAGGTGATGGATCATCAAAAGATTTAGGTTCCGTGTTTAGGATGTTTTTTTTTGTTTTAATGGCGATAGAGCGTTCGATTATATTTTTACTGATTAGAGACATTTTTCCAAGTGAAAATAGGCGTTATTGCAGTGAATAAAGGGCTTCACTCTTAAAACCCACGTCCTCCCTTCTGTTCCCATAGAATGGGTTTGTAGAATTCAATTTGCCTAGACTCTTAGATTTCTTACTTGGTATGACTGCCTTTCACAAGCACAGGATAAGTGATCACCTTTTTTGGTGTCGTAAGCTCATATTATATGTTTAGCTAATGCCAATCTCTTTATTTCTGGTTCTCCTCTACCTTTTACATTATTTCGCACTTCTTCTTTTGTAGTTATTCGAACCATTATTTTGCAAAGTTGTTCCGATCCCACAATATTCTCGACAGATTCTGATCCAGCAGTCTTCGAACTGTTTCCAAGGCTTTCGATTTATGGCCACATTGTTCCCGCTTGTTGGGGCTACCGATCATTGCTGAGTGGACCTTGGTGAAAATTCTATCTGTTTTCTAAGCCATGCTCTTCGCTTCTAAAATTTTGGTTTGCTTAAGTTTAGGTAGTTCAGAGTTGAGTCCTAATTCTGATTTCTGCTTACGAACCATCCCTCCTCTTTTAATCCCTCACTCCACCTAATTTTGCAGCCTCTTACGCCATTTATTGAGTCCTTTTGCACCTCATATGGTGCCATTATACACTTCCTCTCTCTAACGTTAGGCAGATTTGTCTATTGTTCAGAAATCCATTAGTTTAATTTTTGATTTTTTATGGGTGGGTTTCGGTTCAAACTAATCCAATCGTCCTGTGCACCAAAAGATATATTAATTAGATTTTTCATGGATTGACGGACATCTAACTGATTTGGCGTCGGTAAAGTTAACGGGACCTATGTCTAAAATTACGTTAGTCTGTCTCTGGCGAATTTGTTGCGGCATTTGTTCCTTTTGAGATCCGGTTTAGCTAAGGCTTTTTTGCATGTGCCATTGCGTAAATTCGGCACGTTTGAGCCCGAGGACAGCTCTTCGGACTTTTCATCTGTTGGTTTGCGAATTTGGCGGACACTTTTCGTTGCCTAACTCCTATTCATATGACACTTCTGCTGCAGTCTATGTGGTTTCAGTCTCGCGACTACGAATTTGTCAAGACTTTATCTTACGTAGTTCTGCACCTTGTCTACCATTCAATACGACATTTTCAGTTCCAGCTATTTTTCGGCATAAAGCCCATCACATTTTTAGTCTTCCAGTACATTGGGGGCTTATGGAATCATCACTTTCATGCATTAAGCTGGGTAACCGTCATTTTGTCCTCTTCATTTTCGACTAAAGAAATTTTTCACCACCAATTCCTTGCGAAGCACATTTCAATGATCACTTAAATTACAAGTTCGGTCGTCCTTTGATTTTAGGCGTGAAGCATTCATTATTTTCTTCTGTTTTAAGTGTAACTATGGTCCTAGTTTGCACCTGTGTCGGGCCCTGCTATCGATTAACTCTCCACCACTCTTAAAGCCTCCGTATTTATAAATTTCCCTACCCAGTTAGTTCTTTCCTAAACAGTTACTTCTTGCCAAACAGATAATAAAAAGGCTTAAGGACTCATTGAAGCCTTACTGCTTAAACATCGTTCCGTTTACTATGGTTTATGACATTTTCTTCATTGTTGTACCTAAAACCGGTTCCTATGGGGATATTTTGCCAGTCTCATCACTATTCCTGAGAATCGGCATGCTCTTGAGGACAGATTACCATCATTAATGGCGACCACTGTCAACTTTGCTCATGCATTTAGTCTTGGCTCTATCGAGATTTCAACTAATGTGGATAAGTAGAAAATCAGTTGATTACAATACACAGGCGTCTTTACTTCTCGTGCCACTTGATTATCAGGAAAGTTAAGAGCAGTTAATCGCCGTCTCAGACACTCGAAGATGTGATTTCAGTACCCAAGCTGGAAATAAACTAATCTACTTCTCACTCTATTAAGAACAATTCTGCAGCGCAGGCTTACAGTTTGCCGTAATACAGCACTATTCTTATTTGCGTTGATTCAAATCATAAAGGTGTTTGTCGGGACCAACAAGCCTTTCGACTTGCGTGAGCACTCAAGTCACCGCCACTCCTTACTGTACTGCGCTGTACTCCGTCTGGTTCGTTCGACTTCTCCGCTGCGCCGATGAGAAACCTCGTCCATCACCCACCTCTTGCCCTTACGTGCATCAAGTCAATGTCCCTCTTGCTCACCCTTTTAATAAATGATTCGCGAGTTGGATTGAACGGAATCGGAGTAGTGCTGAATGGCATCAAACCACCTCCTCACGACATGTGCATACCTGCTTATGAGTGATGGTGCTACATGTTTTTGATCTCCCGCTGCATAATGCATTCGTACGGCAGGGAGGTAGGATTGGGTTCTGTAATGAAATCGAAGCCCCTCTGGGAGAGTCCAATGCGAGTGAATGATTGGTGGGACTCATTAAACAGCAAAGTACGCGACTCGTACGACGTACTGGCAGGTTCACAATTCGTGGTCCTCAACACTGTCAGTGAAAATGATCAAGTTTCTCCAAAATACCGCTTACTGCCTCTTACCCTTTAGGTCTACAGTGGGAGTGGTTCTCACGGCCTTCATCGTGTTTTGGAGTGCTCTATCCTCCAGCAAGCTGTTTGTGCGCGCCCTGAACCTTGAGAAGCAGCGCTTCCTCGTCGGTTACCCGTGTGCTTTAGTGTATGCAATCTTCGCTCTTTTGGCTGTCTTCTAAAAAACCATTGTCTATAAACGCATGCCTCCACTCCTTGCTCCTTGCGTGACCTTCCATTTGAACACTTTCATTGAATTCACTTTTACGTGTTTCGATTTGGCTTATTTGCTGAGATCTCTCAATGGATGCCTGTTTTAGTTAGGATGGGGTTATTTTCGACACTGTTCTACCCGTGGCTCAGCTGCATTGAATGCAGTCTATCTGTCAAAACCTAAACTTCTGGGATATGCCAAAAAGATTTTAGCGCAGACCTTTCTGCTATTGTTGTTGTTGGTACCAAGGCACGACGAAGCCGGTGGCGATCTTTTGAAAGCTTGCTGTCTACGTGCAAGTTTTGCAGAAGTATTGGGAATTTATGTACGAAACGAGCATAGGCTTGCTTTAAACGTGAAACTTTCTGTGGTGAAGTCCTATTTTTAAGTTTTTTGAGTTGAACCTTCTCCCATTTCGCTATACGGTGAGGAGCATAATACTGTTCGGATACATCATTGACATACATTCATTGGTTAGTTTTGAGCCTTCATGGAAGTGGAACTAAGGTGGGTGATGCTCTGTATCCTGAGTTCGCCAAGATGAAAGTATTCAAACGCGTCTTAAAAGACGTAGAGTAATTTAATTGCTTCTCCCTCACACTTCTGCGTGATTAGTGCTGCGATTCCGTTTGGTTTCCTCTCTCGAGCTTTACGCGGCCATCAATATAGCGATTGTCGTTATCGTTTCACTAAATGCATCGATTGAAATGATTCTCCTGTTGTTCGGCTTTGGAGTTCGCTAAAACCTAGTCCGGAAGGACGGTAATAAATTGTAATGCGAACAATTTGAGCAAAGGTCGGCGTCAAAGGGAAAGAGGCTGAATCAGCTTCAAAACAAATTTGTCAAATAAGAATACCTTTACCTTTACTCCTTGGGCGGTCCTAAATATACACATTATTATGCATGCTCACGCTTTTATAATTTATACATATTACGCATGCTTCAATGAATGAACGGCTGTTCAACTATGGATAGTCCTTCGAATTTCTTGGCACCATATTTCAGCCAAAAAACGGTTGCTTTGCTAACCTTAACCTTGTGGGACCAAATCTTGGCAGATTCCCTTTCATTCGAGAGCCAATGCTTGCAGACGGAAGCAAGCAAGGTTTGCTGTATTGTTACTATAACTTTGTTGAACTGGCTTACAATGGACCTACTAGCTCTATTTTAGTCCCTAAAATTAACCAGAAATGCTTGACTAAGCATAGATGAAACTATCGGAGGAAGCGTGAATGCAACCATTCCATGTTGACCCAAAGTGTCAAGAGGATTGCACGGCAAGTGGTGCAGCTCTTCACATACATTTACTCAACGAACTCAGGTCCTTTTTTCTTCAGTGTCTTTATGTAAAAAAAAATGGCCGAACAGTGTGATAGCACCTGTCATTCAAGGCGCACGATTCTTTCTTGTCGTTAATTAAGAAAACGACTTACCACTTATGTTAGCTCTAATAACCAAATTAACGCGTTGAATAGCATCAAAACTTTCATTTAATTTGTACTCGGCTTAGAAAGCTACTGCGTTAGCGTAGGAGAGGGCGAGTGAAACTTGTTTCGATTGTCTGGGTTGATCTGATTATTTAAAGGATTCTCCCCGTAGCTGTGTTGTTTTCGCTCTCAGGTAGCGGAGCAAGATTCAGTTTCATATTTAACTGTCAAGATAAGGTTTAATCAACAGACTCACTTTATTTAATACAGCCTTCCAATCACCTGAGTTTCTGTAATTTCTCAAAACTGAGGCAGAAACGTCCAGTAAAATAATACGCAATGCCTGGATTTTTAAGTGATGTTTCAGATCAAGTTTTGCAAGAATACTCAGCCACTGTAGAGAATCGGTAGATACCTCTGTGACTGGAAAAGAATTTTGACTGCTCACACAACCCACCGAGACTTTTGTGAAGGCCAGAAACATTACCCAGGTCCGTGTTCATGATACAACCGCTATGATCCGGAGAAATTACAACAGTGGGTCGCCAAAGCACCCCTTCTCCTCCGCTGAGCATCGTCCTCTTGAATGACCCTTCACATTTGCCATCACAATTTAATCAGTACTCTATGAAAATATTCACAAGTCAGCCACGCCGCTCATCAAATCGGCACTGCAGCATTACTTATCCCTCCCAGTAATTCTATCTGATTTGGCGTTTAGTCTGGTATGAAAAATAAATGTGAGAATGGGGAAAGATCTCAGCTCAAAAGCAGGAGTATTGAACAAAAGGTAATTATCTGTCTAGCATGCTAGAGACAAAGCTTGGACTTCACACCCCTCACCACTGCATTGCTGCCTGAGCAGTTGGAAGAGAAGTGAATGCTATTACTTTTTGGGGTGCTCTTGCCAACAATCACCACTGTAGACTCGTCATTGTCCCTAAAGCCGTTTGAGACAGTCACATTTGGCATGAAAAAGAGTGGAAACTTGGTAGCATTTGACGTGAGCAGGGCCTCATGTCATTAGAGTGGATCTTAACATATTGAAGACTGCCCGTTTAGAAAAATTAATGTGAATACGTTAAACAGGTTTTTGCATTCATAAGTGGATGAGTAATCTCAATAAGCTTACAAAGTTGGCTGGTGAGGACACAACTTACTTGTCACAAGTGGATGTACCGACTCGTATCTATTCGTACTGGTAGAGTTTATTCGCCAAGCCAAGAAACAAATCTCAATCTAATTAAACTTACGAGAGTACTGAACTGTCATGCAGGCCACGCATTAAGTTTTCACTAGTGATATAACTGCCAAGATATGGCCAAATTAGACCAAATCTTTGTATGGATTGATCCAGATTCCCTAGGCTTTCAGGAAATTTCCTTTATCAAGGGAAACCCAAAAGGGGAGAAAGATCGACACCCAGTATAAGCTATTTCCATGTCTATTAGGCATGCGAAAATTCCGACAACTATTCAACTCACACTATTCTGCCAAGTGAAAAATATTCGCTTCCATGAAAGGAGCAGTTTCATGGTTAGTAGATGTCTTAAATTACGCACCTCAATTTCGAGCGATTACTTCCTGTGTACTTTCTGGACTCCTGAGTGTGTCTAATCAGGCAATCGCACCAAATTCGCGGTCGAGATAATGCATCGATGAACTAATTTGCCAAGGCACCAGTTGAACGGACCTGTAGATGCAGACTACAAATTGTGCGAATTCTCTGATTTTAGGCTTTTCCATTTGCTCTAATAGGCACATCTTGCAATGCTTTAATGCAAGACACCTAACAAACCCACGCCTCATTTAATGAGGCACTGGGGGCAAATCGGGTGTTAATTCGGATGTAATTAAGCAAAGGGCGTCATCCTCTCCTTCCTTGTTGACAACTGAGGCGCGGCCAAATAGCACAAGGTGGAAAATTGTCCCTTTTATAGATATACCTTCCGATTTCACCATGCAAACAAGAGAATTGCCTTCACCATCGATAATTTCCGCCATTATTAAGATGTTTCAGGTGCCAAATTTTAGCTACCGCATCCCATCTTTTTAATGCGGTAGAAAAAAAATTTACCAGGAGCAAGAACAATAAACAGGATGATTGAGCTGTTTATTGAGGCTTCAGTCAAATGAGCTCAAATTTTCGAATGAAATTTGGAGGACGTTTACAAACTTTCACCCAAAAAATGCATTTTACATAAATAAACTTGTCGCTTAGAATTGTCATTTGGTAAAAGAGCTAGTAAAACAACCGATTTCCCATCCTTTCCTTGGTGACTAGTTCATAGCACTCTTATTTGCTTCATTAGGAATAGTACACGATTCATCGGCATCCACAACCACATATGGTGTTAGTTGGCCCTTATCCTGACAAGAATACTGATTGAAGTGATTGGATGCAAAAAGAAAATGCTTCAAATGAACCCAGCAAAGCAGTTCATCCCACAGTTGCACGAACCTGCGCTAACAACACCGATTGTGCATCAACCGTACATTTGGGTGCCCAAGAAACAATGCCACCTGCTGTTATTCATTCACGCCTATTTAAGAACGAACAATTTCACATCACTAAATCAACCAAGCATACATTGTACCGGGTCAGCATACAAACAATAGCGATATCGTAACACATGTTTTCGGTTTATTCAAAACTGCATTCTATCTTGCACATGAAAGCGGTCCCTAAGCCTTTGAGGTCAAAACTTTTAAGGAATGCAAGGAGACCACTCTACCAGGAGTACCGAAAAACCCCCTTCCTTAGTATCCACAACTGTGATTTAAATGCAAAACACAGCAAGGTAGCCACCAGTAAAGATGCCAGGGTTAGTGTTTGTTACTCGTTTCTTACATGGTAAGAATAGCCGAATTGGATATTACAAAAAAGGGAATGAAAGAAAATGTTCATATACCTAGCTTCTCCACGAATTTGAGCCACCCTTTACAAAAGACTTCCTCCGAGAAGAGAGTCTGCGCGCGTTGCTTAGCAGCAGTCCGAAGTGGCTCTAATTGATCGGGTGTAGCTTCAACAAGGACGTAGCGAAAGACCTCTGCGTACTCCTCAGCCCGTGTGGCCAGATATCCCACAGGGGTCGGCTTCATCTTGTTTAAGTCAACCCCTGGTTGTGCCAGTGCTGGACCGATAATATCCATCAAGGGTCCGCCGGATCTGTGTGCAACCGTCACTAGTCCAGCTGCCATGCCCTCTACAACACCTAGCAAAGAGATCCAATAAAAAAACATTTACTTTAAATGACGTGAGTAGCGAGGCTACAGGAAGTTCTTCTAGATAGCCTACCAATGCCAAAGTGTTCGTCTACCATAGTATGGAGATTGATGGTGCCTTCTGTAAGGTATTGGTTTATCCTGGAGACAGGCGCATCCACCTCAAAAACTACTTGCCGATCTGAGAACCCCATCTGTCTCGCTACTTCCTGCAGACGGTGAACTCGCTTACGATCACCAGCGTGACGGCAACCGCCAATTAATATGAGACGGTACGGACTTCTGTCCCCTGAAATACGCTTCAGGAAGACCTCAAACGCCTTCAGTTGAAGCTGTAAATAGGAAGATTTGGAACATTGAAATGGCTCCATTCATATAAAATTGCGGTGATTCATGGGGGAACTACAAAAACATGTGACCCATTTTCAGCGCGTCAGCCCACCTCATCGGTTTCGGACCTTTCATAAACGGGTTAGAAAAGTCCATATTTGAGGTTCATACTTTCACGCCCCGATGAAGGGTTTTGAGATGGCCATGCCGACCTGACCAGTAGATCCGAATGACTTAATGCCAAAACAGCCGTTCATCTAAAGCAAAAATTAGTATGAAAAGTGGCTCTTGGCTTTAGCTGGGAGCTTCGCTTTCACAAATATCATTAAATGTAACTCTCAGCACATTATTTATATTTGTTTAGTATTCCAAAAGCCAAGGCCTCCTGTAAATGGACATCCAACGGTCCCCTACAACACAACATGCCTCGACTTTTCGTAGTTCCAAGGATTTTGGTCGTGAATGATTATGTTCGCTTTACCCACAAAACGATTGGTCTCTTCGCATCCCCGGCATACTACACGTTGGTTATGAATACCTACATGGCGAGAGTGCGAACTACTACAACCGAGCTTGACATTAATTCATAGGCGGAAAGTCCACAACTTCCTGTCGTAAAGGAATGGAACCACTCAAAGCACCCAATATCACTGACTGTTCCACCGCCACGCCTTAATTTATTGCACTGTGCTCTGTCGAGCCGAAACGTTCCGTAGGCACGAGTAGGTGTACATCGCCTGTGGTTCGGCTTCGTTGCTGCGCCGATGAGAAACTTCGTCCATCACCCACCTCTTGCCCTTACGTGCATCAAGTCAATGCCCCTCTTGCTCACCCTTTTGATAAATGATTCGCGAGTTGGATTGAACGGAATCGGAGTAGTGCTGAATGGCATCAAACCACCTCCTCACGACATGTGCATACCTGCTTATGAGTGATGGTGCTACATGTTTTTGATCTCCCGCTGCATAATGCATTCGTACGGCAGGGAGGTAGGATTGGGTTCTGTAATGAAATCGAAGCCCCTCTGGGAGAGTCCAATGCGAGTGAATGATTGGTGGGACTCATTAAACAGCAAAGTACGCGACTCGTACGACGTACTGGCAGGTTCACAATTCGTGGTCCTCAACACTGTCAGTGAAAATAAACCACTTTCTTTGAAGCATTTTGGCTACATCAAATTATGCAATGAGTTCAGAGAGATTGTAGCCATCAATATGAAAAAGTCCGACCTCTATCGGATGTGTTTGTGAAATAACACAAGGACGATTCCCCATAAGTTCCGAAAAAAAAACTTAATTTTGGAACACATCTAAAATTTGGTCGTTGCATTGATCCCCATGAAAGTTGGCTTTCCGAAGAAAGCCGGAAATGAGTACGAACTTGTAAAGTGGTAAGATAGAAAGTGCATTTAAATTTAATGTGACGACAAAGCAGAAATACCAAGTACAAACCTTCAACAAAACGCTTCACCATGATTAAGAACATTGTTTTGAATAGCAATAAACAACAACAATAGACTAGATTAGACAAAATATATTGAAAGCAATATCAACTTAATTTTAGCCAATTTCTGGTCAGTGTCCAACACCAGCATCTCATCTTCACCTTTCACTTTATTAAAGCAAACGTTATTTTAAATTTGTGTTTATGGAAAGCACATTTTGACCGTTATGAAAAAGGAAATACTCAACACGTTCCACTTAAGCAAAAAAAACCAACCATATGATTTTTCTCCGGCCTAAACTGTCCAATTGATATGATCCAGGGCTTTCGTTTCGCTCCACTTACCCTCTCCTCAACTCTACATGGACATGGCGGATAGAGGAGGTAAGTTTGCGTAGCGAAGAGAGCGGCGATGTGCCTCTGAGTCCATGTCGAGTTCACGGCCACGACGCGACAATTCACCACACTACCAGCCCAACCATAGGCGAACCGAAATAGCATATAATAGAACTGTTTGAGGATGGTAAGTATCCTACTCCTGCGAATTCTTGCCGCATTATTGTAGTTTGTACCAACGTCGGAAATACGTGTTGCAACACGCCGTTGCATATCAAGTGAAATGGTGGGGAAATGGACGTAAGCACTGCAACTCGCACCGATTATCCATGCAAAGAGAGGGAGAGTGAAAGCGAAACCTGCAGTGTCTAGATACACATCAGAAGGAAGACGGACGAGGGCCTCAAAACCTGCAATAAGGGAGCCGAAAGCCTGCCCAGCAAGAGTAAAGAAGGGATAGAGTACAGGCCGGAGAAATAGCTCACTTCGGAGGGGCACGAAGTGGATACGAGTCTCGTCTTCTATGTTGATGTCAAAGGTATTGCGGACGTGTTGGAAGACAAGGGAAGGATTAGTAAGACAGTCTGGGTCGTTGGTGTATATGAAGATTAGGAGCTTTTCACGATGCTGGAGAAGAGCGCTAACGCCTGTCCAGAGAACTCGTTCACCGCCGCCGCCTGAAGTGCAGTAAGGATGAAAAACGGAGAGAAGGAGTGGAGAGCCAGGCATCTTATGATACTTAGCCCAATAATGACGAATATATCTTCGCCTTATTAAGAGGGCTATTACGAAGATGATCCATCCAAATATCCACAAAAATGAAATAACCAGCAGCAACATTCACACCTGAGAAGAAAAAGCAATTTAAAAGAACTAGTGTTATTATACGAATTGGAAAGGGGGGAGGGTTGTACAGTTACGAGAGCGAAATGAGTAACGCGTTTAATGAACTTATAAAAAAATACACCAATTTTGATGACCTACTCAAACTTACAATAGCAACGCGGAAGATGTACGTATAAGAATTCACCAAAGTGATGGTTGTAAATTGACAATTAAGCCGTAATAAGGTAGAAAAAGTTTTCTAAACTAAGAGAATCACCCAATTTCATTCTGCTATTCCTAAAGTATCGGACATTGTATGCCTTACCTACAGGACACTAAAGTGTTGCAAAGCTTTTCCGACGATAAAGAAATCGTTTAAATAAAACAGCAAACGACTAACATTCGATGAGAAGTGTGTCCTTAAAAAGGTAGAGACATCAGGATAAAGGTAAAAACACAATTAAATCCACCATAGCTATTGTAGAATCTAATGCAATGAGGAAACAAGAGATGTAGGCAAAGGAACTGACTCCACGTCCATTTAGACCAAGAACATAAGGGAGTTTACACACAGAAATCCAAACTGCATGAGGAAGTTCCAAAACTGGACTAGGATATAACCGCTATTCCTCCGGCTGGACGTATTAAATGTACGAAACAAGCCCTTAAGAGGCATCAAACCTGTGCTAACACTATGAAAGGGGAAAAACTAATAGCAAGCCAAACCTAGCCGAGCGGCACGGTACAAGCAAAATAGCTAGCGTTACTAAAACCCCGGACCAGCAACAAACGATAAGCACAAGCGAAGGGCAGAGGTAAAGCAGGCATAAGAGGTCAGGAATGGAAAGCGACTGATTGAGTTGATCGAAGAAAGCACTTAAAACCACTCAAAGAAAAATAACGGTACCAAAATTCGGAAGATTCTGGCGGCTGAAGGATTCCTCTTGATAGCCAACTAAAACAACATTATTAATCATATGGGAGACAGACCGTAATTATAATTGCCAATTTTACGCGAAGTAATTATGAATAAACGTAATGACAATCGCCAGCGCTCATTCTTTAAACTGTTAAAATTTCATTCTAACAGAACCAAGTATTAGATCAATGCTAAATGGCTGTGTTAGATCACATTCCAATACTGATTAAAGAGCATACGTAGCCTTCATTAATTTTTTTAAAATTTTAGCTACACCCAAAAATTATTCAAAGTAAGTGAGCAAATCATTTTGCGGTGTGTGTTATCCCAGCTGATCCCAAAACACCCAACTTGATGTAGATCATTTTGTTTTAGTTCTCTTACAAATTAACAGTTTTAATTTGTAGAAGCTGGGGCGCGCTACTGGAGTTTTACCTTAACAATTTCGACTCGGTTGTGTTTGCATCTGTTGCATTTTTTCGGGTGTGTTGGATTCTTTTTCAGAACGGCTCTCGATGATGGCTGTTGGTTCTTCCGGTTGTATTTGTTGAATTTCTTATTCCTTCTCTTCGTTTAGAATCACTCAGTTTGTACATATCCGACATAAAAGACGGCGATTTCGGTGATGCTAAAGGAGGTAATGAGTTTCGACATTCATTTTCTTCTTAGCTGATGTTTTTACATGTGCTGAGTTCGACGAATCTGGTGATTATTTGGCAGCTGGTGATAAATCTGGCCGCATATATGTTTTTAATGCCAATGGGCAGGCAAGATTTTTCTTGATATCGTGATTTACATAGAACTCAGTGTATAATATGTTTTGCGCGTTCACTAGTCACGAGGCAGAATTCGATTATCTTAAATCCCTTGAAATCGAAGAGAAAATTAATGCTATATGCTGGTTGCCTACTGTCAACAATTCCTTGCATTTACTTTCAACGAACGGTATGCTTTTTTGCGTTAATAATTGCTTTTTAAGGATGAATTTCTACTTTCTCCTTTTAATTTTTTTGCAGACAAGGTTATAAAATTGTGGCGCATGTCTGAGCAGTCCCCCTTTGCTTATAACTTCAATTTCCGTCCTGACGAGAAGGTTGCCGAGAGTAGTGGGGAAATTGATGCGTTTTCAGAGGAGTGCAACGTCAGCGCCTCGGAAAAGGAGGAAAATTGTAATATTGCTAATCCTTGCCTCAAAAAGGCAGCCTCTTGTACTTTTTTGCGAATTCCTCGCTACAGAAAGCGTAAGAACCTTACCATAGAAGTCCGTCCGCGAAGGATTTACGCTAACGCTCACACTTACCACATAAATGCTATATCACCCAATTCTGACCAGGAGACTTTTATATCAGCTGACGATCTGCGCATCAATTTGTGGCATCTTGACGTACCTGGCCAGTCATTCAGTACGTAATTCCGCTTACTTAATTCCTATGGCCTTGTGGGTGTTTTACCAATTCGGATTTTGCGCTCTTTTGCAGCAATTGTGGACATCAAGCCGGAAAACATGGAGGAATTAAACGAAGTGATCACTTGTTCACGTTTTCACCCCGAACTCTGCTACATGTTCGGATACTCTACCAGTCGTGGCGTTGTTCGTCTGTGTGACATGCGTGCAAGGGCCTTGTGCGATAATCACGTTCTCGGTACTCATGCACCACTTTCGATCTTAAAATTTGCAGTGAATTTAGGTTTTGTTTTTATCTGTATGCTTTCCTTATTCATCTTTCCCCTCCCTCCCTCTCTCGGTGTTTCCAGGTGCTAGGATTAAGACTTCTGAATGCGCTCACGCGTAACAACACGCATGCGCGTTTTTTTTCGATAGTGTGCCAAGGGTGTAGTAATCTTATTTTGATTGTTGCAGTTTCGTTTGTGAATGCTCCAATTTTGCCTTGAATGTTTGCACTTTTGTTAGATTTGCGATTTTTGAATACTTTTTATTTTAGTTCTGCTTAGTCGTGTTTTGGCCGACGGAAGGAGTCGGGCTTCGTTACTACTTTCGCTAGCGATGCAAACTTACGTCTCTATTGTATTCTCTAATAACGAGCTGCTAGTCTCACGAACTTGTGCATTAAAATTTGAGTGAATAACATCACTAGTGTTAAATCTTCATGACCGTTTTGAGTTTCGGCGTCCTGCTCTCTGGTAGTCTAGCAGCGAACTGCTAGCTTATAGAATATTGGGAGCCAAACTTCTTGGTTCAGCATTAAGTCACTTTCCATTTGGTTTCGCTCAAAAGGTTCAAATCCTTTTTATTTGCTTCCATTGGGTGGTTCCTGATGAGGTATGTCAACTTTGTCCGATATTTCTTATTCTTTGCTATTGGATTTATTGTTGGGATCGTTGAGTTGTCGTGGCCAGCAGTGAGTACCAAACTTGGATGTCTCTTTCTTCATCGTTACTGCAATTTTTTTGTAATGAGAGCTGGAAAAAAAATGCTTCTATGTATGTCCGTGGTTGGGAGTACACCTTACTATTACGCTTTTTTCTGCACCTTTCCTCTGTTCACCTGCCCGGTCTCTATTAAGTATTTTGCAGCACTTTAGCTGTGCGTCGAAACGTATCCGTCAGGTGACCCTAAGAAAGGTGGAAGGCTCTAGTGTTGATACCGTGATTGTCTTGTTCGAATACATATGGACATCTTGGCTGTAGAGTAATGTGTTTTTTTCCATGTGTATTTTTCCAAAGCTTTTGAGTAGCATTTAAGCGGTTGATTTGGGTAGAAATCTTCGTGTATGGAATGGCGCAGCTGAACTCGCTTCCATTATAATGATCTATTTATTTTTGAGGAAGTTTCATTTGTGAGTGTTGCTTGCACTGTTATGGTGCGGCAACGCTTCGTGTCAATGTGTTTCATGTTGCGGACTTGAGGCCGCTTTTTTGAGAGTTCGGATGAATTTCAATTGTTTAATTTTGTTTACATCGGGTATTTCATGTTTGACGTCGTGCTCTGCATACACGTGATGTCTCGATTCGCTTATCAGATTCCAACGTCACGGACGTGAAACGTTCTTCACCAGTTTATGCTTTCCCGGGTTGCGCAAAATTGTATGCCACGAGTAGGTCAGCAGACTCTCGGACAAAATAGGTCATGATTTTCCCACTTGGAAACTAATTGTTGTTTCCATTTCTTATGCCACAGTTCCAGCGTAACGTCTTTCGTCCGCCAAGTTAGTCAAACGTGTTAATAGCCAAATTCTTTACTACTCACGTGACTCCTTCATCGAGGAAAGATGCGCGAAGTCGATAAGATGTATTACTCTAAAGTGCGTTAGGGATCATTACTGAAGGTATTTAACTTGATTCCTGCCCTAAAATGGATTTACTTGAATAGATTCTGTGAGTTGCAATTAGCGCTTCAAAACCCCTAATTATTTTAGTGGCAACTAGCAATTAGTTTTACAGTGCTTTAGGTTGGAAGCGTGCCTGTTCTTTGCGGCGTGTCGTAGTTTGCCTCCTTTAGACGCTGGTAAAAGTAACAAACAGTTAAATTAGCCTTTTTGATAGTATTAAGAGCTAATTTCTAGTCACCATTATCCTTTTTTTTCAGTGTTGGATGATCCCTCTCTCTCTCAGAACCGAGGTTTCTTTTGCGATATCATCTCCAGTCTTTCTGATTTCCGCTTCGACCATTCCGGAAATTACATTCTTGCAAGGGATTACCTCAATCTCAAAGGTAGATTTGTTTTCCGATCCAATTATCATTGTTATTTGCCCAAATTAACCTTTATTCGATGCTTTTGTAGTTTGGGACATGCGAAAAAGCGAACGACCCTGTGAAGTTTACTCGGTTCATGAGCCATTGCGCTCGCATCTATGCATGCTCTATGAGTCTGATGCCATCTTTGACAAATTCCTTTGTGCCTGGTCTGAGGATGATCGGTGAGTGAACATGCAAACCTTTGGGGGTCTTTACATCTTACAAGCAAATTTCTTCCCCATTGAGCTAGACTGAATTTCATATTCTCAGCTTTATGTGCGAAAACCCCTTAAATCTCATCTACGAATGCCTAGCAAGCAATTTAGTAAAATGGCAAAAATTGAACGAGCCTTCTTAAATCGCCCTGTTGATACACAGAAAGCACTGATGACGTTTATGATCTATTAGCTCTTCGTCATTGGTGCAAGTCATTCAGAGGCTTGAGTAAACAGTTACTGATACGGAGACATTACATTACAGTTGCCAATGGAATGTTGAGGTGATTGAAAGTGAGCAAGTAATAATTCTTATTTTCTACTTCAAATCTCGAGCAGATATTGTCAGTTGATGGACCCAAGTTTTTGTCTTGGGACGAGGGTGGGTCGTGTTTGAGTGCTGCGCTTGCAAGTCAAACGAATCCATTACTGTTTCGTAGCCAACAAGCTCTCGTGGTTCTTCATGTTTTAACTCTGGCTTCGTATCTACTGCATTGATTTGAGCTTCGGCCTCTGTTGTTCTAAATACGAAGATTCCAGAATAAGATTTGTTGGTTCTAAACCCGCTATGTTATTTTCACTTTGTTTTGCCACATCTGGAGTCGTCTTAAGGTCGATAGTCTCTTGTCTATTTCGAGCTTCAGATTGTAGGGCTTCTGGGTTTATTATGAAGTTGTGGTTATCGTTAAAGGTCTGCTGTAAATATTCCTAAAAACTTGAATATGTACAAAGCCCCGTCGATATGCTGAAAACTGGGAAAACTGCCAGTCATTTGACTATTTACTTTCAGCTACGTGTTTACGGGTTCCTACGGCAACGTACTGCGCATCTTTGATCGCCACCAGGGCGCCGACTGGGCCTATGATCTGGGAGAGTCAGATGTGCGTTTAACAGTCGCCACCGATACAAGTGCTCTCCCCCTCTCCATTCCTCCTACTCTTAACCTTCGGTCTCACCGTTCTCGTCTCCAACCGAAACGTTTCATTTCACCGGATTCTGAATTGGCCTCGCGCTTTCAACTCCAGGCCGTGTGCTTGGCAAACGCATCAGCTCTGGATGCTTTAGTTGCCACTGCCCCTTCCTCCGTTACCATCATCCCTAATAAGAGTGAACGCGCTGTTAGTTCTCCTGTTGTTGCTGGCTCAAAGCGTCGCAAGCAGACTCTCCTTCCAGTTCCCCATCACTATGACGACGAGGAAGATGAAGAAGATGACGATGTGGATGTGGATGAGGACAGTGACGAATTCGAAACCGTTGGTGGAGAGGACATTGCGGAAGGAATTCGCCGTGATCCTTCCAAAGTCAATGGAAAGTCATCGGCCCCGTCAGCAGCAGCAAGGTCGATGCTCACAGGCTTGCGGGAGATTGACTATAAACGGCGCTTTCTGCAAGTGGCATGGCATCCACAGCGTCTGCTCTTTGTGGCGATGAGTGGGAAAGAAATGTTTTTTGTCTCTGGTAGAGAAACGTCCCCTACGAGAGGTACTCCTCGAGATCCAGCAGATGAGGAGGAAGCGTTGGGGGATTACGGAGAGAATGTGGATGAGAGAGCAAATTCGAGCCACCCTGTAGTGAGTAGTCCTCTTGACATTAAAGCAGCCAAAAGGCGACGAAGAAGGCAGGGCGAAACTGAGGTGCAAATGTTGTCCAGCCTTACGGATTTGTCATCTGGCTCGCCACCTTTGTTAGGACAAAGTGAGGATTTAACGTCACTGAAAGCACAAACAGCTGCATTGCTTGAAAAGAGACGGTCAATATCAGAGGATATTCATGAGCAGAAGTTGACAGATGGCAAGCCTCGAGCGAAAAGGCATGCCACTGACTTCACTGCGGATATGGAATTTGAGTAGTCAACGACCCTTTTTGTAAGACTCCTTTTTTATAAATTCCTCTCACCTGTATTATGTACAAAGTCCTTTAGCTGATTTTCTTCCCCATCCTTGACATGCCCCGAACTGAGATGGAAAAGGAGTCAATTTGGTCTCCATGTTTAGAGTAACCACATTGTATATCCTCCCTCATTTTTCTCAACTAAACTCAATTAATTTAGGTAGAAAGGTGGTGTGGAGGAGCAAGTACTTGTTCTTTTTTACTGTTCGGCACGGTTTGTTCATTGGAAATTAAAATAATTTTATTCAAACCGTGATTTGTACTTCCTTGGTGGTTAGGCAGTTTGAGATTGTAAAGATCAGTTGTGGAAAAACGAATGTTGTGTAAGAGGATTTGTTTGAACTGACTCTGGACCTATCAGTTCCTTAAGTTTTTACAGAACAGTTCTCTTTGTATTCAATAGCATTAGAGCTGTAAAGTTTGAGTTCCAAGATCTGGCGAACATGAGCACAACATGTTAGAAGCTTTCAACCATCAGTTTTAGATGTTGGATGTTAAAATCCCAATGAGGAGATTCCCAGATTGATGCTGCATTTTGAAAGCTAACAAAGGTTAATGCATGGTTTCGCGTTTCGTGCTCATAGGTGTGTGAAGTACTCGTTCGTCGTCTGCAATCCGAAATCATCGCTGATCGACGATCCGCTCCGTTGGAGCTTTCTCCATAAATCCTAGATCCATGTACTTGAGGGAGCTTCAACAGCGTAAACGCTTTTTCTGTAATTTTATGTTTCGCTCCAGAGGCAAACTATGCTAGTCCCATTCCTAGCGGTTCAAATCAGTGTATGAAGTATTCCAAAATTGACTTTGTGAGTTCTTTGTTTTCAATTTTCCCGTGTACTTATAACGAGTCTAATTAGTATAAAATAAGATGCTATTAGCGTTATAAAAAGTCCAGTGATGTTGTGGTAATGCCTCCAAAAGAGGAATTTTGATTGCGGGTACTGAGTATACATCATTAGATGCTCAGATTAGTTTACATGAGCTAATTAAATTGACCATTGCCTCCCTCTTTGGTCACCACAGACGAGGTAGGTGAAAAGCAGTAGCTATTGCGTTTTGGTAGGAGCAAGAGTAGTTGATTTTATTTTTGGATACACTGCATCGAATTTGGCTTTTCGTCCTTTGCATACCGTGCTGGAGGAAAGGTATTCACAAACCCAGTACTCCTGGGGTGAATTGGCACTATCCCCATTTATTTGAAGGCATAGCGAAAAGGAAATTATCGGTGAAGGATCACTTAGGTTAATTCTCTTATGCTCTTTGCCGATTCCTCGTTCAATCTTTTTTTCCTTTTAACTGCTGTCTAGAGCTTATCCACGATTCATTCATCTCGTGGACATGCACAGGAGGTCGCGTTTGTTTCCTTTTGTTTTCACAAATATTCAAGCTAGACACATAAAAGAGAGTCCTCTTGAATCATGCTATAAGTTGGAGGGGTCTGTAAAAGTGCACACCATCCGGATTTGATTTCTGTGACTTTCGTCTTTGATGGCTAAAACTGCTAGTAGCCAAAAAAGGGATAATCTGCTGAACCAAATTTGCTGAATACTAGCACAAATTAAGTGCTGTCTCTGAGTTATTGATAAAACCTATTTGTAGTATTCTCTTAGGCTACTGGTAATATGCAGCACCAGGTCGTAGGTTCATTCTGGCCGATTACGCATAAAGTAATTATGCCACTTAAATCGTTACTCTCAAAAAGCTCACGAATAATACAAACCTACTTCAGATACAATCCAAGCTTATTCTACTAAATTACTCATCGGATAACTGATTTCCCTTGATGAGTGGCAAACGTTGTCGTCCAGACAATGACTAGGGGGAGGTAGAAAGCGAGTCAGGCAATTTGCAGATGATGGATTGTGTGTTCATTATGCGTCTGCATTTGCAACAGGGACGTCTGTCTCGTAGCTCAAATAAAGCACGTTCAGAATTAGGAGTATGCGGTCAGCGGCATGTTGTCAAGCTTCTTAAGATGATGTTAGTGGAGAAGAAACAAAGGCGCCACTTGCTGTGGTGAATGAGAACGCACCGAAGAAGCCAGGAACACTTGCCACATTGAATATTTTACTTAATTTGCAATGTCCTTACAGTGGGAGCATGAGTTTTGTCGCGGTAGATCCGACGTGGTTAATGTATGATTACCTATTAATCGTCGGGTAATACACGTTTTAACCCGGTGGAAGCCCTGTCCTATCAATGGGAAAGTAGCATAAAGTTGATTTGGAGAGCCTTAACAAGTAAAAAACAACTTCAATTCTTTGCACGGTAAACGCCCGGCGAGTCAACCGACTAGTCCTTGGTTAAAAAATGGGAATCCACTGTGGCATTTATTATAACTGTATAATCTGTAGCCACATGTTGGCAGTAATAGGACCACTAAGAATGCTTAAATTGCAAAGCTCCACCTACATTAGTTACGGGGTGGAAATTAACTCCACCAAGGCGGAACAGCGTTTCCAGTGCTTCGCTGGTAGACGCATTATGCCTCTCTTGGAGTTTCGGAGCAAGTTTTGGGCTGTCAAGGTAGCTCCCTCATTAGAGATTGAAAACCATGTCTCAATTCTGAAAACTACGAGTCATGACCAAAGGAGGTCGATGAGGGTGTGGCGTTTTACACCATGGGGTCGACTCATGACCCTGCAGTCATCATGTCACAAGATTAAGGTCACACCAGATTATAACGTAACCGTGGAAAAGTAAGTCATCTACTTACTCACTGCTTCAATGCCAAGACCAGTAGCACAAACGGATGGTACACATAAAGACAGTCGTCTAATGAACAGTGGCAGATGGTTGGCACACGCTAAGCTATTGTTCGTTTCACCAAAAATTTACCCCACCTGATCTGGGCTAAGCATCTTATGGTAGGAAAAAGTAAACCTCCCATCCCAAGCGTCTTTATGCTACTTAGCAAAAATAAGTACGAAAGGTTCGAAAAATGAAAGAGCAAGATGTCTACATGTGGCACTGAAAATAGATTTAATCAAATACACATAATAAATTGATAGGAGATGAGAACGGCTCACTTAGTTAAAAAGGCATGAAAGGAGGTTAAAGTCAGATTACACCATCTTCTTTGAGAACAGTTTTACGGTGACAGGCTCTGCAAAGTGGCAATTTTGTCTCAACACTTGGGATGACATTTAAGAAGATATGACAAATGGAACACACCAGATTCCCACAGCGTGTACACAAGACCTAAAACAGTCATGAAGGCGAGGTCAAAGTCAGGCAACTTATAAAGAAATATAATGTACAAAAAGTGAGTAAATGCATCAGGATAGAAAATAGACAACTAAAGATGCAAATGCCAACTTCAAAGAGCAAAACATACATGAATGAATTTTCCAACCATTGAAAGTAGTACTCAGAGGCGGAAAATCTCAGAATGCAGGAATAGACTCAGTTAAACCTTTGACTCGAGTTACAGGGATGGCAACTAAACTAAAGATATTATTTAACCGGTTTTAGGATGGGACAGAAGCATCAAGTAACGACTACTTGCACAAGGTGTTCGGGACGCTAGGAGAACAGAGCAAACGGGACAGCAGGCGGCAGTGGAGGGAATGAGACTGTTCACGGGTTTAGTATTGACTCGCTCCAAGTCTCGAATGATCGCTTCTCGCGTCAATCGGTTTCTCGCTAAACAGACGAAGAGATGTAGAAAATAGGCATTGTGCCGAATTAAAGTCTAGAGCTCGTCACACAATGAAAAAAAATAGACAAAGTTAAAGGTAAAAACGATTCAATTTACAAATGAGGAGTGAATGGGGAAATTTACCACCAATGCATAAAAAGTGCATCACTGAGACATAGGACGGCATACCTGAGTTGCTGAGGTAGTTTTGGCATAATTCGTTGTTTGCACTGCAAGGCCCCTTCCCAGATGACTTGGATCTCGAGAGACAATGGTTATTCTGAAGGAGAAGGTAAAGCAAGAATTGACCTGTTGATTGCAGTTCTTCACCATCGGCGCCCTACTTGCTGCAATAATGTTCATATGAATCGGCGATGGTATCACAAGCAAGCTCCAAACCAGTTGCCTACAGTACCACTATAGCGCCTAGGATTGCTGCCTCTCAGCTCTTCCAAATGACAATGAGCCATCATGAGCCAAGAGAATAAGTACTGATTTACTTCTTTAAAGGAAACAGTGGACACCTTTTTAAGAAAATCGTGAGTTCATAGAATTTAGCTGCGAACACAAAATCCCTACGACAAAACTCCCTAAAGTTAGTATAAAAGGGAAGCAAAATAAGAAGTTTCAGCGGAGTTCAAAGCTGCAAACACCTTTGTTATCAGTACCACATAGCCAGCATTTGTACCTCATGAATTTGCGACAACTAATAAATGCAGGAAACCATGCTACGGACAGATTGGCCGTGCTTAGACCAATAAATTTAGTTGATAGCGTTCCACCTCCCCCTCTCCCCAACAATAGATACAAACAGGTGTGAGGTGGTTTAAGTTTATCTCCATCAAATGGCATCACGCCAAGACTTGACCAAAATTCAAGACCGTGCACAATGGAGTTGAGTATATAGAAATATTTCTGACTCATTTCAAAAATCACAATGATTCAAACAGTTGCATAGGGAACATTTTCAAAATCAAAGTCGACAGCGCTTGGCTTGTGCTCAAAAGCAAAACAGATTATATTAAAATAGTTTCATCGACGACTAAACTACCTTCAAGCACAACGAGTTTCATCCGCGTATATTCACTAGGGTTGTCCGCAAACAAATTCACTCGCTCACTGGGAAAAGTATTCATTAACAGGAAGTGGATTAAACGTTAAATGGAGGAGGGTTGCACCCACCTCAACTACAATGCCTTTTAATGCGTTGATTCTCACCTCAGTCTTCTCAGTTGGGGTTAGCAGGACGAAGATCTCCCCATCTGATTTACCTAACAGTTTAGATAACTCGCGGATGCGCTGTCTCAGGCGGTCGGAGTGGGCGTTAAGGGCCTGGGTCTGCATCCTCAAGTTGTTCATCGCCTCAATTATGTGTTGGGATAGGCTGGGGATGCGCCATTCGTATCGAAGGTAAAGGTCACTCCACATTCTTCAACAAACGAATAAAAATAGCAGGTCTAATCCTCTAAATCCACTTCGAATGGGATATCGCGATGGTCTTTACTATAAAACCAACTTTCACTGGGCTTCCCCAACAGTAATGACAAACTAATTTCTACAAATAACTTTTCAAGTTTTCAGAGCTAGTTCCAACGGTAAAAGAAGATGAAACATTGAAGCACATCTTTGGCCTCTAATCAATCGATCAACAGTGATTTGTTTATGAACAAATCATGCTAATATCCAGTCACCTCGTTTTCAGCTGACCGAAAATGTTACTAAAGTTAAGGAAAATACATTCTCGATAGATTCGACCTTAGTTCAATCTATTTCTACACCAGAAAAAAAGACTGAAAACAAATGGTTTACACTGCCATCAGAGGAGCAATTCGAAGATTGCTGACAAAGCTAACGCTAACCCAAAGAGATGAGGGGAGGTGACGAAAGCTGGCAGGAGGGCTGTGACGTGGGGTCGGTCAACAGCATTCTTGGCTTTCAAATACTTTGCAGGTGGTGTGTAGAGCGGGTTGGAGAATATATGCCGCTTTTCTGCGAAGTACACCCACGAGCTGCAAGTCTTGCTAGCCAGTCTGCACAAATGGAAGAAATGGAAACAGAGGATGCAATGTAAGCTATTGTACTTTCTACTCAAACTTAAGTGACTTCAGTCTTGTTATTCACACTCCTAACTTCAAAGGCTCCAACAAGTGTTTGGCGAGTGTGGTGAAATGACAGGTACAAGACGTAGTCAGACGCCTCAAGGTAAACATCGAGATATTGTTAATTTTTTATAGAAGGGTATCAGCAGTCGAATAAAAAAGAAAAGCGAAGTGCAGCAAAGCAAAGCAGTGTGACGTCATAAAAGGCCGCCTTGGAAAAAAGGGAAACGGTTGTAGAGAAACAGGTGACGTGTTCGGAGTTTTTCCCCTGCAATAGCTTGAATTAATATCGCTTCAATGCAGACACCGCTCCACATTGAGTGGATTAACAAGACGTGGAATATAGTGAACAGTCTCATCCCAATCAGGGCGTCGACGATACAATGCTCAGAGATTTAATATCGGATATTGAGGAAAGTATGCAATTCAATAAAAATTCAACTTCGGATTCAATGATCTAATCACAGAATTCCGTATCTATGATCGGTATTAGATACGATAAATAAATGAAATGGTGCTTACTTGAGCTCACGTCTTTGCTTCTCTGAACATCCCACAAAAGTCCCAAACCGTCCAGATCTCGAATGGTCGTGTAGCGCCATTAGAAACCGAGAGTTAAACTCAAACGCTGTTGGAAGAAGGTCAATTAGATGCCGAGTGCAGTCAAGAAACTGTGTGAAAATTGGCGAAATCTCACGCGAATCCACTTCTTGTGTCTGACCACAACGATCGCCGAATTTGTGGCCAAAGCACAACCAATCCTTCTCCACCAGGGCCTTAGAGGTTACAGTAAAAATGCAGACAGTGCACTGGGGGAAAAGGGATAGGTAATGATGGACGGCATACCTGAAAGCCCTCCAAAGTGCGGTAGAATGGATCTATGAGGAGCTGAGCTAGCGCACAGACCTGAGCAGTTCGATCCCACCCATCAGAGCAGTGTACAAGGAATGAATAACCACCGACTTCTGGTTGCATTCGAGAGGCAACGAAAAATGCAGCGTCGACGATACGACGCAGGTTACGAAGCCAGGAAGATTTGTCCACAGTTGTGTAGAGCTCTTTCAGAGACACTCTGGGATTTTGGTAGGCTGTAGCAGGTGAGAAACGGGAATCAGATCTCTGATCTACTATACCCTAAAAAAGGACATTACACAGATCCTTCTGCCATGAACTTTCAATTCCCATTGCATAACAAATAAACCCTTTGGAAAAGGGTTGAGAAAACAAAATGGGACCAAAATAAAAAAGTGCACTAAGAAGAACGACTTGGCTCCAAATCAATAACAACAAAAACGCACTAAATGCGATTAAAATAGCGCCACCGACAGAACAGCAAAGGCGACTGTCAAAGAGTACATAAATGAAACTAAGGACTTGCATCAGAGAATGTGCAAAACAGAAAAGAAATGTTCAGCGTTCATGGTATCATTGGTGAGCATATCAGCAGGAGCCCTAAAGGAAAAAATCACCACAAAAACTAGACTCATGGAATCAAGTATTTACTAAGCAATATTTACTCTCAAACCAACGCCATTAAACATTTACCTTTCCACAAAGAGATTGATGCAAAAAAAGCAAAGCTTCAGATAAAAAAATGGAATAAATCAAGCGATGGTGATACAACACACACGATAAATGGTGACGTTTGTGAAAATAGCCAACACTAAAAGATCAGAAATCCCCAGTATCAAAAAAATGGACAAAAATCCAAAATTCATGCTTTGAAATGCACAACTAAGCGAGAATGGTGAGTCAGTTTAGAAGATAAGTTGCCCATGAGACTACTCGCGAAGTCAAGGTTTCCATCCAAATACGCACACTAGCCACCAAGATCAGCACCACTTCCACAACTAATGCAAAAAATAGACAAAGCTCTATTCCCCACAAATGCGGACAAAATGTGGTTTTAAAACCGCAGTTAGGAGTACTAAGCCAAAACAATATTTGTGCTTTAAAATGAATTGGAAAAATGGTGAAGGGAGTCCAAGTAAACAATAGATGATGTGAAGTTAGTGTGCTTTGAAATTCCGCGTTGGTTTCATTATTAAACTGAACAACCCTAATATTAGTACCGTTAAGGAAATGTCGCAGTGATTTATTAAATTTTAGCGAATCCACAATACCAATCTCAGGGCAACAAATTCAACAACACGGAAGTTGTCAATTACGAAATGAGAAAGAGACTAACCAGTGCAGTTCTCAGGGTATGCCTGCATTTGATTGAAACTGGACAACCATAACAGTGTACAAGTATACCCTTCCAAATTTGTTAGATTTAATCGCGTCTTCGGCACATTATTCTCGCTACAGAAGCGATAATCGAGTGAGCAGGTAAGAGCCAACCTTTAAAGCCTTCGTTCGCATTAGCCTTTTGGATTAAACCGAGACTGCTAAGTCCGCAGTTCAATACGCCTTCAAATCGGAAGAAACATTTTACAAATTTAATTACCAAAACAACCCGAACACCCAAGAACCAACCTTTGAGCATCTTCTCCATCGATCCGCGAACAGCATGAATGTTGGGAATTTCAACAAAACGGAAAATGATGTCACGATAGATACTCGCAACCTCGTAACCTTTGCCCTGGGCCCGATTAGTTAGCGCGTTAAGGAGGGGACGCGTATCTACCACGTACAGCAGGGGGGGTGTCTCCATCGCTCTCACGGCACCGCCGGTGGCGGTGGCAGCGGCAGCCAAACGAATGTGCCGTAGTAGCAATTGGTCGTCGGTGCTCTTGCTCGCGAGACCCGAAAGTGGCTGACTTGATCTGCATAGCACTGACTACAACAAAAACAAACTCCTATTGCATAAATCAAACAAATATGCATTCTCCTATTATCTGTTAGTAGAAAGGATTGACAACGCCCAGCTACTTTACACAGGAACAGTAAAACTAAAGCAAAGCATTGGCATCGCTACGAAAGAAGTTGGAGAAAAGTTACACTTTCCCGATAGAAATAAGGTTAAAGCTAGGGACAAATTTACACTAAAGACGAAAATGAATATTGCAAAGAAGAGGAGATCAAGTAATTTTACAAGCTTCGGAGCCATAAGAGACAAAGCAAGAAGGAGTAAACTGGACTGCGTATTGAAGATAATAACCTTCCATGCAGTCCTAGTCCTACAGTTGTGCGTTCATTTCACGACTCAACCTATTCCTGGTGGGCTTCAAGACAGAAACATTCGCCACCGTAGCTGAAGCGTTGTAGGACATCTCGTTTCACTTCCTCATCCGTGGTTGAAGCTGTGACTGTTCGAAATTGCACATACTTGTTTCTCTCACCAACCCTGCTGCTTTTATCACTTCCATGACGATTGTCGCTTGTGTGTTTTTTTTTCACACGTCAGATTGGTTGTGTCAATCAAACACGCGAGATCAAACAGGTATGTTGTGGATTGTGGGATGTTAAGCGTTGGGGTTGTGGACGATGGACTGGACGGTATTGAGGAACCAGCATGTACGAGATCATCACTTACACAAGGATGTACTTCAGACTGCTTTTGAAATGGTGCCACTACTAAACCAATTATTCTCTCGCAGCTGCGAGATCGAAAAATTGAGTTTTGCATTATGAAGAGGACATTTACAAAGTTGAATTCGATGCCTTGGCTAAGAAAAAATGTCTTTCGACATTCCTACGCTATGGTTACTGCGTGCGATTAGCAACATCTCGAAGAGTGGTGTCCATACAAAATTAGATTGGACTTATTTGGTGTGAAGCGAAGTTCTCTATGAGAAGCAATGTGAAAGCACTACGAGTAGTAAAAGTACGAACTTTTCACACTGCGCCCAATTTGGCATGATGGCTGCAAAACATAAGGCTCAAATTTGGCTCAATCTCTACTCTCATATGCGAGAACAAAAAAACATGGAGCTTTTGTCTCGGGTTCAGCATCTACTCCATTTTGTGGGAACTTGACGATGCAATTAAAGAGCCTGACTTCTAATAAAATATGACTTGGAATAAGCCACAGCTCCATGTTGAACTTGTAGCCCAATTTTGATCGCACGCAGGCAATGCATTTTATCGTAAAGGGTATACAATATCCTTCTAACTGTCACCCGAACACCAAGGATGGAAACATGGGGTTCCACTCAAGTCAAAATTCAAACGACTACTTTAGCTACTACAAGAAAGACCACTACTCTGCCTTTTGCTTGGCGCAAAAAAGGTTTAAATTGGTCTTACAATGAAAAGAATGCGTTTACTATAAATGGCTTAAGTCGGCTGGGTGTCGCATTTTCCATGCTAGAGAGTACGACGGTGGCACATAGCAATCCCGACTAGCATTTATTTTTTTACTGGCCAGTTTTGCGATTCTAGCTGTAAGTTTTTGTATTGTCTCGTAAAGTGGAGAAAGAAATTGCCGTCCCATTGACTAGCTGTTTTTCTCAAAGGGGGTGAAGTCCCTTACTAACTTTCCAGCTATCTCACTCAGCCTTAACTGTTCTTCGTCCTCACCAGATAAACGATTGCAATCACAGCCCACCGCACACCCAAATAAAATACCTTTACAAGGAGAGGCAGGGACTCTTTCGTCCGCTTAACGAACGATGCAAAGGAAAGCCATTTCTTACCCCAAGTCGATTAGACACTCTTCCGACAATCTCAACGTCAAATTTGTTACTGCCAGCACATTTGAGGTAAGGAACATAAAAGGATAACAGTTGAAGGTCGCCTTTATTTGTATGACTTTCATTACTGTCCCTTGCTCCACCTTCTGCTGATGTCAACCCTTCACTCCAAAACCCACATTGAAAAGTACTAAAATCGTCCCGACATGTTGATCCTCACCAATTTATTGGCAGCGTCTATGTTATCGCTTGCTTTACCTTGGAATGCTACGCAACGAATTCAGCGAGAAACAGGTTTCTATAAGTTCCAAAGCAAATAATCTAAGGAAAAGGTTTAGAGCCAACAATAAACAGCTCAGTGACCACCATCAATACATTTACATACATACACACACATACGTAGACATTAAAAAGCGTGAGCGATTCGCCACTTTAAACAAAGAAATTTACCTTTGAGAAAAATGCCAAAAACCGCAAGGACTATTTTGTCACCGGTAGATAAGGTAAAGAGAAAATAGCCTTATACACTTTTGTTTACTAAAATTCGTGCTAATTTGAGCCTGAAACCACTTGCTGATCAGCTTTCACTGCAATCCAGTGAATCCACATATGACCCAAGAGTCCAACTGTGCTCCAATATAAATGTACTCAGTGCAGCGCATCTAAGTCAGGATCTTGACAAGTGTACGAACATTTAAGGTTCGAGGGCCTAATCTACCACTGTAAAGTAAGAAGTGTGGTGAAAATAAGCTAGGCCCTTTATCTCGGGAAGCAGCCAAGAGCGGCATTCGCACGTGAAGACACTTCCAAAACACTGTGCCCTTTGTATCTTCATGAATAAATTTTGAAGAAGTTGAGCCACAAACTGAGGTATGTAATCAGTTCGAAAAATTATCCTTTAGTAATGTCTAACCAGTAAGATAATCACGCAAATGTCAGAGTTTGCTTCACAGCCGGCCAAAAAAATTGAGGAATCCACAACGAGCTTTGATGTCACAAAGTTAACAGATCAGATTACATGTTAGATGAGTAACGTCGCCCAAAACGACTTTAGCATGCTGAAACAATTTTAGCTCAACCATCCGTTATAAACGGATAAAGTATGTCCGTCATTTATTGGGACGCTCGTTAGTAAAAGCACGCACCAATTACATTACCTTCCAGACGTAACGGAACTCGCCAATGATTGGATGCTATTTGGTACCAACTTAGGTTCAAATCTACAAATCAGTGTTAATTGGTCCATAGATTTCTAGAGGATGACCATATTCAGTACATCCCATACAATCAAATATAATAGTAGTGTTAGCTTCCAATTGACTGTGCAACTTAAAACAACACAGCTAAAGCTGCAAAGATGGGTAGTAGAATAAAAGCTTTAAAAATTACCTTCCCGTTCGGGTGGATCCAGGTAAGGACAGGAAGGCGTTTGCGAGATCTGAAATTCGCACTTCCCAGCAGTGTGGCATAGTCTGTCTGCTTGGGCACAAAAAGGATGCTCGGATAAGAGTCGCAAATCTGCGAAGGGAAATAAAAAAAAGAGATGTGGAGAACGAGAACAACAGACACAAAAGCTTTTGCATGTATGAAGGTGAGCACTATCATTGCATTAGGTTCGAAGTTTATTGTGGAAAGAAATTTCGTTGACATGTCAGCAACCACGGGAAACCCAATTTCTTAAATAAGTCCCCAGTACCATTGTTACGCTTTACGTTCAAGCACCTAATATCTCATTGAGGTGTTCACTGCAAACCAAAATGTATCTATTCAGAACTAGATACCTAATTCTACAGGTGGAATCTCGGAGGGTAACAGTGCATTTCATTACTCTATGACAATGGAGACCCAAAATCTTCTTCCTAATGATACCACGCCTTAGTTCACAAACGAAAATCGATCCTTGGTTTCTGCTACGAACCATGCAAAACCAACTTGATCGCAAAACGAACACATTCTTTAAAATTTTATTGGAAGCAAAGTTAATCGCCTAATCGTCGGTCAATCTTTCTGTCGAAGATTATCAAAATCTAAATAAACCCCCAAGTGAGCCTGGGAGTATGATGAGGAGGCTGATTTGTCAACGAATAAATACATCCTCTACCACTTGAATGTGTTGTTAACTTTCGTAGGTCCAACAAGCCTGACTTGGTTTGAATATCTATCGCAGAAATGGAGGGGGTGAAGGGAGAATCGTACGGATATCACGACATGGCCAACCTGGTAATAAGTGTTATCCAAGGCAACCCAAGATGCATTGGGAAGACCCATTCTGTCGAAGTCTGCGCGGAGATCAAAAAAGTTCCAGCCCTCACCGCGCAAGCGGGAGAGTCCCGAAGGCCATTCATGGAAGCACGGCAAATGTTTTATGCTTGCTGAAAAAAAACAAGATTAATTTTTAGTAACAACCCGTTTAGCATTATAAACAGCACTTATGACATGGAACATTGAGTTTTCGCACGTATCTCGATCAAACCTGTCTATCTTCCAAAACGATCCTAGTATGCTGAAGTAAAAAATATCCTGATGCTGTTGCCTTCGAGATGACGATAGCAAAACCATGACTAAAATATTGCATGAGAACACAGCGAGAGCCTCACTAAGGCAGTTAAACAACCACCAAACATTACGGTCCATTTAAGGTGATAAGCAAAAAAAAGCCTAAAGAATTTACGAGGATGAGCCAACGAAATAACCGTCCTTCTTGCTTTGAAATTCGGACAACTTATACTTCGAAAAAAAATTTCACCGTAGTGCAGCATAAATTCTCAACTCGAAGAGTTAGAGAAGGGAACTAAAAGACTAGGAACCTACGAACTTGTGTGAGGCCCGTAAGAGTTTCGTAGACCTTTTGACAATCCCGGTCGTGAGGAAGGAGGAAGCAAGCTACACGGAAATTTTTACCACGAATCATCAAGGGAGCTCCAGTAGCTGCCAATGGCAATCGTTCCACCTTATCTATCAGGCAGGTCTGTATCTAAGGTTGAAAAAATACGTCATCTGTGGGAGTACGCCCTCGTCTCGATTATTTATAGGTTGGTGTTTCTCTCTCCTCATTCAATTGGCGAATAGACTTGGCATTCTTAACAATAAAAATGATATTAGGCAATCTTAAGCAATTTCTTTGTAACTAGAGCCCATGTATTAAATATTAATAAACCGTGGTAGTGGGAGATGGTACAGCGGCAAGTATTACCAAATTATTACACCATAAATCATCATATGTGTTACTTATCAGCTCGAGCAAAGTTAAACCGACGGCCCATGTACGAACATAAATTAGATATAAAGTTCGCTGACCACGACGCCGTGATACAAACTCATCCATTCAGTCTCGCAGCTGCGAGAGAATAATTGGTTTAGTAGTGGCACCATTTCAAAAGCAGTCTGAAGTACATCCTTGTGTAAGTGATGATCTCGTACATGCTGGTTCCTCAATACCGTCCAGTCCATCGTCCACAACCCCAACGCTTAACATCCCACAATCCACAACATACCTGTTTGATCTCGCGTGTTTGATTGACACAACCAATCTGACGTGTGAAAAAAACCACACAGGCGACAATCGTCATGGAAGAGATAAAAGCAGCAGGGTTGGTGAGAGAAGCAAGTATGTGCAATTTCGAACAGTCACAGCTTCAACCACGGATGAGGAAGTGAAACGAGATGTCCTACAACGCTTCAGCTACGGTGGCGAATGTTTCTGTCTTGAAGCCCACCAAGAATAGTCTAAGTAGTGAAATGAACGCACGACTGTAGTAGGACTGCATGGAAGGTTATTATCTTCAATATCCAATCGAGAAGGTCTAAATCAAAACGTTTCAGATCGCCGTTAATTTAAGTAGAGCAAGTATTTGGTAACGAAACCCCACAAGTCGAAAAAGGAAAAAGGTTCAATACATAGCAGGCGAATAGAGCATACCCGAAGTTCGTGCTTTTTTGAATTGTCAACGAAGAACGTGTGGGTGTGCGTGATCTGAAGAATACCCTGTATCCATGCGTAGCCGTTAAAGCAATCAACAAAGGTGACGTTTTCAAACTAAAATTCAAGTAAAGAACCATCAACAGCTATAGTTTTCCGATGATGTTAGAGATGTGTCCTGTCCAATCACGTCCAGTATACGACTGAGGAGTATAGACATAACCGTGAAAATAAATAACCAAATATGTGGGGTTTTTAGAAGGATAATAATGAGGGCATCAAAGCACACCGCTTAGACTTGACTTATGCAAATAAAAGGAGCAACTGTCAATGGAATGTCTACGCCGAAATATTTAACAACAACGCCAGTATTTGAAACAAACAACAAGATATGACAGTGTCAGATAACACACAGATAGCGACAAGCACAACTTTATACTAAGGAGAAGCCAGTGTATCACTTTTGATGAGTATCGTTTCTGAAATTAGTCAGTCATACATTCTAAAGTCGCATAATCTCCTAGCTATGCCGACCGCTTCAAAGAAATAATAATAGAGACTTTTAATTTGTAAAATACTTTCATTAAAAATTATACAAGCCATAGAAGTCACCAAAATATATTTACTTTGGGTAACTTAAGAAGATCCATCCGAAACCATCAGCGATGACGACAAAGCGCACACAAATAGACCAATGACAAACAGGAGTTTTTAAATACTGAAATTATTAGAAGGAAGACTCAAGTCGCTAGGTGCAATGGATTTTTCATAACATGCGCCTTAAAATAATTTATGGTAACCAGAACCCTTTATTTTGGCGGAAAGGGCTTTACAATAATCGCATTTGAAGCAACTCTTGCGGCTCAAGTTCCCTTCATGGCCTAGGGAAGGCTTTGCAGTTTTGCCCACGATAATGGAGATTGCTCCCACACTCATAATAAATGCCTTGAATAAGCTAAATTTATTAGGAATAGACTAATTTGTGCTATTTTGGTTGAAGAAACAAGGCACAATTTAGTACGTGAAGCATTTCCCATAGCAAATAGTTTTGTAAACCGATTAAGGTGTCACTCTTGTTTGGTCGGTTATCCTGTTTTATGCGAAAACATTTCGTATGATGCGTTTTTAGCATCCTTGCGCCCCGAAGCTTAGCCGACCCTGTTAAGTGAAACGCGTTCACCTTGGTAGCAGTCACCGAAATCGATTGTTCTGTTTTAATGCTCTCTTTTGTCAGCTGATTGGGCGACCGCTTAGATCTCACTTTCTGTCGTCTCACACCGCTCCCCAAGACATTCTCGTAATGTGAACGTGGTTTTCTGAAACTGTCGTGGATGCTTAAGAACACATAATGCTTAAGGCGGTGTCGGCATTCCAAGAATAGGAGGTTGGACTATTGATAGCACGCACGGGTCAGCGCACCCGATTAACATTGATACGTCGCCATCCATGCGATTATAAGCTGAGCGGATTGTCCAACGAACAAAGAATTACAATGCGTATAACCGCATCTAAATGATCTTGAAGTCACATGAGCGCTCCTGCCCAAAACCCATGGCATCCAGCGGTTGTCCAATCTCCGTCCCTTTGCTTGGCGTTCCACTAACGTACTTATACACTGATTTAGGTGAAAAATCTCTCTGCATTCCGCGGAGCTGCTTGTTAAAGAAATGAACAAATCAGTATATGATTTGCTGCCCAACATAAAACCATTGCAACTTGGCTCCACACGTTCAATGCAACCGTCTAATGGCTCTGTTAACTATTTTTATGCTGCCGCTTTTTTTGCGCGAAATACATACAGTTTAATGACACGGAGGCTACCAACTCAATCAAATTCGGTAAAATCTCTGAAATTCAACAATACCAAAAATGTTAATCATGGCAAAGCAATCTTCAAAAATAAGTAGGGGCGAACGTAATCCTAGCTGTTATAAACGCATTCTTTTTATCCAAATTGAGAGCTGCGTTTAGGGGATTTGGCGTGAAATAGGACGCTGATACTTCAGGCTATCGGTCCAGGTGACAGAAGTTCCGATGTGGGAGAATCGTGGGGGGATTCCGTTTCTAGAATAAATTTGAATTTAAAATTTATAAACAGCACATCTCTTTAATCAGCCACGGGAACAAGCAGAGGACCCTTAATTTTGCTCGGTTCAAATTCAGTTCCCAATTCATAACTTAATTCGAACGATTAAGGAGGTAAGCATTCCGGAAACATTCAAGCAAATGGTTTATCAATCAAAAGACTGCAACTATTTTGATGAAGGTAGGACGTAAACCTTGGAAGTGGGTAAAAAAGTAATCACGAACCCAGTTGCTTTTAGGCTTGCCCACAACTGTTCCCTAATCACTCTTATCATCTAGTAGCTATCGCTATACCCGAGTTTGTGAGTTCTGTTGTCCCTCTCCCTAGTCTTTGAAATTAAAATGTAAACCATTTTCCTTATTGTCCAGCAAACAGCCACCAAAACGACTTACGGAATCCATTCTGATGGGAAGTTGCAGAAGGAAAATTTTTTGCACCCTTGATCTTTGGTGTCAACATGGCGGATTCCCTCTCAATGCAATAGTGCATGAACTGATACAGGAATTGCAATTGGACCTGTGAAATGATATGCAAAATTACCATCACATGTTCATAAACAAAAGCAGGTTGTGGCTTACTAACGCACCCAAGTTTGAACCATATTGGGTCGCCACCTCCGAATGGCCAACGTGGTTCCAAAAATGTCGATCTTTTCAGGCCTTGTCCGCAGCCTCTTTAGTAGATAACTGGCTGCAATGAGTGTTCCGGACCTCCCCACACCAGCACTATCAAAGATAGTATGCGACTTTATCCTATGGCCTTAGGAGCACCTTTGGAGACTATTTTGTGGTAACGCTAAAAATTCTTTTGCAAATACAGGTGTACTTTCATGAATGACATGCTTTTTACCTGCAATGAATAATCGGTGGACCGCAAGTTCTGTTAACCGGATTCTTTCGGACAAATTTAAAGAGGAAGTTGATTAACTTGTAGAGAGCAGTCATATCTGCGGCTTCACAGTCCGGCCATTGAGTGAAATGTAGCTGTGTGACATACCATGGCTGCCAAGGGATACATTAGACCATTATCAAACCGTCAGGTCAGCAGATCAGAAAAAGTAAACAAAAAAGTGGCAGGATATGCAACTTATCTAACTAACTTCAGCTTCATTTGATGGCATGATGCGAAGGGTGCGACAGGTAAGACCGGAGTCGAGAATCTTAACGTTTGAAGTGGTGACTTTGACACTTCGAGTAGCTGAGGTCACCAAAAGTTCGGACTCGTCGTCCCAGTACTCCTTGCACTTCTGCTTTCCGTCCTCTTCACACCTTGGAGAAAGAAACACGTCAACTTCAAACCAATCATTTGGGCTCAAAGACACATTTTAAAACCACTTCAAGAATTCATGCTTGTAATGAGTAACTTAGCGTACACCAAGCATGTGTTATCAAATCCTCAAATTAAGAGAAAATGTTGGTCACTGACGGTTGATGTTTTTACATCATTACCAATAGAATTTAGTATTAAGGCTTTGAAGTCGACTTTAGAGGTGAAGCCTGTAATTTTCCTCACATTACTGGTTTTGTTGCAATTCTACCTTCTCTTTGCATTTACATCTAACCGAATGTAGTGTGCACATCGTTTGCCTTATTTGCGTTCAAGGCTTTGGCGTAAGGAGGAGAGGAATGGTACTGCTGATCACATAAGCCACTGAGCTATGCTAAAATTAAGTATGAGAATAACCTCAAGCTCTAGTGTCAAGAGAACTGGATCTTGCAATGTCAATTAGAGGAGCTGCATCTCTCCCATTCAGCATGCTTTGTGGCAGCGCTTTATTAAACATGGCTTAAAAACTCATGTTTCCTAAAATCGCAAGCAAAATGCGTCACATCGATCGAAAGTAAAGGAACACAGACCAGTCTCGGCATTCAGGCCATGAGGAGTAGCGACGTAAAAACACCCAACAATTTCCATCAAGAGTAGCAGGCTCTCAAACTTCGCATGCCTCCCTTTCGCCGACCTTCCGTCCTCCCTTACCCGAGGGCTTGTATTCACCAAAATAGAAAAGCCTGCCACATTACTGGCTAGGGAAAGACTGAGAGCGTTAAAGGGATGGAATTATTGGAGACAGCCAAGATGTTTTATCGCCTATTTTGCCATGACGTTCCAAGGAAGCACCTCTTAGCAAGACTGAAGAACTCTAACAGTCAAATATAGCACTACTTCTTCCCTTCATTGTGTTGGAAAGCTTTCCGCTGCTTCGAATGGTCATCCTTCCGCCCCAACCATAATCAACAACGGGACCGGCTAAACAGTAGTTTTATGGATTCGTGTCTTAGTTGAAACACTATCTTACAGCAGCAGCACAGGTACTGTCAGAATACTTAGTTGGCAAGTTCTCTTCTGGGTGCCTTTGCAATTATGGAACAACTTGAGGAAATGCGTCAGAAACTGGGTACTTTTCCACGGCGAACATGTTTGGCGGCTGTCACTGTTTGGAGACCCTCCTGCCTAAAGTAAGGTGCATGTTTCCTCTGTCAAGTCTTGTCTTTCCTAGTGCTTTCCTTCATTAGAGATACACATGCCCTACTAGCCTTGTTCATTATACCCTCAACGAGGATCGGTATACGCTAATGATACCAATAGAGCAAGACCAATTTCATAGACTGGCTTTGACTCCCTGAGGTCGAAACTTCCACCACCCATGAGGATTGTCAATACTGGGGCATAGGAAGTGGCAATTCATTTTTCCACCGTGTCTATTCTAAACCAAACAATCACAGTTTGCGCTCAGATCTCCCTACACCTTGTTTCATGTCAAAGAAACTAATGTGTTATCTTCCTAGAATAGGATTCACTTGCTGTTATTACTGCTGCAGGTTTACAGATCTCCCAGGAGGACTAGAAGGCCATAGGCATAGCCTTTTGATTTTTTAAAACCACAGCACAGTCAAAGGGAATATAATCAGTGTAGCTACGTGCGTTGCAGGACACATTTTCATTTCCTGGCTCTGGTATGCTACCCTCTCAAACACACTTTAGAATCAACTTTCACATTGTGGACGTAAATGCCATTCGCCGTAACGAAACAAAGCCTCAGATGTTTTTTTTAAGATGACCTCCTAGTGCATTTATATCGGCCAGCTAACTTTGCTGCTTAAGCCGACTCCTTCTGAAATGAAGCCGTTGTTCCCTTTTACTGCACAAATACACTGTGCCAGTGATTGGAATGGAGGATGGCAACCACTCACACCACTTATAAAAAGTCACAACCCACCGACATAGCATCAGGATTAATTTTGAACGATGTTCGTAAACCATTGTCAGAAAATCAGCAACAGTCGTAGACATCGGTCCCTGTGTGGCGATATAGTCGGGTGGATCCGACGCATCGCACGGTATGGCCTCTCCTTTGGCCCCATAAAGTGGTCTTCGTATGTAGGAAGCGTTGATGTAATTGTTCACCAATTCTGTTGTCTGAGAAAGTAAGAGCAGCGCAGTACTTTCAATTTGAAGTGTTGCGTCCCCAAAACCTATCATTTCTAGCATCCGAACCATTCCTTGCCTGAGCCTCAAAAGAAGACCGCTTATCAGAGTTCAGCCATTTTTGCTTAAACAGAGGCCTAAAGGCTGTGCTAGTAACAGCTGAAGTGATGCAATATGTATCTGATGAAGAAATTTTTGCAGTATTTTTGTCAAAATAATAAGCATAACGTTTTTCCTCAATCAATCATAGTAAGGTGGTTGAAAAATTGTTGCATTTTAAAATGCTTTGGTCGGAGGAGTGAAGTGAAGTGAAACGCATACCCACCTAAGATAGGAACAATGAGCCTTTGAGTTTCACCTTACTTTCACATTTTTTGCCACAATTCGGACATTTTGCCGTTTTATAATTTGACTCAACTCAAACAATGAAGAACAACAAACACCCTTATGAGTGAGCCAACTCAACTTACGGTAATTTTGGGCTCAGGATCGTCCAAAATTCGTGGCCACCGCCTCCCTAAGATGACAATTGACTGGTCGTCTAAAACAGACATAGTAGAGATACTGTCCGGGTTGGAACTTTTATTGATGTGTCTAAAAGTGACCAACCAACGCACATGGAAGCATATCAATGTAGCGATTCAGCTCTTTGCAATGCAGTCCCGCATTTTTCGTCAAGTGGAACTCCTTCTCGACACCCATCACTGCAACCTTCTTCAGCAACTTAAGCGTAAAAAGGCTGAATTAGAAATAAGTGCACAGGTTTTAAAATTTTCTCTGTTAATAATGCGTTTGTTTAGAGGTGCCACAAAGAAGTAAACACTTGAGTGAGCGTGTAAATGACGGGTGTCTGCAAACACAGTTTTTTGTAACTATTCAAGCATGGATTGATACACACCAACTTAATGAAAAGTGACACCTACCTCGTCCAACGCAAAACGTAAAAATGTGTGAAGCTAAGTCAAAGGAAGCCAAGACTTAGGCATTTAGCCTAATTTTTACGACATTCTTACCATAAAATGCGGAATGAATTGTTTGTTGGAATCCAGCGACTCAATGCAAGCGTCAAGCTCCTCGACTGCCAATGGTGACGGTCTTTTGAAACAGAAAATAATTGCAGATAAGCAAGTCATTAAAGAAACTGCACTAAAATAGCACCAAGGAAATGGCCGACATTTTCAAAAAAATGCAAAAAGTAAATATAAAGTTCGATACTTAGACTGAGTCAGACTTACATCTGGGACAGGTACTGGAGATGGCGCGGTCGGTAATACTCAATTGTGAAGGATCCGCTTGAAATGGAAAGCAAAACCGCTATGCACAACTCTAGAGACGTAAACAAGGTCTCAACTAACTCAAATACGAGGCAGTCGCTTACGTTTCAATTGCAAATTTAGTCCCAGTAATTTATGTTGTCTTAATTCAATCACTAGCTTACTGAAAATAATTCCTTAGCCTCATTAACCTACTGTCACATTTGAGAGGTAATGCATACAATAGGGAGTGTACCTTGAAATTTGTTCCATTTTCCACCAATCCCTAGAACAATGAAGCAAATAAAGAGGTTTTCACAAATCTGGTTAATTCAAAACAGTGGAGTAAGTCACACGGAAAAATATGCATCACGAGAGGGCAACGATTCGATTCATTCCTTCATTACATTTCGTTGTGATTGACAAAGTGTTCAGTGCAATATTCATTTTAAAAGTGCATTTTCTAAGGCTTACGACAATTATGTACTGAAATTCTGTGTCTATGACACTTGAAAGCACTGTAACGATTAGGATCCAACTAATTTCCTATTCAGTAAAGATTGCTCAGAAATGCGGTAACAGTGTGCTTTAGGGGTTACGTGATGGGAGGTAGACGCACGGTTGGGACATGTCTCTTATACAGTCCTTCTCTTTCTTCCAAGCAGCTAGTTCTCGAAGTTGGTGTCGGAATAAAAATCCAGCGAAAATGAGGCCAATTAAGGTCATAAATAGAAGACCGATTGTCACTGCCAATATTGGGAATGGCTGACCTAAAAGATAAGTTATCATTAGACCATCCAGTTGTGTGTAGCTTTTGGAGAAAGAAGTGGCAACTCATCAGTAATTGATACTGGCAGCAACTGCATTGTAAGAGTAGACCTGCCTGTGGTAAAATCTATTGGCTCTGACTCATCTCCAAAGATGAATTTGTCCCGCGAATACTTTTTGAAGGTCGTCACCGTGATGCTGTAATTGGTGGATGGTTTAAGATTGTCCAAGCAGCAGGTATTTGCATCACCAACCCCGTTAGCGAAATTGGTGGTGCAATTAGCAATGGGTCCATCGTGAACCCTTTGTCCACCTTCTGATCTCTCATATATCCGCACCAGAAAACCACTCAAGCCATCTTGCCGTCCACCGGGTTGACCCCATTTCAAGGTGACACTACGAGCTGAGACCTCACTCATGTTGATTTCCACAGGCACTAAGGAGAAAGGAAGAGGCTGTCACAGAACCAGTGCTAACATGGACCGTGAGACGACTTTAGCAAATATTAGATGCACTCTAATCCTGCACTGATTTTCCCCTTTAAGAGTTTGTCAAAACGAGAAATGCAACCGCGTTGAAAATATGGCATTATCTAGTACTCAACAAGTACCGACGAATACGACTAGCAACAGTCCAAGTGTCAATTGTCAGTTGCATTCACTGTAAGAACGCACTAGTTTTCAATAACTGAGGGACGAGTTGAAACCGCATGGCATTTGACTACTTAGACTGAAGGTCACTAACATTTTACCAAGGGCCGAATGTACTTCTGCACACAGATGAGGGTCCTGGTAGCGATGCTTTCACCTTCACTCTAAAGCTCAGCAATTAATCAATTACTGCATGTCTTGCGACGATTTAGCCTCTGCGGCCTCACAAACTCTCGACCAATCTGTGACGTAAAAAATTGGCACAGTTGATAATTCGTCCAACATTCACACCAAACACGTCACAACCATCGCGCAGCGCATATATGCACGCCTGTGGCGAGTGTGACACCCTCAGCAAGAAGCTGGTTTTTAGAAATGTCATGTTACGAATGCAAAAATTCAGTCGTCTCCTTCTCCCATTTTACCTTAAAGGTGATTAAAATGCATTCTACTTTCTTCCAAAGTTTCCTTCAAAACCCTAAGCAAACTATGATATAACGGTTGAGGAATTAGTACTACAGACACCTCAAAATGAACTCACCGCCCGGAAGCGTTTCTATGTTTATGTCGTCAGTTTTGTTGGCACACTTGTGCGTGGTGGCGGAACAGGCCACGGCATAGGCGATGTAGGCCGTGTTGGGCTCCAACCCTACGACCGTACAACTGTTCGCCGTTTCCTGCTGCTTAACCCAGCAGCGCCTGACAATTGACCCAGTTTCCTGCTCTTGCACCACAACTGTTATATTCTCTAATTCACAGACCTCCATAGATTGGGGCGTCCAGGTGAAACTCACGTTGGTTGATGCGCTTTGCTCCATTTGGAAATCAGCGACGGCTTGATAAAGTCAAAACAAAGCCTTTTATCAAATGTAGGCCCACAGAGCAATTGATGTCACATTAATATATCTCTTCAGAGGAATATGTGTTCATACAACATCTAACCTTTAATAAATTCAAAGCAGTGTGCACTTAAAAGTTAGAGCTTCTAATTTCCTATTGTTCATTTTATGCTCCAATATCAATACAAGATCTCAAAACTTGGTGCTAGAAGGAGTACCATCCCAATCAAAGTATACATCACATTGCTGATGCGATTTTGCGATTTGCGTCGAGAAAACGTGGCACTTGGGTCGCCCTGCAAGACCCATAAAGGATTTTTTTGCAATAACTCCTTATTACTTTCATGAAATTCTTATTTTAGCAAATGGAACACTGTCCTCTTGCACGCCACGAAATTAATGAAGGGTGGTTAATCACCAAAGGGACGTATTTAATCGAACAGTCGTGAAGTGAAATAGGCACATTTGCTGACTCACTCCATGGACATCGGAAGAGAGCTATATCGGGGAGCACTTACGTCCAGGCAGGGTATACTCTACCCCTGTTACCTCCACACTGCAGTCATCCTCCCGAGCGCACGTCCGTACTGAAATATTGTACCGCATACAGGGCGAGAGATCTCTAAATGTACATTCAGGACGTGATTGAGAATGCCAGGAGGAGTTGCATGTAGTCACCTTGCCCAAAGAGTCGACAGCTAATGCTCGATAGCCTACAATCGCTTCTTCTGTAGATTTAGGACTGGACCACGATGCGTAGATTGTGGTGGCAGTGGGGCTACCCATCTGTAGATCTAAGGGTGCTAAAGCGAGAGAAGCTTTGGTATGCAACTGGTCATTTCCTCATTGAAATTTGTTGAATAACTAAGTGAAGTTGCAGCAATGCCACTGTAACAGTTCATTTGTACTCCAAATGTAGCAAAATGAAAGCAAATGCATAAATGATTTTAACACTACGTCATTTATGCATCTTTGCATCTACCATCTGGTTCTATGGTTTGCCTGCTGTCAACATCAAATCAGAAAAAATCTCCATTTTTATCCCACACAAAGAAGCACCTCATGCTACATGATTCACCTTTCCAACCCGCTATGACTCAACTAATCTGAAGACAACATGGGCAATGTCGAACATGAAATAGTCTGCTCATTAGTACGTCGGGAGCCGTAAGCATGAAGATGGACGGTGAATAGATGAACGGGCAGGCGATCATTGCTTAAGGGTCATTCAGGAATGCAAAGCACTATGTATGTGAAAAAAGGTGAAAAACAGTCAGCTATAAAACAGATGCATCGTAGTTCATTGAAGACATCTTAAGGCCTTAAGAAAAGACACGCTGACCACAAAATCTCACGAGTATTTGAATTATCTGTCTCGTATTGGACCATATCTCTCGGATGAATACCATCGAAACCTCAAAATGCATGGGTGAAATAGCCTTAGTCAAACAGTCAAACTAACCTTCGGGTTTAGTGAAGGCTATTCCCTTCGACTGCGGACTGCAAAGATCGTGTTTGCAGCACGTCACGAGGGCGACTTCGATTTTGCTATTTGCTGGCAACTCAGTTGCTTCGCACCTCCCTGTCGTGGCGTCGCACACAACTTTTGCCTTCCGATTGAGCACCGTCAGTGTGTAATTGAAGTGTGCACGGTCGTCTTGGTGGGGAGCGAAATGAAAGGCCACGGAAGAGGCACTGCGTTCCGTGATGGTAAGTTGTAATGGATCTACAAACGCAGTTAGGTGTTAGCGCTCCATTTGATCCCATCCGATCTAAGAAATGTTGTCTGCAGATAAGGTTCAGAAAATCGTAGCAAAACCACCACACTTAATGTTGCATATTGCAAGTTTGTCTATCAGCGTGCAAATGCCATTTCAGTCACGAGTTCTGCTATACGGAACAGGAACGCCTGTTGGCACCACAAGAGTAAACTGAATCACTATTCGTTAGCTGTGCACCGGATGTAATAACGAAGAGACGGCAGTCGCAGCTGTCAGTTGAAACGACAAGTGAAATGCATGTGTGCGAGTCGACGGGATTAACAGCACTCCTCTTCAAGAACTCCTTAGATTAGGTCAGAGTAATTGCCACATTTGCGTTTAGGTAATCAAGTATGATCTTGCGTAGGAATGGAGGGAGATGAAGAATTATGGAGTTTGCTCTGTGGATTGTGCCACCAATCTCTAGCAGTAATCTGAATGTGAGCACCGAGTTGGCAGTTTAGCTCGCCATTACCGACTCAAAGCACCGTGTCAACATGGTTTCACCGTTGCACATGCGCAGAGAACTCAGCAACTTAAGGTGTAGTGAACTTGTCAATAGAAAAGGAATGAGAAGAATCGCAATGAGGCATCCAAAAATGCATTGTAAAAACAGTTTCACAGTGTCACTCAAATACCCCTCCCCCTTCTCCACCTTTAACTTTCGCAGTACCTTCCACTAATAAGCAAGTCTTGAAGCACCGATGGTAAGAAAATTACGCCAGTATTGTATTGGGTGTGGAGTAAGGCATCGCACAATTGCCAATAAATTTTGCTTCAACCGCATTAATGACAATGAGATTGAAAAGTGCAGCAAAGCCAATCGCCACTCATGACGATCACACCACCACCCATCGCCTCAACATCAACCACCCAACCGGTCTCCCCCACCTCCCACCGTCTCACCACACCATTTCCCATTCCCCAATTGCCCTGCCACCTAACCTCAACTTGCCTGGATTGGTTGTGGCTGACGCATTCACGCCCTCGCTGCAAATCCACTCTCCCGTCTCACGCACCTTGAAGCACGAACGCACATTCACACGGTACGTGCTGTGCTCAGCCAGGTTTGACAGGACAGTCTCGAGACGGGATGCTCCCACCTCCTTCCCCTTCAAATACTGCATTCCAGCACTGTCATACAGTGCCACTTGGTATCCGTCAACACGACTTTGCTTGCTTGGTCTTCGCCATTTACACTTCAGTTGTCGCTTCTCATTCGCACCCACGTGTACATCGGTGGGATCTGTTCGATAAACAACAAAAGAAACGAATGCCACAACTATTTCGAAATACGAGACTGGAAAATATTCAAATAGTACGGATAAAGCGCTTTCAAGGCGAATGCCAATGTTGTACGGCTTTCATAATAACACAAGACTAACATACCCTAAATGTAGAATGTATGCTTAAAAGTCATCACAGCGATGCAAGCGCCAACAACACAGCCAATTTGTAATGCACTAATAAAGTCGTCTTAACAGCTTTAATGTACGCTCCCCTTTCCACTTCAAAAAAAGCTTTAATAGCATTTTTTGCAACAATACGCTTATCAATGTCCAATAATTCTACAACATGATGAGCCATTTAAAGGAAGCTGAAAGTGGCCGCAACTTATATAATTCCTGCCTCAACAAAATTTTTCCATCGACAGCTGCGAACTTAACCTATCATTACCTATTTAAAACAAGCCAAAAGTCTTGTTCACAGCGCTACAAGCTGCGCTAAATTTCAAGTGGTCCAAAATGCTGACACTTTAGGAAAAAAGCAAAACCCAAATTCCGCATACTTCAAGATAAACATGCCAAAGTAAGGAAAAGAAGATAAATGGGAGAAGTTCACAGTTCATTGCGAAGTACCCAAAAAGGCGAATCAAAATTCGTGCTGAGTAACCAATAGCAAATTAGAAAAGGAAACGCACTATCAGGAGA